AACGATACTAATATTAATCAGATATGTACCAGTCACGAATATCACAGATTTTCAATACAATTGTCTAACTGTTAAGATGCCAGTGTAACACGATATGAAACGCTACATTGCGAAGACATTTAAAAAGAGGTGTAACAGTTAAAATCAATATATATATGACGCTGCTTATCTGTTCTGTCTTCTTCTATTACAGGGCGATCAAACATAAACGCTCTAGAATCGGAAGAACAAACCCTGCGGGCACTGAATTTACAAGACTTTCTGTACTTTGCCCGCGTTATTTGATTTTCAAATGAGTCCCAGTGTTCTCTCTTGTTATGAAGTGTTTAGTTAAACTTGTGTGTGCTTGAAGCAGTGCCTATTCGCAGCTATCATCGATCATTGGGTCGAACTTTACTGGATTCTCACCTGCCACTTTACTATTCGGGCGTGATTTACGCCTAAAGGTGGAGACAGAGTCGCCCTTCGTCGAACAAGAACATGAATTGTACATCCGCGCTCTTCGTAACCGCCTGGCTGATACATCACAGTTAGGTGTACTAAAGCGGTGTGTATATGCATGTTTCTTTTGTGTTAGGAATAATAATTATTTGAATACGTGGTACTTCATAGCTGTTTCAGTGCTCCAATTCACTCATGATACCATAATTGATGATGATGTCGATGAGTTATTCAATTGTAATTTTGTCAACTCGTCAGATTATCAACAAACAGAGATTCACTTCATGAAATTCCAATGAAATTAATTATATGCTTTTATTTTACAGCTTCTGAGAAGTGTCAATTAATTGTCACTCCCTATGAGGATCCTTTCATGATCGACAATTTCTTACACTTTATCGTCTAACACATACCTTGTTTATCATACCAAGAATGAGAAAATTTACGAGGATCAGTAAAATTAAATTATATTTCTTGTGAATTCACTATCAACATTTAAAGATCTGCTTATAATAACTGGGGCTTAGATTCCAGTCTTGAGATGTTGAGGTTGTTGAATGAATTTCAGCTTGTAAATAGGTGTACAGATTACTATGACAGTGAACTATAGTATTCTGACTTTTGAACGTTTTTCCTCAAAAGATTCTGTGACAAATTCACGATATGTTTCCGCGATTGAAATTCTCCGTGATAAAACGTTTGTGAGCAAATGTTGAAATTTTCTAGTATCTTATTTAGTCATCGGACAATCTTTACTGTTTCGGCAATTTTGGGAAAGGTGTGTACAAGAATACAAAATTTAGTTGAGAATTTTTTATTTTTGAGGCAATTTATGGATGATTGAAGAGAAATCAACGAAAGAACAGTGTGAAAAAATCGGATTCTTCACTAATTTTCTCCTCGGTTTATCAGCCTATTTCCATGATATTGATATCACCGGAAAGCGCAGAATGCAAGCTTTATAACGGTGTATCAAGTATATTTTTGTGAATTTCTGTTCAGAAGTTACAAGTGTTTTTATTCAGTCTGTTGAGTCAATGATGGTTTAAGCAGTGTGATAGAAGTGACATAGACATTCCGATTGAATTATGGTGCGTCGTGGTCAGGAAAATAAATTATATAAAAATGCGATAAGCTTGTTTAATGTAATCTAATAGATTGACAATCTGATTTGAACTGGGATTGCTGACGTACCTGTTTGAGTGATAATTGGCAATGACTGTTTCTGCTGCGGTTAGCGGTAGTACATTGGTGACTGCTCCTTTGTCTGGTGGTGTTAGGAAATCGACAAAGTCAAAGAAAACACCGTCAGTTCATCCTCCATACGGAGATATGATAAACAAAGCCTTAAAGGAGCTTAAGGAACGCGGTGGTTCGAGTCGTCAAGCCATTACTAAATACATAAAGGCCAACTACAAAGTGGATGATCGTGCTGAAAGTCATCTACGTCGTGCGTTGGTTACTGGTGTTAAATCAGGCAAACTTGTTCACACTAAAGGAGTTGGTGCATCTGGATCATTTAAACTTGCGGATAAAACTGTCACACCGAACAAATCATCCTCACATCCTAAAACTTCAAAGCCAAAATCCACTGCAAAGAAGCTGTCTAGCAAGAGGCCTAAAGTTGCCAAACCGAAATCAACTGGCAATCCACCTAGCAAACCAGTAACTTCGAAACCTAAAACAACCAACCGAAAATCAGTTGTTAAGCCGAAGAAGACGAAATCACCTCGTAAACCGAAAGTAAGTTGGATGACTTCTGTGACATTATTGTTGTTCCCTATGTTCCCTATGAACATTGTTTCATGGATTGCGTATTTTGTTGATTGTTTTGTAGACAATGAAGCCTAAGAAACCAATGGCAAAGAAGACTCCGAAAAAAGTTGCTAAGAAATGAATGTGGTGTTTATCTCTATTATTGTTATTTTACTCACTTGTATGTAAGCTCCATACTTGTTTCGTGTACATAGATTTCTTTAACAACAACAACAACTACTACTACTACCTTTACTGTCGTCATGTCAGATTGTATTTTATTTATTCTACATATATTTATATATATTTATCTTTGATCATCAGTAAATGTGTACAGCCATCCATTTACTATAATAGGGTTTCTTTATTTTTCTCCGACTATTGGTTGGGTGTGTAGTATTTAGGTGGAGTAGACTGTTGTTTCGTTTATGACGACGGATTTGATTTTATCATCATCATCATCATCAGCAGCTTACACAGTGTTATTTTCTTTTTGTGTGTGCGTGTATGCGTGATTCTACAGTTGATGTTTGATTTTTGTTCAGCTCCGTATGTGTCATACTCAGGTGTGCAGCATGGTATCATTACATTGTTAAGTGTAGTTGGTGCATTGTTGGCATTATCAATCACAATGTTGTTGATCGGTTGGTTTGTGAAGTCGAGACGACGTCATTGGCAGAAACTGCTGACTACTTACAACAGATCATGGTTGTTAGGACAGTGTTATTCACGAGTTGAGAATGATGACGGATTGCTTCAATTGTTTCGGACAAAGGATGGGCATCGTGCTGTTGAGTCTATTAGCAGGGAACCTGAGGTATGTTTCTAACAGGCTTCACCCAGCCATTTCGCTTTCTCTTTAGTGTTTATATGGCCGATGATTTCCGGTATCTTGTGTTTGGAATTCGATACTTTCAGTCGATTAGTTCATGAATCGAGCCACTGATATCGTTCTTAATCCCACCATCCGTTCCTAACGACATCATTGCTTATTCGGTTGTTCCACGATGTACAAGCAATGCTTCTTAAACATCTATGATTGAATGGTAGTAACCTACGAACATCTACTCTTAACGGCCATGTTTCACAGCCATATAGGAGAACGGAGCGAACTGCTGCTCAGTACACCCGTCCTTTGGTTAGCGAACGTATATCACGCCTACGCCATGAGTGACGCAGGTTGGCAAAAGCCAATCGAGCTTTCTGTATCCGCGCTGAGATTTCGTCAGTCACCAGGCCGTCAGCGCTGATGAGACTCCCCAGGTAAGTGAAGTGGTCAACACGCTCGACTACTTCACTCCCAATCACCAGTTCAGGTGCCGTTGCAACCCAGTCTTGAAGCAACATTTTGCAATTCGAGGGTGAGAACCGCATCCCGAACTTGCTCGCGTTGTTGCTTATGGTAGTCAGGAGACTGCATTTTGTGAGCGTCTTCAACGAATATAACTATGTTATCGGCATATTCTAGATCAGTAGGCGGCTTTCCTGGTAGGTCAACCCCTGAAAAATCTGGCGAGCTTACTGTCAAACCTAAGACGATGTCTACGACGAAGATAAACAGGCACCTGTCGTAGTGTGAAGATGTGGTCAGCAGTGACTGAAGGGTGGGGAAGACCTCGAACCACAACACCCAAGTTTCACTAAGCACTTCGCGCCAGTAGAGAAGACGCAGTTGTAGCCACTGCACTTCAATTAGAAAACGTGGGCTAACTACGGAAAGCAATGACTTATCCACTGAGTTCTTATGAGTCGAATTTACTGCAACTCCCTGGTGATGTCATGAGGTAGCGTGCCCGGACGCGATTTCTGACTGCATATACGGGTCCTAGCGCAAGTTGATGTTAGCAAGGTGTTATGTATCAGCCAGGCGGTTACGAAGAGCGCGGATGTACAATTCATGTTCTTGTTCGACGAAGGGCGACTCTGTCTCCACCTTTAGGCGTAAATCACGCCCGAATAGTAAAGTGGCAGGTGAGAATCCAGTAGACCGATAAGCCAAAGGTCACTAAGGAGCCCCACATTTCGTGTGGCGATCTGCTGATGGACGACTGTAAGACTGCATTTATGGTTCTGTTCTTTCGTCGGTGCCATATCATTCTGAGTGGTACACAGTAGTATGCGACGTCCTCATTCCAAAAAGCTGACATATTTCAGCGATGAAATGGCTTTTAACCTATGAGCCTTGGTCAGCGTGATGTGAGTGTGGGGCACCGTAAAGTTCGACCCAATGATCGATGATAGCTGCGAATAGGCACTGCTTCAAGCACACACAAGTTTAACTAAACACTTCATAACAAGAGAGAACACTGGGACTCATTTGAAAATCAAATAACGCGGGCAAAGTACAGAAAGTCTTGTAAATTCAGTGCCCGCAGGGTTTGTTCTTCCGATTCTAGAGCGTTTATGTTTGATCGCCCTGTAATAGAAGAAGACAGAACAGATAAGCAGCGTCATATATATATATATTGATTTTAACTGTTACACCTCTTTTTAAATGTCTTCGCAATGTAGCGTTTCATATCGTGTTACACTGGCATCTTAACAGTTAGACAATTGTATTGAAAATCTGTGATATTCGTGACTGGTACATATCTGATTAATATTAGTATCGTTGGAGTCATGCAGATTGTAGACCGTCAATGAAAGCTAGGATGTATTATACTTGGGAATCTACTACTTGAATGAGACGTTCATCTAAGTCGATCCATTACAATATTAATATATTTCAAATTTAAATTTGTGGTAATTGTAAGGCGTTAGCTCAGATATATTGACAGTCCGACAGTTATTGAACCAACCTCGAGCCAATCAGCGACTTCTCCTGACCCTAGACCATATGAAGAAGCAGGGTTGAGCATGGAGTAGACGACAAAATCTCGTAGAGAATTAACTCTGAATAAACGCTGACAATAGACAATCATTCAAACCATTTTAACTGCACACTGGAAGTAATAAGATCTTTCAGAAGAAATCGACGTCTCATGATGAAAACCGAATTGCTTCGGAATGCACGAGTCCAAAGCCTATTCTTACAAACAGAACAACCATTCGTTAAAGACGGCACTATTGTATTGGGTGGAATAATGGAGAACTACCAATACCATCAACCAGAAGATACAAGTATTCGTTAATAGTTGCTGCATATGCAAAATGCTTAGAATTCGTTAGCCAGGCAGGCACCATCAGCGGCACAGATGTATTTTTATTGCTTACATAGTAATTCTGCCTGCTATTCATATCTTCTCAGCAATAAATTATTTCATCAATAGATACATACGAACATGCAGTATATCCATCCAATTGTTTACACATGCTACTTATGTGTAAATCAATCTGCACAAATATTACATTGTAAGAATAAATAAATACATTTCATTGAAATAAATCATCAGTCGATCAATGTTAGATCACTATTGCAAAAACTGGAAACATTGAACGGCAGTAACATGCCAGAATGGGACTCGTTCGTTGTGCACATATACATCACTTCATAGAGAATTATCGAAAATTTCGTGAGATCAAGTGGCACTGGAAAACTATTTCATTGTAGAGTTTACGACTGTTTGGAAGTTATGTATTCACACGTCCACACAACTTTCTCAGCTTTATCTTCAGAGAACTGAGTCAATTATTGATTGCAATCGTGAGTTTGCTGTAATTTTTTCTCATACATTCAGTACTCGATACAACTTAGTAATCTAAACTCATCTTCATCAACATGCATGCCCCAACAACAGTGTACACTAGACAAAAACTTATCAACATCTGGATGCATAATATTGAGGAATCATATACTAGGATGAAACGTTCATTGAATACTTCCACCAAAATGATGGTCTCGATAATATCAGTTCATTATTTTAACTTTGAAATTCTGAAATTGTGTGGTAATTGTAAGGCATTAGCTCTGATATACAGACAATCTAGCGGTTACTGAGGCAAATATAATATATACCCTTATCGATAGATTTATTTCAACTTATTAGTAGAACTATCAATAATAAACAACCCATCAATTGGTTACCCAGTTAGTTACATCAGATTATAATTATTAGTGAGACACACGTATCGTTAGAAGACTGATGATGTTCGTTCACAGATGGAACTCACTAATATTCTTTGCTTAATAAACCTGGTTTGAATAATCTCAATGACTCGATCACACTCATTGTTTTCTTGTATTATTACTTGTATTTATTATATATGTGGTTTTTCCTATAGAGGCTCTACTAGATCGATTTTTATTATTTTACAATGGCACGTTAATTTATTTGTGTGTTGTGCATGTAGAATAATAATAAGAAGAAGAAATATGCGTTGTTCACCATGAATCTGTTACGAATCACGCTGCTACAATTTACCATTTCCTATTATAATTTCATATTATAATACTGTTGTTAGCTTAGCTTCTTTGCTATTCTTCGCCATTTCCCTAAACTTTGTTGTGTATATTTCACACAAATCACACACACACACAAAGCCTAAATAAAACACACTGACTGATCCATTCGAATGTGTGTGTCTGTCTCTCACATTAATCAGTTCAACCTGACAATGGTTAGGCAAATTAGAAGAACAGCTTTCAATCACATGCATAATTCTCTGTTACTGATTCAACTGAAAGTCAGCTGATATCGAAATATCAGAAGTAATTCGACTTCACCAATCAACGATGTCGAATTAAGGTGATTCGAGTTCAGATTATTTACGGCCAAGGTCAATCATTTTCAAATTCTATGATAGGCTGATTGAGATAAATCATGAGTTCACCAACCACAAGTCACAGAAGCTTATCAACAGGACTCACGTTATGAAACTATCACTAATAAATTACAAACGTTCACACACACATTTACACCAATATAGACTGTAACGTGTTGATACTAATTGTTAGACTGAATCAGAATGCATACATTTTTATGTACTTGTGTTCACAAATTTAGAGTAATTTCAGAATGGCATCTATGAAGAAATGCTAGCAATTCTATTATGTCCCGTTCGAAATATCCTTTCGCTGCGATAAGATGATTCTCCTCACATTTCAGGGTATAGTCTCGCTCTGCTAGGTAGATTGACACTGTGTGTTCCGAGTTTTCGGAGTTACTACATCACCTACCATCTGCAACCGATCACGAGATTTGATTAACAACGTAGAGACAGTTGAATTTGTCAACGTACTCGACCACTCGACTCGATTCTTCTAGTTAGAATGAAGAGACAATACTCATAGAGAGCATGTAGTAAACAATGTTGCATTGTCATTCGCTATATTGTTTAGTTTTTGTCAGCAAATAGAAATCTGTCACTTTCACGCTGAATGAATGAGTTGCTGGAGAGAGACAAATCAATGAATGGCTGAGCTGAGAGTTTCTTTTAATATATAGATGAATTTAGTTTGTTAATTGGTAGTGAAGATTGTGAGAGAGGACCGTAGTGTAAGCAAGGGAGTGGAACCAATGATAATAGGCGAGATAGGTTAAGTAAGTGATCTGAGGAGATGGCAATGATAACAATTAACAGGTCTCAAGATATGCATCATGAACAGCCTGTCCAAGAGGGAGATGATAGTCCGTATGTGAGTACGTGATTATCAAGTCTCTTCTTAAAGCAGTCCACTGAGGTGGCTGTGGTCACCTCGGCTGGGAGAGGATTCCAGGTTGCGACGACTCGCAATGAGAAAATGTGTGCACGAACTTGAGTATTCGCTGTTTGATGTGCAATCTTTCGAGAATCGCCTCGAGGGGAGTGGTGGTGATGCATCGGTAAGATGCTCACATTGGGATGGTTTGGGGTGTTTAATATGGTGTACGTCATAATCAGTCCTCTTACGTTGCTATAGATGCACTTGGTGGTTTGTCTCAGAACCTGGTGCACTTCTGCAGCAGCAGCAGCAGCAGCCGTTGTCGGATTTTCAGACAAGTTATTCAAACCGAATCGGCAAGTTCTGTGGGAACTGGCCTCTGAAGGTTGTTTGCTTGCGCGGTTGGTTAAATCACGTCTTGTGCCAGGGGTAGTTGACCGAGGTTAACTATCAGTTTGTGCGTTCATTTAGGCCACCCTGCTGTTGTCTCACAGATCTAGGTGGGCTTTCGCAACACCTGATGTGGCTAGGCAGACCGTTCCTCAAACTGTACCAAGCTTGTAGTGTTTGAGTCAGGTCTTCCCGGTGCCTAAATGTCACAGCCATCAGGCGTGGTGACTTGATGGACGTAAGGTGTGACGGGCGGGGCAACCTAGAAATGCAAACAGCCATCGTGGTGTGGAGGGATAGGCTACGCGATAGCCATCGCCACTGTTGCACATCGTGCTCGTGAGCTTCGTCCGGGTTACCGCTGTTGAGTTCGGGTATACCGTGAACTACCATGGTGGTCTGTTCTTGTGTGCCTGGCGCAGTTCTGGCTGCTGCACGTACCGGCAACGGCTTGTCATGCTTGATGCGAATCGGCGAGGACAATTTTGACCGATGGTCTTTGGGATGAAAGGATGATGTCTTCGGCAAGTCGTGCCGAGTCAACAGTTACCCTCATTAGAGGGGGTTTTCCCTTCGAGACATTTTGGCTTTTGTAAAGGTGGCATATTTTGGCTGGGACGTTGCACATTCCGAGGGTTGTGCAGTGTTTATCCCACTGCTCTTTGTCGGAGGCAGCCCTACCTTCTAGCAAGCTTTCTTCCGATACTGGGACATTAAATAAAATAGGTGAGTTTGATCTGTCGTCCCTGTTGTTGGGTGGTAGCCGCTTATGAGTTGGGGTGTTGCTATTTCCCTTCTTCAAGTTCACCCACTGTTTTGTGTTGCTGGCAGATATTGGGGGGAGGGGGGTTAACAACAACCGGCAGTTTTTTCGGTGTGTTTGGCGGGGTTGTTGTAGCCTTGGTCACTTGTTTTACTGGTTTAGTGCCAGGCGATTTCGGTTTGGTCGTTTTGACTTCAGGGCTAATTTTGGGTGGGACCTGTGGCTTTGTCAGTGCCTGAGAAACTCTACACCGAGGGCAAATGTACCTGAACCATGGGCAGGGGTGACTCAGAATGAATCCGTAGTACTCTTTAGGTACTGTAGTGTCGCAGTGACAATGTACCCATGTACTACAGAAGTTGCATTCGAAAGCACGGTCGCTGATTTTGACTGGTAATGAGCAGGCAAAACAGTCATCCTTATGCTGTTTCTGGGCGTTCGACTGTGTCGACTGAGGCTTGAAGCGTCTTTTTCTCCTATTCTTAACTGGCTTACTGGTCTTTTTAGGAATAGGAGTGGTGTCTTGCTTCCTCTGTGGTGTCTACGTTGAGTGATCTAAAGTATGGACAATGAGAGATTTAAATTTTCATTTCCTTCACATGTAAGTAGTATATCAGCACGATGCGATGTTGCATTGTCATTCGCTATATTGTCTAGTTTTTGTCAGCAAATAGAAATCTGTCACTTTCACACTGAATGAATGAGTTGCTGGAGAGAGACAAATCAATGAATGGTTGAGCTGAGAGTTTCTTTATTTATGGGCATGTCTAAAAAGCAGTTAAATAAAAGTAATTGAATAGTTGTGATTGTTATAACTTAAGAATATTAATTCCAATACCAGTTTGTTGTAGTCTACGATGTCGTGCAAATGGCGTTCGTTTTGTGATCCACGAACTGATTCCTATCTGGAGTACAATGTTAGATAATACTTATACTATTACTGTAGTGAAGGAGAACGCAGGTGAGGAAAACGAAAGTGTATTTAGAGAAAATTACAGAGCTGTTCAGTAAAATTGGAAAACCATATCGTAAATCGTTAATTTGCAAAATATCAGTCCATCATATCGAACTGGACTGTTCCTGTTGCAAAACATCAATCCATTGTCACTACTATTCATGCGTTTCATACAAATTTCATTGTGTTCTTCTAAATCTTCCTTTCTTGATCTTCCCCCATCATCTGCTTCCAGACATTACGTTGACACTCACGTCATATACTACTTATAAGTAGCTCACACCACCCTCGTCCCCCGTTTTTATAAGCTGTCGTCGTAGTCTTTCTGATCGCTGTCTTCTTTGCTGCTTTCCGTGACTCAGACCCTTGATAATCTTGAAAGCACCTCTTCAGTTGACTGGCATTCACACGTTTTTGGTTGTCTCCTTTCCGCATCGTGTAAACAGAGCCACGTCTCTCATTAACAATGTACGGTCCTTCCCATTTCAAGAGCAGCTTCCCTGATCCCTGTCCCGATGCTACGGTGCCTTTCCGTTCTCTATATTTTACCAGGTCCCCGACTTCAAACGGCTTCCACTGCCTACTCTGCTGTTCTGTCGTTGTGTGCGACACCTGTTCCTTCTTTATATTGCTGATTGCCTCCCTCCTCTCCTTCTTTAACCTTGTTGCCTTCCCCTTCTGTTGTTGCGGCCATGTCTTATTGTGCATTGGAAGTCGCGGATATCTCCCGTACATAAGCAGGAAAGTTGATTTCTTGGTTGTTCCTTGTATTGAGGCACGATGCGCCAGTAAGACTAGTGGTAATTCCTTCTCCCAATTTCCTCTTTTACAGGCTAACCATCCCTTTAACGTCCGGTTGTTTCCTTTTGTAAGCCAGTCAGTCTGCGGATGATATGGTGTAGTTCGTATTCTCTTGATACCGAACTGTTCCAGACGGGACTTAAACTCGTCACTTTCAAAACAGGCACCCTGATCAGTTAATATTGTTTTCGGTATTCCGTGACATGTCACAATGTGCCGGATGACTACTTCCGTCACTGTTTTTGCCCGCTGATCTGGAATTGGTACGGCGTCTACCCACCGTGTGGCATGTTCTGTCATCACCACCAAGTATTGATTGCCGCTGGCCGTCTGCGGGAACGGTCCTATCACATCCACTGACCATAGATCACCAACTGCAGTTACGGGAACTGACTGCGATGGCGGGTGTATGTATCGATTGCTTTTCATTAGTTGGCACCGCTGGCAAGTCAATACATATTGTGCCACATCGTCTCCCATGCCTGGACAATATGCACTTTGTCTTACTAGATCAGTGGTTCGTGTGATACCTGTATGAGCTACCTGGTGACACTCCTGTATCATCTTATGCCGCATGTACTTTGGAATCACTGCCACCCAATTTTCATCATCATATCGCCAGATCAGGGCTCCATCGACTAACGCGACAACCCCCAGACTCCGCGAATGGACAAAACCCGAATTATACCTTTTCACATACTTGTATCTTCGTCTTGTGGAACAGTTTCTCCTCCAATGTCCTGTCCCTCCACAAGCGTATTATTTATTATTCCTGCTGCCAGTTACTGTCATTGCGGCAACCTCACGCTGCAGGTCATCAATTTTCTTCTCGAGATCATTTTTCTCCAGATTCGCGCACGCCACCGAAACTGTTGTTTGCGTCATTAGCTGTCGACAAGCCGATCCGTGACCGCCTTCCATGTCCTCACCTTCGCATCCAGGCTGTCATACACCGCCTTCGCACGGTCGCGGAGCCGCAACCCCAAAGCCACCGTCTTCTCCTGCTTCCATCCGGCTAGCTCCGCTACGGCCCCAAACTCCTTCAGGAAGGCTCCCACATCTCCATCCTCGAACTCCTTCGGCCATGGTATCTTCATCCTGGCAGCGACACCAAATGTAGTGAAGTAGAACACAGGTGAGGAAAACCAAACTGTATTTAGCGAAAATTACAGAGTTACTCAGTAAAATCGAAAAACCATATTGTATATCGCGTTAATTTGCAAAATATCAGTCCATCATATCGAACTGGACTGTTCCTGTTGCAAAACATCAATCCATTGTCACTACTATTCATGCGTTTCATACAAATTCCATTGTTTTCTAACTCTTCCTTTCTTGATCTTCCCCCATCTTCTGCTGCCAGACATTACGTTGACACTCACGTCATATACTACTTATAAGTAGCTCACACCACCCTACTACTACTACTACTACTACTACTACTTTTATTCTTATTACTACTAAGCTATTTCTATTTGTCATGTGTATTTAGTTCAAGAGCATCTCTGTCGATGTTATTCTGTGGTAATCATTTCAGTCAATCACGAAATCAGCCCGTCGTTGGAATTCCCAGGACGAAGATTAAATTGGTACATAAATGTACGTTTGCAACTTGGAACATATTCGACTTAGTGCTGTAATACTTACTGTATGTACTTTAACTCACTAGCGCTGATTGATCAGCTCTTGATAGTTGAATGAACTGAGAAAATTTATATATATTATAATATACAATCACATCTGGTCAAAACAGATAAATATTCAACAATAGTTTTTCTTCCTACTTCCACAAATCAAACAAACATTTTATGGTTGACTCATTAAAATAATGAGCCGAATGAATGAATGAATGAATGAAATCACACTCAGCTATACATTGAATTATTCAAATATGATTGAATAAATATATATATATATTCCAAGCATTCCATTCTCCCTTACCAAATTGACTTGTACATTGTTTTGTTTGATTTTTTTTTTTATAGGAACTGCATCCACAGCTTACATGAAATGATTGAGAATGAAGATATTGATTTGAGATTAGTTTCAAAATTAATTTTTCTTTTCTTACCTGTCGATAAATCATGTGATTAACAGGAAGTATGAATATAAAAATGTGAACAGAAAAAAGCAATGACTATTTCTTCTATATGTATGGTATGGTATGGTATGGTATGGTATGGTATGCGGCGTAGTAGTATGAAACAACTGGTGATGTGATAGGCAATATGCTAATAGTTAATTTCATAAAAATGTACTTAGCTAATAATTATGCAATAATTAACTTTCTAATTTTACTGAAATTATTTTACATCAGTGCTAATGATCTGCAATGGTGCAATTTTGATGTACCTAAAGTGAAAACTTCTACAGAATGTACAGTCATACGTCAATGGCAAGAGTACAAAACCCATAAACACGTACTAATTAATGCAAATGAGAAGAAGATTTCATTTAGTTTAACCTGTCCACTATGTCCGTTAGAATCGGTAGATCAATTTAAATGGGTTTATGTAGACGCAAAAACGACGAATATTATATTACACGGAGTTTACAATATTTTTATTGGACATTATGTTGACATCTGGCGTGCAGATTTAAAAGATGTTAAAGGTCGTTTGTCAACAGATCTATGTGTCACTAAACATGATTTACAATTGATCGGACGAAATGTTGATGTAAATCGTTATTCGGGGACGTATATCTGCGTTTTTCGACGTCATAATTATCATTCAGCCAATCATATTTATCACCATGTTTATCGAATTGAATCATTCAAGTCAAGATCCCTCCATCATAGAGTTCCATATGTTTCTTTTTACTTGAACAGAGTTTATAATAGGCGAGGGATAAATGCTGTAAAAGATAAAGTAGACACTAATCTAAAACGAGTGAAAGAACTTCAAAATCAAAACTACACTTGGTCAATCATCACATATAAAGAACATATTGAAGGTGGTAATATAAGACAGTGTGGCAGACAGTGGATTCATTATTATAGACGGTGTTATCAGAATATATCACAGCACATGTTAAGTCAACGCTGTAGAGGTTGTCTTATGGATTCTGTTAAAGTATATACGTTACCATTTATGCGTTTAGCAACCTTGTACAATATAGGACTTGAAGGCGCAAAACAATTAGCTATGAAAGAAGCTAAACGTCTTGGATTCCATTTATACGCTGACAATGGTTACTTCCTGGTACCATGTGAATACGAATTAATACAACATTTGAATGTAGATTACGTCAAAAATCCACCACCTGGTAGACATGTAAGTGTCTTTTATGAACTTATGTGTGCTCGATTCGATGTAAAGAGATTTGAGAATATAACTGGAGAAAAATATCATATATATCAAATGAAACCAACTGTAATTAGTACTATTCAGCATGATATTTTTTATTATAAAGAAATGCAAAATATATTCTTCATGGAATATGAAAAACATGTTGTATTGAAATGTGATTTTGATAAAATCAAACAATTAGATCCTGAATTACAGAATTACGGTCTATATTGGAAATCATCCAATGAGAAATTTCAACAGAAAATGAAAAGAAACAGACAAAATTCCAAGTGTCAAGCTGCTAATAAATGTGATGTAATATTTCAATTACTTCAAAGAAATGATGTCGGAACATATTATTGTAAATCAAAGAATTTAGACTTAACTATTACTCATTTTAATAAAACAAAATATTTGCTTAAATGGAATGATGCACAGATTGTGACCTATAATTTATATGTAAAACGAGTGAATTATAGTTGGTCACAACAAAATACCATAATCAATGGTATAATTGTTTTGAATGTATGGTCATTCTTGTTAATAATTATTTGGATAACTTTTCTTTGCTGTATAAACTATGCGAAAAAGATTCAATCAGATTATTACTTTGAAACTGTGTATATGAATGAAAGTATATTACCAAAATCTAAATATTTTGAAGAATGCTTACAAGGAATAAATAATAAGAAGAATTTCAAGAGAAATACCATATTCTTCATTTGATGGAACACAATTAAGATGAAAAGTATTTTTTTTATTTACATGTATAAATGAAAAATAAAATTCTATCTGCAATCTTTTCTGTTCCTTATATTTTACTGGAATAAAGTTAACCATAGTCTATTCATTGGTGACACAAGTTGGTGATATAAACTGGAACAGAAAATAAACTGTAGTTTCAACAATCCATCGTCTCGTTTCAAAATTGGAAGCTGAGTAGTCCTTGAGGATCATTTTGTTGGACACTGATAGCTGACGACCAGTTGCAGTTAAATATAAAACAGCAGTTAGCACTCCTTACTAAAGAACATCCGCTTGCCCATTCATCTATTGACTGAGTATACCAAGCAGCAGTTCACTCCGTTCTACTTTACAACAGTGAAACTCCGTCTTTAAAATAGATGATATCAGTAGGTTACCAGTGTTTGAACAAAAGTGTCTTTGAACCGCTTTTGTATGCTTTCCGATTATTGGATTAACAATACTATGGGTAAATTCAAAGCAGTAGGCTCAAATGGCTAATCAGTTGGTGAGTTTGTGAGTGTTTCTCAACCGAGATTTTAATGACATACATTATGTATGCTCACGCACCGATCATCTAGACAGGCGATAATTGCTGGTGTTGAAGTAAGGCTGAAAGAAAGCTATTAACGCATAAACCGAGACATTGCATTGGCTCGTGAAATAACTGACTGTTAGCTTGGTGCAGACTGCTTGGTTTAGATCCACGTAATTGTTCTAACCAGTCGTTTGAGACTTTGAATGTTATGGCTCAGAACGTTCACAATGGTACAAAATAGGTTCATTTTTTCCCTTCCTGCAGATCCTCAGTTTAAAATAATTGAATCTTCTGTTCCGATGAGCTTGTGGAATAAATGGGGAGCTCATTTTTGATTGATTTAAACGATAACGGTGTTGTCCAGAATGATAAAGAGAGCTCCACAATCGAACCATCCAGCTCAAATCACTGAATGAGATTGAGAAATCCTTTAATCAGACGGCTAAAGATCACTTACGTAATGGAAGCATGTTGCCCTATTTAACACAATCTCCGTACATTGAAAGCTCCAACATGTAGTCTAGAGCGGGGTTTCAGGAGATCAGGAATAACTTTTCGTGAACTCGCATTGTTTGCACTAGCGGTACAGTCAGATAAAGGAATGTGAGTAGAGTTAGTTCTGGAGATAAGAGAGGTATTAGGGGGTGTAGGAAGGATTTGATTTTGACCAATTTGGTCTCGTGTGTTGTTACGGGTATGAGGGCGGTTGTCACTTCCTGGCTGCCCACACCATGGAAGGTTGTTTCTTGAGGAACCTGAAAAGGAAGGTAGATTAGTGTTGGTCTTAGAGACCTGGGTGCTTGACCGCAGAGCCTAAGGGACAACTGCTTGAGGCCGGTCAAGCACGGCCTTTTCGTGAAAGATTTTTTGAATATTAGCTCCGCTCTTAAAAGCCCTTAATGAGCGCCCTTACCGCCGGAGATGAAAATCCGTGAGTTGGGGTGAGGTGTGACATTTTTAGGATCGACCTTTTCTAACTTTTCCTTCCTTGCGAGAAGGCAGCATCGTTGCAGATGCTGGTAGTCCGGGGGAAATATCTTACTGCTGTCACACCCCTCTTCAGTCAGCAGTACAACTTCGCTCTCAGACCTTGAGTAGCTGCTTTTAGTCTCTTCGTTCTCCAATCGACCTGCCTGGCATGGTAGAACCTTCAGGAAAATATGATAGCTCGGTTGGGTCATCACGATAGGCAAGCCCGACCACCACATCAAGGTTGCAGCTTCAAAATCCAACCCAGATGGTTGGTACCTGTAAGTTGCATGCTGCGCTTCATACCACCAAGTCTCTACAGAGTTCACATTCAATGATTTACATTCATCAAACTTAGTCAATTTTCAATATTGTTCTAGCATCACCATCGAATGTGAACTGTGATTATCTTTCTCACTTTAGCAGAAATTTTAGACTTCATTAATTAATAATCAAACATCTATTACTATTAAAAGAACCAAACAACTAAGAACATAGCTGAACAGTAATTTTTAAAATAGCAACATATACATTAAACATTTCTTTTTAAACATAAAAATAGGTAATTAACTAATATGAGTTTGTAGAGGAGATTAAACATCCGATGATAAGAATTTCATTCGGGTATTACCATAATACTGACGCCAGCCATTATTATCACTATTATTATCACATTGCTGACGGTTTTCTACACTATTATAATTGGTGGATTCCATTTGCTGATATCCCAATGATTCGCAAGATGAAGCCCAGTCAGTAAGATTCTTTGAAACTGAATCTCTCCGTTTGGAAATCTGAAAAATAGAAAAAAACTCGAGTTAAGGCTCACCAATTTGGTGGTCCGCGAACGGACTATAATATCCAGAAATAATTTAACAGAGCCGCAACGAAGGAGAACTCTGTCAGTAGAACCTTTGGGGCTACTGCCAGCCCCAACCCTGGATAAAGAAGGAGGGTTGTTGACCTCATCCCACCAAAAAACGCTAACCAGAACAAATAAATCAAACCATTTTAACTCTGCCCTGAGAGTTGGAAGAATTATGACGTCTCGCGATGAAAACCGAGTTCCCTCGGAAGTCAAAGCCTCTTCTGACAACCAGAGCAACCATTCTTTTAGGTACATAGAACGTTAGAACATTGTGGCAGACTTGAAGACTATTTCAAGTTGCGGCAGAAATGAGAAGATACAACTTCGAGGTACTTGGAATCAGCGAAACGCATTGGACACAGGTAGGACAACTGAGACTAGCTTCAGAAGAACTGCTGTTATACTCTGGTCATAAAGAGGAAAATGTCTCACACACACAAGGAGTAGCACTGTTGCTGTTCAAACAGGCACAAGAGGCACTGATAGGATGAGAATCTCATGGACCCAGGATCATTAAAGTATCCTTCAAAACAAAGAAAGACGACATTACAATGAACGTCATCTAATGTTATGCACTTACCAATGACTACAATGACGACGTTAAAGATCAATTCTACGAGAGGCTGCAGTCAATCGTCAACAGATGCTCACCAAAGGATTGACGATTCTAATGGGAGACCCAAATGTCAAGGTTGGCATGAACAACACTGGATATGAAGACATCATGGGACGACATGGACTGGGAGAAAGGAACGAATATAGTGAGATTTGCAAACCTATGTGCCTTCAACAAACTGGTCATCGGCGGCACATTATCATCACACGAATGCATACACAATGCTACATTGATTAACTACTCGGAACCAAATTGACCATATCTTTATCAGAAAGTAGTTCAGAAGGACCATGTAGGATGTGAGAACCAAGAGAGTAGCTGACAATGCTGATAACCAAAATGAAACTAAAGAAGCACAGGACAACGGGGCAGACAACATCTTAGAAGTTTAATACGGCCTTTCTTCGGGATACCGTAAAAATCAACGAATTCAAGACAGCACTCAGCAATAAGTTCCAGGCCTTGCAGGATCTACCCAATGGAGAGGAAACAACCTTGGAGAACAATTGGAAAGGGATCAAGCAGCATGTCAGGAGGTTCTGGGTCATAAGAAGCACCATCACAAGGAATGGATCCCTGTTTGTACTCTTGAGAAAATTGAAGAATGGAGAAACAAGAGGGCAGCAATCAATGACAACCGAACAAGAGCTGAGAAATTTAAGGCACACGCTGAATATACAGAAGCAAACAGGGATGTGAAGAATAGTGACAGAGCTGACAAACGGAGATATGTCGATGATCTAGCAATGACGGCGGAAAAGGATGCAAGAGAAGGAAACTTGAGACAATTGTACGAAACAACAGAGAAGCTCGCCGGAAACTATCGTAAAGCAGAACGAACAGTGAAAAGCAAGGAAGGCAAAGTAATCAGCAACATTGAAGAACAGCGAAAAAGGTGGGTAGAGCACTTTAAAAAACTCTTGCATCAACCGGCTCCACTGAACCCACCCAACATCGAACCAGCATCTACGGGCCTCCCAATCGATGTTGGCTGACCAACATTGAAGAGATCAGTATAGCCATAAGACAAATCAAGAGCGGCAAAGCAGTAGGACCAGACAACATTCCAGCAGAAGCGAGGAACGCAAAAGTATTTCACTTTCTCTTCAACAAGATTTGGGATGAAGAACAAGTACAATCACACTGGAAAGAAGGATACCTCATCAAAATACCAGAGAAAGGCGATCTCAGCAAGTGTGAGAACTACAGAGGCATCACTCTTCTTTCAATACCTGGCAAAGTCTTCAACAAGGTACTGTCAAACAGAATGAAGGACTTCGTAGACGCCTAACTTCGAGATTAACAGGCTGGATTTCGTAAGGATCGATCGTGTACAGATCAAATTGCAACATTACGGATCATTGTGGAACAATTGAATGGGTTTCGACACCCCACATCAACTTCATTGACTACGAGAAAGCATTCGGTAGCGTGGATTAGAAAACAATGTGGAGGCTTCTTCGACACTACGGTGTGCCTGAGAAAATAGTTAACATCATATGGAATTCTTATGATGGACCTTAAGGCGGCATTTGACTCGGTGGATCGTGAGGTTCTGTGGCAGTGTCCGTCATTAAAACGACTCGGAAGGATAAGGACACTCGCCGTTGCCTGTTCGTCGTATCTGCCTGTGCCCACAACCGACTGCACTTCAGACGAGGTGAAAGATGAGTTTTACAGAAAGCTTTCGAACCTCCTACAAAAGGTTAGGCGCTCTGATATGGCTGGTGACTCCGATGCCATCAGCCACCGATGGAGGGGTTCGATAGAGGACTGTCGCTCGTTCTGGGGCACATGTTTAGATTCAGATCATACCCTAGTGCGAGCGCGTATTTGTTCGAGGCTTACTGGGCGTAGGAAAGACACCGTAAGAAAGCCTGTTAGGGTTTTACTTAATGACAATCAAACTAAGAAAATATTTCAGGAGGAACTAGAAAAACAGTTAGGCGACCATGCAAGTGATTCCCATCCGGAGTCAGGTTGGAATAATATCAAGACGGCTGTGGAAACGGAAGAGATATCTGCTAGTAAGGTAAACCATAAGCCTGAGATGAGGCCGTGGATTTCAGTCGCATCTTCCGAACTGATGGAAGCTTGAAGACGTATCTCACCTGACTCTGAACATGATGAAGAACGAAGTCAACTTAGGCGCAGACTTATAAAAAGCCTACGTAACGACGGTAAAGTGTTGGGTGGCGAAAGCAAAAGCGATGTAAAGGGCAGGGGCGATAGGCAACACTAGACAACTTTTCCACCTTATCAAAGAAACCGGTATTAGGAACCCGAATGTGAGTGAGACTATTTCGGAAAAGGATGGTCTTATTATTCGTCCTCAATCCAGGAGACTGGACTGATGGGCTGAACACTTTAGGGATCAGTTCAACTGGCCTCGAGCCACTCTTCGGTTGCCCGCGATCCCCAGTCATCCTGAATGGCCAATCGACTTAAGTCCTCTCAGTCTACATGAAGTTGAGAAAGCTATAGGAAACCTAAAGCGAAGTAGAGCAGCAGGTCCTGATAGGCTTACCCCTGAGATGTTTAAAGATGGTGGCCCAGTTTCAACAATTAGACTTGGTAGAATCTGGGAACTGGACGTTATGCCATCTAACTGGTCTCAATCGCTATTTGTCCCAATCTACAAGAAATGACAAAAGTCTTCTTGTGACAATCACAGGGGAATTAGGTTGTTGCTTGCCTCGATTATACTTAGACGTCTAACTAGTACTCGTGAAGAGCAGACTGGAGAAAGTCAGGTCGGTTTCAGACCTGGACGTGACTGCATAGACCACATCTTCACACTACGACAGGTCCTGGGACACAAACACTTATACGGGCATCCTACAGTCGTTGTCTTCTGAATACTCTACATCAAGTGGTGTCCATCAGGGCTATCCACTCTCTCCATTCTTCTTTAACTTCGTCGTAGACATCGTCTTAGGTTTAACAATAAGCTCGCCAGATTTTTCAGTGGTTGACCTACCAGGAAAGCCGTTTACAAAGACGCTCACAAAATGCAGTCTCCTGACTACCATAAGCAACAACGCGAGCAAGTTCGGGATGCGGTTCTCACCCTCGAATTGCAAAATGTTGCTTCAAGACTGGGTTGCAACGGCACCTGAACTAGTGATTGCGAGTGAAGTAGTCGAGCGTGTTGATCACTTCACTTATCTGGGGAGTCTCATCAGTGCTGATTGCCTGGTGGCTGACGAAATCTCAGCGCGGATACAGAAAGCTCGATTGGCTTTTGCCAACCTGCGTCACTCATGGCGCAGGCGAGATATCCGTTTGCTAACCAAAGGACGGGTGTACTGCGCAGCAGTTCGCTCCGCTCTCCTATATGGCTGTGAAACATGGCCGTTAAGAGTAGATGTTAGTAGGTTACTACCATTCAATCATAGATGTTTAAGAAGCATTGCTTGTACATCGTGGAACAACCGAATAAGCAATGATGTCGTTAGGAACGGATGGTGGGATTAAGAACGATATCAGTGGCTCGATTCATGAACTAATCGACTGAAAGTATCGAATTCCAAACACAAGATACCGGAAATCTCCGGCCATATAAACACTAAAGAGAAAGCGAAATGGCTGGTTGAAGCCTGTTAGAAACATACCTCAGGTTCCCTGCTAATAGACTTAACAGCACGATGCCCATCCTTTGTCCGAAACAATTGAGGCAATCCGTCATCATTCTCAACTCGTGAATAACACTGTCCTAACAACCATGATCTGTTGTAAGTAGTCAGCAGTTTCTGTAAATGACGTCGTCTCGACTTCACAAACCAACCGACCAACAACATTGTGATTGATAATGCCAACAATGCACCAACTACACTTAACAATGTAATGATACCATGCTGCACACCTGAGTATGACACATACGGAGCTAAATAAAAATCGAAACATCAACTGTAGAATCACGCATACACACACACAAAAAAAGAAAATAACACTGTGTAAGCTGCTGCTGATGATGATAAAATCAAATCCGTCGTCATAAACGAAACAACAGTCTACTCCACCTAAATACTACACACCCAACCAATAGTCGGAGAAAAATAAAGAAACCCTATTATAGTAAATGGATGGCTGTACACATTTACTGATGATCAAAGATAAATATATATAAATATATGTAGAATAAATAAAATACAATCTGACATGACGACAGTAAAGGTAGTAGTAGTTGTTGTTGTTGTTAAAGAAATCTATGTACACGAAACAAGTATGGAGCTTACATACAAGTGAGTAAAATAACAATAATAGAGATAAACACCACATTCATTTCTTAGCAACTTTTTTCGGAGTCTTCTTTGCCATTGGTTTCTTAGGCTTCATTGTCTACAAAACAATCAACAAAATACACATTCATGAAACAATGTTCATAGGGAACAACAATAATGTCATAGAAGTGTTCAAGTCATTCAACTTACTTTCGGTTTACGAGGTGATTTCGTCTTCTTCGGCTTAACAACTGATTTTCGGTTGGTTGTTTTAGGTTTCGAAGTTACTGGTTTGCTAGGTGGATTGCCAGTTGATTTCGGTTTGGCAACTTTAGGCCTCTTGCTAGACAGCTTCTTTGCAGTGGATTTTGGCTTTGAAGTTTTAAGACGTGAGGATGATTTGTTCGGTGTGACAGTTTTATCCGCAAGTTTAAATGATCCAGATGCACCAACTCCTTTAGTGTGAACAAGTTTGCCTGATTTAACACCAGTAACCAACGCACGACGTAGATGACTTTCAGCACGATCATCCACTTTGTAGTTGGCCTTTATGTATTTAGTAATGGCTTGACGACTCGAACCACCGCGTTCCTTAAGCTCCTTTAAGGCTTTGTTTATCATATCTCCGTATGGAGGATGAACGGACGGTGTTTTCTTTGACTTTGTCGATTTCCTAACACCACCAGACAAAGGAGCAGTCACCAATGTACTACCGCTAACCGCAGCAGAAACAGTCATTGTCAATTATCACTCAAACAGGTACGTCAGCAATCCCAGTTCAAATCAGATTGTCAATATATTGGATTACATTAAACAAGCTTATCGCATTTTTATATAATTTATTTTCCTGACCACGACGCACCATAATTCAATCGGAATGTCTATGTCACTTCTATCACACTGCTTAAACCATCATTGACTCAACAGACTGAATAAAAACACTTGTAACTTCTGAACAGAAATTCACAAAAATATACTTGATACACCGTTATAAAGCTTGCATTCTGCGCTTTCCGGTGATATCAATATCATGGAAATAGGCTGATAAACCGAGGAGAAAATTAGTGAAGAATCCGATTTTTTCACACTGTTCTTTCGTTGATTTCTCTTCAATCATCCATAAATTGCCTCAAAAATAAAAAATTCTCAACTAAATTTTGTATTCTTGTACACACCTTTCCCAAAATTGCCGAAACAGTAAAGATTGTCCGATGACTAAATAAGATACTAGAAAATTTCAACATTTGCTCACAAACGTTTTATCACGGAGAATTTCAATCGCGGAAACATATCGTGAATTTGTCACAGAATCTTTTGAGGAAAAACGTTCAAAAGTCAGAATACTATAGTTCACTGTCATAGTAATCTGTACACCTATTTACAAGCTGAAATTCATTCAACAACCTCAACATCTCAAGACTGGAATCTAAGCCCCAGTTATTATAAGCAGATCTTTAAATGTTGATAGTGAATTCACAATAAAATATAATTTAATTTTACTGATCCTCGTAAATTTTCTCATTCTTGGTATGATAAACAAGGTATGTGTTAGACGATAAAGTGTAAGAAATTGTCGATTATGAAAGGATCCTCATAGGGAGTGACAATTAATTGACACTTCTCAGAAGCTATAAAATAAAAGCATATAATTAATTTCATTGGAATTTCATGAAGTGAATCTCTGTTTGTTGATAATCTGACGAGTTGACAAAATTACAATTGAATAACTCATCGACATCGTCATCAATTATGGTATCATGAGTGAATTGGAGCACTGAAACAGCTATGAAGTACCACGTATTCAAATAATTATTATTCCTAACACAATTGTCAGTTCAAATCCCATAGTAGAAGATTTAGTAAAGGTATTAGAAGTAATCGGAGAGATTAGGATTAGGAGATATTATTCAAGAAGTATAATTCACTGAGGTAAATTTAGAAAGAGAAAGATAGAGGTAATGAGGAATTCAGAAGGTTAGGATTTGAGAGAATACAAACAATGAATACACTTGCTCCATTGCAAACGGTTTTGAGCCATGTTACACAGGATCTCTAACCATAGATTACTATCATCTCGCGGGCCTCAAACAGGTAGTCGACACCTACCGATATGATTCAGTCCACTTGTCAGTGACTTCATGGATTTCTATCATGTTTTGGTCTGGCCACCCCTAGCTTTCGTCCATGCCATTCCTATGTCACAAAATATAGCTCAACGAAGCAGTCAGTGGTTAGGCATACACAACACATGTCCCAACCACCTCAACTGATCAAGTTTCATTAATTCATCCACCAATGACCTGCCATCAGCACCATACCAGGTCAGATACTGCCCGAATGATCATGTGGTAACTTCTGGTACTATATTACTGGATATCCAGTATTTGATTACCACAACAAGATCGAATTTCGTAAAGGTGCTGAGGGGTGCCGACTAGCATGAGACACAGATCCACAGTTGTCCTTGTAACCACCTTCGATCAAGTAACGTTGAATGATCACGTAAGCAACATCAAGTTGCTTAGGTTATTGGCCACATTGTAACTCGTCATTCGGCAGAATTAGCTATGATTCGTAAAATATTCTATTGTTAACGGGAAAAAGGATAAACTGTTAATCATTATGTGAACAAAATGCATAACTTGGTAATAACTTTTCCTAGAAATCCATAATATCGATAAATGGATCCATGAATAAGGAATGATTCTAAACGCATACTCATTTTTATCCCTACCTTATATCTAATCTTCTTAGTAGAATAAAGTATATTCATAGACCGGATTGACTGATAACAGTTTTAATTACACACTTTTAGTGAAAAAAAACTCCGTCTGGAGCCCTTCTAGGTTTTCTGCTGGTCACAACACCGGATCAAGTGTGAGGGTCGGGCGTGGGGTCCTGAAGGACCATGGAGGACGTGGGAACAAACAGAGTAGCCGACGTGGTTTCACATCACCACTTGGTGGTGGCCAAGATGACGCTGAAACTGGAGCAGTACTAAACAACTGAGAGGGCAGAGTCACGAAAGTTTAATACGGCCTTTCTTCGCTGTACTGACAAACTGAACCAATTCAAGATAAGTCTCAGCAACACGTTCAAGATCTTTCACGATCTACTACTCAATGAAAAGGAAACTGTCATGGGGAATAACTAGATAGGCGTTAAATAATCAGCAACTTCAACATGTCTTGAGGTTATGGGCCGTTAGAAACACCACTCCTTATGATTCAAGAAAGGAAGAACAGGAAGGCAGCAATCATTGTCGTTCGAACAAGAGCAGAGAAATTCAGGCCACAAGCTGAATACACAGAAGCGAACAAGCAAGTGAAGAGTAGCGTCGCAGCATCTATTAACCAATCAAATATTCACTCCGAGCTCATTAATGATTCATTTGGAGATGAATTGTTGAAATTCCAGTGCACTATCTTAATTGACAAACTTAATAACACAAATAAAATGTAGCTAGCAGTGAAATCCAGGTAGCATGTTTTGACATTTTGGAGATTACTCGTTAGTTAGATAAAGTTGAACTTCTCAGTCAACATGCACTATTCTACTCGAGCCCAGTATCATTCGATTTAAAGTTCAGTTGCTGAGTAATCCAAACCATTGTACAAGCTTCTGTGTAGAAGTAAATCTCAGCTGTGAAAGATTTCCTGATGGCTATTTCCGACCGCCTAACAAATATTGTGATTACAACTTGAAAGAATCCGATTTGGATAATTGGAATTTTGTTTCATGATTAACTAAGGTTGAATAGAGCAACACCCAATGCGAAATAACATTGATCAGTAACACTGATTACTACTAATGAATTCAAGTACATTTTTTGAATGGAATTCAGCAATGAGGTTTGTTTGTTGTAAACAATCAGAATGTTTTGTTGAAAATGTAAGCTTTGAGTATAGTTCACGTTTCACGGAGACTCGACAATTTGACAAGATATATTGAAAAAATCATTTCATTTCTACACAAAATTTATCTTCAATTCTTTTAAGGTTATTTATAGATAACCTCAACTCCACCAGTTAAAACTTTCATTGGAAAAAGTTGCTATCACAATATGAACGTGGTTTTAAGTGATTCCTGAGTAACATGGTTTATATTATGCATTGTACTCAGTTGCAAAATGAAACCAAAATTAGTTATTACTGGAAAATTGTTTCTCTCTATTATGGGAACTCTTAGCATGGCCCATTCACAACTTACTTGACAGATAATCGATAATTCTCAGGTCTACACACATCGCTGAAGAGTCTGATGTCAGGACAAACACAACGTTGCTTCAAAATCCAACCTAGGTGGTACCTGTAAGTTGCATGCTGCGCATCATACCACCAAATCTCTACGGAGTTCGCATTCAATGTTTTGTAATAAATGATACTCCAACTGGAAAGCGCAGCCATTTTTATTTAGCTCAAATCTAAAATTCCATTCATGATTATAATCGTTAGTTTGATCATCATCTCTACGAAACAACATCTATGCTTCCAATGTTCTGTACTTTACCACATAAAACTGTTTGATAATAACATTGTACAACACTACTGGAATCATCTATGTAGTACACTAATCGCAGTTTGTTCTGTTAGATTGGATTAGTCGTATGACGACCTCTGCATATTTTGTGAAGGTGACATGATATTTATTCTATATAAAAATCTCTACTTTCATTGAATTATTGATTATTTTGATAAACTAATTATCTACACTCCAAATGACATAGACATAACACAAACAAACACTGTAAAAGCGTACGTGTTATATTCACTGTGGTTTTCCTTGTCCACTACATCCACTTCTCACATGGAAATAAATACGTGTACAGACAAACTTCATACATGCATGCTTTACCATATCGATTTTGAAAGCATGTTTATTTATCATTGTTGTTCAATCAATAAACAGAATCAAATCAAACAGGACAGTTGTATTTTTATTTGCTTACATAGTAATTCTGCCTGCTATTCATATCTTCTCAGCAATAAATTATTTCATCAATAGATACATACGAACATGCAGTATATCCATCCAATTGTTTACACATGCTACTTATGGGTGTAAATCAATCTGCACAAATATTACATTGTAAGAATAAATAAATACATTTCATTGAAATAAATCATCAGTCGATCAATGTTAGATCACTATTGCAAAAACTGGAAACATTGAACGGCAGTAACATGCCAGAATGGGACTCGTTCGTTGTGCACATATACATCACTTCATAGAGAATTATCGAAAATTCCGTGAGATCAAGTGGCACTGGAAAACTATTTCATTGTAGAGTTTACAACTGTTTGGAAGTTATGTATTCACACGTCCACACAACTTTCTCAGCTTTATCTTCAGAGAACTGAGTCAATTATTGATTGCAATCGTGAGTTTGCTGTAATTTTTTCGCATACATTCAGTACTCGATACAACTTAGTAATCTAAACTCATCTTCATCAACATGCATGCCCCAACAACAGTGTACACTAGACAAAAACTTATCAACATCTGGACATGAAAGCCTCATCATTAATCATAATATTAATAATAATTATAGTAATAATAATAATAATAATAATAATAATAATAATAATAATGACAATAATGGTAGTTCAGTTCTACCATGTTATCACAAAACCATGCGGGATTGTGTGCATTAATTTTCTTATCTTGAAAAACAGTTGAGAATCAATGTGATATGATCAAGTAGACGAGATCATTATTAAAAAAATCGCATGATTTAATGGGGTTACTTTACATAACCAGCTAGACTTTGTATGTATAAAGGTTGAGGCACGGACAAACCTACATTCTTCATCCCACACACACCTACTCACTCATTCACCTTTTAGTTATGACCGTTGTTCGTCTATTGTCTGGTTCAGATATTTTTCTTACCAGGGCATGGAATCGGAAATAAGATGTCTGCTTTCGATTGGTCACAAAAAGATACAAGATAACCAATTTGACACACATGTTGTATGTAGTCTGGTTGACTTATTCCAATGTTTATGACTGACTCTCTAGAGTTTGTGGCTAGTCCATTTATAATTTGTGTTGTTTTCGGGTTAGGGAGACCAATGCCATATGATAGTTCCAGTTCCTTTTGTTTTGGACAAACTGATCAGGTTGGCTATGATAAATTGATAAATTGGTATGTTTCCATTGAATTATATCAACTGGTATATAAAGCAGTTGTTTTGATGACAACCATGATCTATCTATACACTACTGTTTGAAATGTCTCTGTAATATAAGTATCTAAATGTATTTGTAGCTGTCTAGTATATTTTGTCCATGTTCGAATGTGATACTCGGATGCATACACTAGAGACAGATGAACATAGTATTCTGACAACACATAAACATGTGTCCCCCATGAGAAACAGTAATTATATTATGTGTTATTTTAACGTCACGTTTAAATTAAGGAGTATTCGACCATGATGTAGTTTGTAGGTAAAGAATTTTCAGAGAACACTGTGAAAATAACAATCATATGCACATTAGTGATTGATTTCAAAACTTCATGTGTGATATGATGCAGTTATATTCATCGATGGCAATGGAATATGACTAGTCATTCAATAATCATGAGCTGATTGATGCAAGAAAGATATGTATACCTTGGGTTGTGAAATCAATCGATTATCACCAAACCTGGATGCTTTGAGTTTGATCATCTGTAGAGTGGTGGGTGTGGTTTATTGAAATGTCTCAAATTCAAACACAGCAAATGGAGATTGAGGAAGCTGTTTTCCTATGGCATTATCGAGAGTTCTGGAACTATGCAATCAATAATCCTATGTAGTGTGAGAAAATGATCATCAATGTATCTCGTTTTTGTCACTGGTTGTGCTGTGATCATTCAACCTAGCTTAGCTCTCCTACCACCCGCCACAGCCTCAACCTCTCTAGATAGTGTTCGGTTGATTGTGAAATTGAAGAGTTGAATTTTGTTTTTGGTGATTTAGTAAGGATTGTAATAGAACACGGTGAAAATTATCACAAAACTGAATTTATCCAAAATATGAGATTGGATTATTGACAAGAATCATATGTCATACAGTACCGTATTGTCAGATAACATCACCTAAGATACTGGACATACGTAGTTGGGGGAAATCATTGATTAATTTAAGTCTTATAAATGAAAGAAATGATTTTGAAATGTAGGCTTTAGATAGATGGGTAAATAGATACCTTTAAACATGTCTCACACTATGACAGAAATGTCGACGTTAGATTTAACACAATAGGTAATTATTACAAATCAGTTTCTGAGACGATAAATTTCCATTGAAAAAAGTGATTGACACATGTATAATGCATGCTTAACCACTGTTCTCTTTTTCATCATGGTGTAGGAGTAGGTTGGAGGCAATTGAAAAGTATTCATACCGACATATAACATTATTGACCGTTGTAATGAGTTGTTTAATTAGGTGTAGATTATCTGGTTGAGTTCCTATTCAAAATTGTCGTAACCAGTGGTTGGAGTTGTTGATTGACATGTCACACAATCAATGACAATAGCGTAAATGTATTCACCTTCTCCTTTAGAATAATTGTACTTTTTGCTCGTTTGAATTTATTCTTCATCCTAAATTTATTTTGTTTATATACAATGATCCCGCCCGATGGAATTGAACGAACAGCGTTCGATATTATGCGTGAACGTTCAAAGTTAAGACTATTAAGCTAGCATAGGATGATGGTGTTAATGTCTAATTTTTTCCGAATTCATGACAGTGTTTATGCGTCAACCATATGCTTCTGTGATTAACAGTCACACATCAAACATTATTAGACTTCACTAGTTAACGTTTGTCATTAGAATTCTAGGTGACTGGTTAGTAGCATCTGATTATTACTAGTATAGATTGTTGACTGTCAGTGAAAACCAAGATGTATTGGATGAATAATATTGAGGAATCATATACTAGGATGAAACGTTCATTGAATACTTCCACCAAAATGATGGTCTCGATAATATCAGTTCATTATTTTAACTTTGAAATTCTGAAATTGTGTGGTAATTGTAAGGCATTAGCTCTGATATACAGACAATCTAGCGGTTACTGAGGCAAATGTAATATATACCCTTATCGATAGATTTATTTCAACTTATTAGTAGAACTATCAATAATAAACAACCCATCAATTGGTTACCCAGTTAGTTACATCAGATTATAATTATTAGTGAGACACATGTATCGTTAGAAGACTGATGATGTTCGTTCACAGATGGAACTCACTAATATTCTTTGCTTAATAAACCTGGTTTGAATAATCTCAATGACTCGATCACACTCATTGTTTTCTTGTATTATTACTTGTATTTATTATATATGTGGTTTTTCCTATAGAGGCTCTACTAGATCGATTTTTATTATTTTACAATGGCACGTTAATTTATTTGTGTGTTGTGCATGTAGAATAATAATAAGAAGAAGAAATATGCGTTGTTCACCATGAATCTGTTACGAATCACGCTGCTACAATTTACCATTTCCTATTATAATTTCATATTATAATACTGTTGTTAGCTTAGCTTCTTTGCTATTCTTCGCCATTTCCCTAAACTTTGTTGTGTATATTTCACACAAATCACACACACACACAAAGCCTAAAACACACTGACTGATCCATTCGAATGTGTGTGTCTGTCTCTCACATTAATCAGTTCAACCTGACAATGGTTAGGCAAATTAGAAGAACAGCTTTCAATCACATGCATAATTCTCTGTTACTGGTTCAACTGAAAGTCAGCTGATATCGAAATATCAGAAGTAATTCGACTTCACCAATCAATCAACAGTGTCGAATTTAGGTCATTCAAGTTCAGATTATTTACGGCCAAGGTCAATCATTTTCAAATTCTATGATAGGCTGATTTAAACGAATGGAAGATCGGATTTCATGTTGCATTGTTTGAACATTCCAAGGTCGTATGGTCTTTGTTCTGTTAAAGTCATAAGCATTAACTAAATAGTTTTCACAGTAAATTGAAAGAAATTTGAGTTATGATTGAAATGTGACATTGATGTAACTACGTACTCTGTGATCTCTTTGTTCTATTATATTTCAGATAATGCATCCCACATGGTTAGTTAGGTTTCACACTAGGTTGTTCACAGATAGATTCAATGGAATTCACTGTCATTAGAAATGTATAGAGAGAATCAAGTTGCCTATAGGATTGATCACAAGATTTATGGAGAGCATTAGAGAATAAATCAGGTAAATAGAAAGATGACTGGCGAAAAAATTATGTTCAAAGTCATTAGATAATGTTTAAAAAATTCGTCTAGAAACCATTATCTTGTCTAAGGAGATGGATGGATGGTTGGAAGAAATTTATCATCAATGTTACCGAAGTCTGTCAGAGACTTACTTATATTCTGACTATGAGTGGAGCTTTGAGTTTAATAAAGAAGTGTATTCAATTTAAAATTGTTTAAAATGGCGAACTTACTTTTCTGGCAAATAAATCCAATTTTTTTGCTACATGAATATGGTTCAAGCCATCCATTTCTAATGACAGTACATTGTGTTGAAAATTGAACATCACTATCTACCCATGCTCTAGTAACCCATGTATGTCTATTTATCCAGTGATAGTTATGTTGCCATTCGATAAGTTTTTTACCCAACCAATCGATACGATCATGTGAAGCTATAAGTGAACAAAAATGGATATTAGTTATTGATGCATGTAGTATACATTTTTATACATACACAATAAGGTTTTCTAACAGTTTAAATGTACTCATTTGTCAAGTTAGTTCTGTTTCGATTAAGGTAGTTCAACACTTTGTCAGTGTAAAAAAATTTGTGCGAAAGTGTACCATTGTGAGCCGTGATCATGTTACTTTTATCGAACACATCAGTAATATGCCGAAGTTGGTCAAGCTTCTTCACTAGGTTACATGCAGCACGTCTGCTCCGATAGTTAACTATCTTGAAAATGATACAATTCAAATGTATCTTCTTATTTACATGAGAATTGTTTTAGAAGAAACTTGTATTTCAAGCCTTTTCAACTTTATTGACTTTCTGTTTCATTGAACTAATCTCGTACATACAATGAAGTCTGTCTTGAAATAATGTTTACTGTACACACAAGAAAGACAGTTAGCAAAATAAGCAAATCATAACAGGACAGTATAATAACTTCGGAAAGCTTTTGTTACATACAACTTAGTTGATATTGAATTTTATTTTGCTGGAAGCTGTACTTGGAATTGTGATTGTTCGATAACTATATCAAATATCAATCATTTTTGGGTATTTTTCAAATATTTCCATGTTTAGTTAATAATGACTGTAGATTAGGAATTTTATTGCAAGTTTTTTCATCCGGTGTGCACTGGTCTACTACGCTACAACAACGTCACGTATTTAACTCAGGCAGTTACGAAAGATTTTGTAGACATTTGGAATGACAGAGTTTGTGAATGTTACTATCCAATAGGCAACATTATTCACACAATGAATGAACGTGAACATGATCGGAATTACTGACATACAACACAATTATTCAACTTTAGAAACATTGTGTATAACCTCAGTCTTATGTTTTCGTTATGCAATAGTTGTTATCTTTATACAAAGATGTTAAAACAAATTAACTGTAGGAAACCTGTGACCGATGGTAACATCGAAACAATGCTTTGTAGAATAATGTTGAAATTTTTCGTCTACGATTAGGAAATTTGTAGAAAAATTATTTAGTTGTTTCTAGAATAGTTCAAGGTAATTCACATTGATCTGTATGATGAAACGAACAAGGTTGGAGTTTATTATTACTGTTTTATGATTACTCCATTATTCTGTCAATCAATCGAACTTTCAGTTCAAAGCATTGAATGTAAGTGGTAAGAGACTGGGAAAATATGAGAAATATTGTCATTTAAACAGTTTAGTTAAATGTTTACTTTAACCTGAAATAAATCAGTGAAAGTAATGAATGATTGTTTGTTGGAGACTATTGAAGATAAATGACCTATTTTGATGATTTCATATTTTTGTTTTGAATTGCAAATTGTCAGTCAGTCTGTGGTGTGAGCTACTTGTAAGTAGTATATGACGTCAGTGTCAACGTAATGTCTGGTAGCAGAAGTTGGGGGAAGATCAAGAAAGGAAGAGTTAGAAAACAACGGAATTTGTATGAAACGCATGAATAGTGACAATGGATTGATGTTTTGTAACAGGAACAGTCCAGTTCGATAGGATGAACTGATATTTTGCAAATTAACGCGATTTACGATATGGTTTTCCTATTTTACTGAGTAACTCTGTAATTTTCGTTAAATACAATTCGGTTGCCCCACCTATGTTCTACTTCACTACATTTGGTGTCGCTGCCAGGATGAAGATACCATGGCCGAAGGAGTTCGAGGATGGAGATGTGGGAGCCTTCCTGAAGGAGTTTGGGGCCGTAGCGGAGCTAGCCGGATGGAAGCAGGAGAAGACGGTGGCTTTGGGATTGCTGCTCCGCGACCGTGCGAAGGCGGTGTATGACAGCCTGGATGCGAAGGTGAGGACATGGAAGGCGGTCACTGATCGGCTTGTCACGGGATTTGACATCCCAGTGGATCGGCAGGAGGCGCTTCAGAAATTCAGGACGGTGAAGTCATCGGCGGATGGAGACACACTGGTGCTGGCAGTCGAGTTGTCCAAGCTGTTAAGTCGCGCGCTGCCGAGTTTGGATGAGGGATCTGAAGCTCAGCTGTTGGCATCACAGTTCATCGAGAGTGTTCCGGACGCCATTTCCCAGCAGCTGAAGTTTGTCAACGCCGCACATCCGATGAGTATAAATGAATTGGCGAAAGTGACTCGACAGCTAATGACGCAAACAGCAGCTTCGGTGGCGTGCGCGAGTCTGGAGAAAGATGATCTCGAGAAGAAAATTGATGAGCTGCAGCGTGAGGTTGCCGCAATGAGAGTAACTGGCAGCAGGAATAATAAATGATACGCTTGTGGAGGAACAGGACATTGGAGGAGAAACCGTCCCACAAGACGAAGATACAAGTATGTGAAAAGTTATAATTCGGGTTTTGTCTTTTCGGGGAATCTGAGGGTTGTCGCTTTAGTCGATAGAGGAGCGATTTACGCCAGAGTAAGCATTAACGAACGCGAGTTAGTATGCCTGATTGATACAGGGGCAGCAATATCGTTGATAAGCAGAAAGCTATGTCAGAGAGTCGTGCCATGTACATTGACAGTCTATCGACATTTAGCTTTATATGGATTTGGAAATGATTGTGTAAAATAGTTGAGGCATGTGATCATCATTGCACGAAATTTCAATTGTTCAGTTTTGTCTTTCTGGATAGTCAACCGTTCAGTATAAAATGCTTGTAAAAGTATCTGGAGTAGACATACTTTTTATGAGTTCAATGTAAGTAGCTCTATAGACGTGAGACACATCTAAGTCGTTCAAAGTTATTTATGTATATACATATATATATTTTAAGTGTAAAAATATTTATCTATGCGTACAATTTCTATCAAGCAATACATGTATATCTGTTCATTCTCTTCACCCCAATACACACATACTTGCTAAAATTCCACCAACTTCAGAATGACAAAAATTATTTGCTTCTTGATATGTCATTGGTACACCAAAATAATAAAAGCAATTGAATTGATGAAAATCCCAATTTGGAGGACAATAAATTCCTTGTTCTAATATTGAACTATTACTTATATAAAAATTGTCATAATTTACTTCAATTCGATATGAATCATCTTGATAATCATAGATTCGATTTTGTGCGAAATTTCGGGAAGTTGTTATTCGATAGTGATTTTTATCATCGGTTGTGAAATTTGTCAATGATTGTTGATTGTTAGACAATGATGATGATGAAGTCGACAATGTGGTATCTCCCCACCAGTTGTATTGTGCATCGATTTGATCCAATTGATAACATATGCAAGCATCATATTCCAAATGTATTCTCCATTCTTGAGGGCATGATGTATGCGGTGAAGGTGGAGGACATTGAAAATCTGATTGTATGGGTAGAACACTATTAATGAAGAAGGAAGGATATATGTAGATCAGTATCAATCAAATGACACAATTTACTATTCAGATGTACATTTTAATGTTGAATGAATTAATCTATTGCCTTGTACTATTTATTACACAAATTCACATAACTGTAAATAATTATCATGAATTCATGAATAAGTATGCTTCAATGATGAATTGACTGCGGAAACCTAATGGCTCTGGTAAATACCATTGGTAGAATTGAGTTGTCCGAATTAAATGATTGAATTGTAGAGCTTTTTTAATTGGTAATCTGAGCAACATCATTAGCACTCACTACCAAACATTACTACTACCAGTGGGAAAGCTATGATAAGTGAAATCGATCAATTAGAAATTGAAACACTTACTCACTATGATAATACCATAGAATATCAGTTAGGAATAATTATTTAAAAAGAAGATTAATTGAATTCGGAAAGTGTAAACGATTTGAATGTTATTAACGGTGGTGTATCATGTTTTACTGAGGTATTATTAACAGATATTGGCATTGAACTGGCCAGTTATTATTGTCTTGGAGAAATGCATCATTGTTTGTCGAACAACTAGTGTAGAAGTTGTAAGCTTTCTCTTGCGAAACCAAACGTCCTGGGTTTGATCTTCTGTTGTGAGTGCATGGATAAGTATTGTTCAATGATTTCATAACTGGACAAAACCGCTGTTCAGTGCTTCCGAATATCTACTGGTAGTACAAGTGAGATCAGTTCGTAATTTAAACTGTGAAAATCTTACAATTCCCACAAATCCACTCATACATATAATAATGATACGTTGACCAACCACTAGTCACAGAAGCTTATCAACATGACTCACGATATGAAACTATCACTAATCAATTACAAACATTTACACAGACACACACACATTTACACCAATATAGACTGCAACGTGATAGATACTAATTGTTAGACTGAATCAGAATGGATACATTTTCATGTACTTGTGTTCACAAACTATCTCAAGGTTGAACGGCAAGTGAGCTATCATGATAAACGAATCACACGATTGGAAGAAGCCGTTCATGCAGCAGCTAGTCAGGGTTTAAACTCTACATATCCTTATCTGGGTCAGAAGCACAATCTAATATGTGCACACCTATGATTTGTGCTCCTTATATGATTGGGATTGGGAACTAAACCTTTCTATTCATTTTAACTATCTCATTTATAGAATGAGTTTGGTACACCATAAGAAGCGTAATTTGCAATTGAATGAGACCACTACACACAAGACTAATATTGATCTATTGTGCCATTCCTTTGCGATTGATATAAATTTTACACCACAGTATAATCTTCAACTGACAAAGTATAGAATGCTCTAGAGATATATCTTACAAAAGTCTATTTGGAAAGTTACATTAGGTCATCATGTATGTATGTAAGTATGTATGAATTGGAATCCATGATGGTTGCACATGTGAGTGAGTGTAAGTATATGGACTTGTGGCTAAGTGGATGCTTTTAAGAGACAACAGATAGAGCTAGCTTTGAATTCTGAAGTCAAATGTCAACTTTCAAGTTGACGAGAATGAAGTTGGTGCATTCCAGATTCTACAGCTAGCCGAATTCCATAATATATCGACTAAAGGACGAGTGTACTGCGCAGTAGTTCGCTCCGTCTTACTTTATGGCTGTGAAACATGGCCAGTGAGAGTAGAAGATATTCGTAGGTTACTGGTTTTCGATCATAGGTGTCTTCGAAGCATTGCTCGTATATCGTGGGACACCTGAGTGAGCAACGCTGTTATTAGGAAACGGGTGCTAGGTAAGAATGGCAGATCAATAGATGAAGTAATGAAACTTCATCAGTTGAGGTGGTTGGGACATGTGTTGCGTATGCCCAACCGCCGACTGCCTCGTCGAGCTTTGTTTTGTAGTGTAGGAATAGGTTTGAAGAAAGTTAGTGGCGGCCAGACCAAAACATGGCAGAAATCCATGAAGTCATTGACGAGTGGACTTAGCCATGTCGGTAATTGTCGACTACCTGGTTGTGGTCCGCGAGATGATAATAATCGATGGTTAGAGACCTTGACTGACATGGCTCAAAACCGTTTGTAATGGCGCCGGTGCATTTATTCTTTGTGTTCTCTCAAATCCTAATCTTTCGGATTCTTCAACCCCTCTAGTTTTGACTTCCTAACTTTTCTCACTGAATTATACTTCTTGAATAATATCTTCTAATCCTAAACCTCTCCGATTACTTCTAATACCTTTACTACCTCTTCTACTATTGGATTTGAATTGACAATTACATCTCTCTGTTCTGATGTGGTATGGCAACATGAACTGATGTACGTACGTACGTACGTACGAAGTTCTACGTTGCAACTGAATGACTGAATATATCGTTTGTGATTGCATATTATTAAATGGAACAATTTCTCCAAAAGAATATTGTAGCAGGTGTAAATTCAAAAAACAACATCTTGTAATCGTATTTTAAATGATGACTAAAACTCACCTAATTATACTTTGATTACCAGTGACAAGTTCATAATCATTGAATATATTATAAAAATAATTATATCGAAATATATTGTTAGAATGTTTACATAATATCGTTGTACGTTGTATGAAATTTAACGCTTGATTATGATAGAAACCATTGGTATGATAAATGGAATATTGATTGAAATTTTCATTTCCATCACATATAAGTAGTATATCAGCACGATTATCATAGATGAAATTGTTTGCGAATGGTTGACTTAATACACCACCATTTATATGAATCATTGTTCTATAACCACAATCATTATGTGCTATATAATTGCGTAATACTTGTATTGAATTGAAATGATTACCTGTAAGAAATGAAAATGTAGATTTCTATCTATCTATCGATATTATATACTGTCGAATTCAAAAATTTCACACACAATATTGATCATTGAAAATTGTTCCGGCTCAACAAATAACTCAGTGTTATTGTGTAATCATGAAATTCAACTGGTAAATATAAGTTCTCTTAAGATTACACACACACGTACGACTTGTTGACTGATGAGTGGCAACTAACACAAAACTAGGTCAACGGTTGGTTTTCTGTTGATTCATTTCAACTATTTAACCTCACAGCGTTAATCAAACTAATTAATGAGTACACAATACAACTTGATAGATGGAATCTGATCAACTACAGTGTAAAATCTATTGTATACCTTCGGTTATTAATCATCAGTGATTAGTTAGTGATGTCGGATGTGTACAGTGTTCCTTTGAGTGATAATTCTATAATATTGATAGCACACCTAACTACTGGAAAACAAAATAATATTGTGTGTGAGAAAGTGTGCAATATCGTCAAGGTCTGTGTTATATCCTCTTTCGTGATTATCTATGCCGAATATATTATTCCTACTACAGCTGTTTTAATCAATAATACCAGTGTGGTGAACGAGAACACAGGTGAGGGCAACCGAATTGTATTCAACGAAAATTACAGAGTTACTCAGTAAAATTGGAAAACCATATCGTAAATCGCGTTAATTTGCAAAATATCAGTTCATCATATCGAACTGGACTGTTCCTGTTACAAAACATCAATCCATTGTCATTATTCATGCTATTTCATACAAATTCCAGTGTGTTCTAACTCTTCCTTTCTTGATCTTCCCCCATCTTCTGATGCCAGACATTACGTTGACACTCACGTCATATACTACTTATAATTAGCGCGCACCACACGCGTCCACACTTTTAATAAGCTGTCGTCGTAGTCTTTCTGATTGCCTTAACGTTGTCATCTTTGTTGCTTTTCGTGACTCATACACTTGATAATCTTGAAACCATCTCTGCAGTTGACTAGCATTTATGCGCTTCTTCTTGTCTTCTCTCCGTAAGCCCGTTTATCTGCGGATGATACGGTGTAGTTCGTATCCTCTTGATGCCAAACTGCTTTAGACGGGCTTTAAACTCCTCACTTTCAAAACAGGGACCCTGGTCAGTTAATATCACCTTCCGTATTCTGTGACGCGCTACAATATGCCGGATTACCACTTCGGTCATTGGTCTTGCCCGCTGGTCTGGAATGGGTACGGCATCTATCCAACGTGTAGCGTTTAGTAGTTCCCGCTGCTGGGAGACGGCGGCAGGCACACTCTCGATAAATTGCGACGCCAACAACTGTGCCCCCGACTCCTATTCGATATTCGGCAGAGCACGGCGCAACAATCTGATGAGCTCCTCAGCAAGCACCAGCGGGTCACTATCAGCCGACAGCCTCGCCAACCGTAACTCCTGCGGCGCCTCCCCCCTGTCCACTGGGCTGTAGAACTCCACCAGCAGCCGCCCGTTGACCGTCTCCCACGCCGTCTTCCCGGCGGCACCGTCCAGACTGTCGTACACCGCCTTTGCCTCACCTCCCCGCAGAGTCCCCAGCACCACCAACTCCGCCCCGGGCCCCTTCGCATCCACCAGCCTCACCGTGGCCTCAAACTCCTCCAGGAAGCTCCGGAATTTCTCCGTCTCCAACTCCTTCAGCCACGGGAGCTCCTTCCTTCGAGCAGGCAGCGACACCAAATGTAGTGAAGGAGAACACAGGTGAGGGCGACCGGATTGTATTCAACGATAATTACAGAGTTACTCAGTAAAATTGGAAAACCATATTGTAAATCGTTAATTTGCAAAATATCAGTTCATCATATCGCACTGGACTGTCTGTTCCCGTTGCAAACAACATCAATCCATTGTCATTATTCATGCGTTTCATACAAATTCCATTGTTTTCTAATTCTTCCTTTCTTGATCTTCCCCCATCTTCTGCTGCCAGATATTACGTTGACACTCACGTCATATACTACTTATAAGTAGCTCACACCACAATATCTGAATAATGAATATTAGTAACATAGAAACATTTCATTGAAATTAATTAATCACAATAAGTAAGAGATTTCAAGAAGTAACCTTTATTTTTTTCATTTACCATAGACTTGAAGAATACTGCCTAATTGATTTCGAATAATCACATTGTTTGTTAAATTTGCTTGAATTCCATTGGTTAATTGATTAGCTAATAAAACCATTTGAATTATATCACCAGAATGTTTAGTTATGTAAGAGTTTTGTAGTACTAGATTATGAGAATTGGTCAAGTACAGCTTTAGAGCTGGTGGACCAGTTAAATTCAACATATCGAAACCATTTTCTTCGAAACGAAGATTTGATAAATGTATATCTGGTCCAAATTCACCAATACTTGTTATCCGTAATCCACCATCTTGAATATGATTAAACTCACACGTATCGATTTCATGTCTTATAAATCTGTCTGTTTTAAACAAAAAACAAAAAAAAAACAAGATGGAGAGGTTTAAAAAGTTTGCATTATTTGTTACATTGATCAATGATAACATGTTTTTTAAGTCAATTCAAAATGAATTTGATTTACACAAACTACTTATTTAATAGTAGGTAGTTAGTATAAAAGTGATAAATATTTAGTTTACGGAATGGTCATATGATTTGTCTATGAGGAAGTTAAAAACAGAGACGGTAAAACATTTATAAACTGATTGTATAGGAAAAAAAAATAGATATTTACTTTTCATTTGAGATGATTTTGCGTGGATTTAAATGGTTAGATAAAACTTATTATGAAATAACTTCAGCTATGCTGGAAGTCGAGATGACTACAACTACATTTTTGTCTCGAATCGTCAACACTCCATTTGCCTTGTACTAGACATAGAATCAATGAGATAAGTAGTTTGAATGGCACTTTGATTTATTTTCGATTATATTTCTTATTATGGAGTGTACTTAGTGAATTGTGTAGGTTCTCAAATAAATACACATCAAATTCTAATATGAAGTTTCTCTAATCACAATTAATTATGAATGAAATTTGAGTTGTGAATAATGCTTATTAGTTGTTGGAATCCAAAGTGGTACAATTTCTATCAACTTAACAGTTGATTTACATTTTGAATCTATCTCGTTGATAGCTGTTCATAAACTTCTTCATATGAACAGGAAAAATCGTTACTGTATTACTCAGAGTTCTTTGTGCAGTTATCAAAGTTGATGACCTACACTTGTTGTAACAGGGAAAAACTACAGTAACTAGTCATTGAACTAAACAATAATACATTGTTTATCTGAATTGGAGCTTATATATATGTATATATATATATATATATATATATATATATTTGAAACCATGAATCGATCAATGTTAGACCACCATTAGAAACCTGGAAGCACTGAAAGACGGCCGTTTCGTCCTGGTATGGGACGACTCCTGCACCCCTCAAGATTCGAACCCAGGACCTTCGGTATTGTGCGCGAACGCCTAACCATCGAAACACTGGGCCGGTATCTAACGGTGTTAATGTCTAACTTCGGTCAATTAACGGAGTTGCGCAACCTCATACACAGTCTTCGGTAGTAGTTACTGTCTACACCCGAACAGGTTGAACTTCACTGGTCACGTCTTCCCACTGAAACCATTGATCGATTCATGGTTTCGAAAATGTGTAACTTAACAATCTTCACAACCCCGTAATGTATATATATATATATATATATATATATATATATATATATATATATTGAGTTGGGGGAAACAATAAGATGTGTCACAATAGTGTATAAGCTTTTTAAGTTCGTGATTAACTGTAGACACTGTTTTTTTTTATGACTAGTAATTTTTACTGAACACTACACTCATACGATAATCAATTTAAGTTTTAATGTTAACGTAATGCTATTCAATTTGATTCTGAATGGTAGGATAGTGTAGATAAAAAAATTTCCGGTATCAGTAGTATGTGTATGGTCTTAATGTATTTCAGTGATGGATACTACTTTCAAAGTGGCATAAAAGTAGTATGTAGTGTAGCTTCACCCAGAAGTTGCTACCAGAGAAAAGAATAGAAGGAGATGAAGACTTATAATGTAAGCAGTGTAGTTTTAACGACAGGTGTGGTGTATATTTTGTTAGTAAACGATATCTGCAACTAACTGGTTCACTCCACACAGACAACACACACATTACATTAACTTCCTCATCAATATTTATTTAACATCAATTGTATTCTTGTCTAACAGAATTCACTTCCATCTCAATAGTGTTATTGGTCTAGATACCATTATTTCCTATTGATTGATTCTCTTGATGTTCATTCGGAAAAATAATGTTTATTTCATGACTGACTAGTATCTGACCTGGAAGCACTGGACGGCTGTTTCGTCCTGGTATAGGACTCATTGTAGTGGCCGATTTTGTTGACGTCGAGATCACCATTTATATGTAGTGTGCCAATTTACTGAGTGTTGCAAAGCTCGGTAATTAGCTCGTCTAGACAATCGTTACTAAATGGCGTCTGACGGTTTGTAAATCAGAAGGTGAACTTGAAGTGATGAATACATTTATTTCGGACACACCTCAAAACGAATCGGAGAAGCAGTGAATAAAACGAATGAAGCGACATGAATTGGAGAAGGCTGTTAAGCCAACTCCAAGAGAAAGAGCATGACTAAGAATATATAGTCAGACAAAAGTAAGACAGACATATGACAAGCGAAATAGACATGCACGTACATGAATAAACGCGACGAATGACTGACAAGGTCAAAAGCAAGCGAGACAAGTCATGTGAGTGCATAGGGATATTAAGAGATAAACATTAAAGCGAAAAGGATGAGTAAGCGCGTAGGCGTAAGCAATATTCAGTCGTACAAGCACATACAAACCAGACAGTAAAAAATACCAATGGTACATATGGGTTGTTACTATACAAATAGGCTTGGTCTACATAAGTTAATCGAAAGCCTCAATCAAATAAAATATGAGCGAACTCAAGTTTATGTGGAGGCACTACATCATCAGCAGTGCACATCCACGACTCCCGGGTTCGAATCATGCGAGGTGCAGGAGTCGTGGATGAGCACTGCTGATGAGTAGTCCCATACCAGGACGAAACAGCCGTCCAGTGCTTCCAGGTTTCTAATGGTGGTCTAAAAATCATCGATTGATTGGTGATTTCAAATGTGTAAAAACACAAAAGCTCCCAAACTCTGACCCAAAATATCTCACTAGTGACTAGCTTAGTGAGGAAATTCTCGGAGTTCTAGGTGAGAGGACGTGACCAATGGAGTTCAATCCTGTCGGGTGTAGGCAGTCACCTACCAAAGACAAACGGGTGAGGTCACGCAAAATCCATAGATGAATCAGAGTTAGACATTAACACCGTCGGATGCCGGCCCACTGGTCCGATGATTAGGCGTTCGCGCACAATACCGAAGGTCCCGGGTTCGAATCCCGCGAGGTGCGGGAGTCGTGTATGCGCACTGCTGATGTGTAGTCCCATACCAGGACGAAACGGCCGCCCAGTGCTTCCACGTTTCTAAGGATGGTCTAACAATGATTATTTGATGATTTCAAATATATATTTGATAAAAATAAAACAACAGATTAGTGTAACATGTTTGAAACTGTCCACGATCAATATCTAATTTCAATTACAAGATTGTCTTAATCTTATGACTATATTATTTCTTAGTGTTGCTGATTGTTCTTCAATACTAAATGTAAGTATATAGTATAATTCATGATGTGCTAACAGAGTTATCAGCCCAAGTTTTAACCTCCTGTGGTGCGAGCTACTTATAAGTAGTATATGACATGAGTGTCAACGTAATGTCTGGCAGCAGAAGATGGGGGAAGATCAAGAGAGTAAGAAGAGTTAGAACACAATGTAATTTGTATGAAACGCATGAATAATGACAATGAATTGATGTTTTGCAACTGGAACAGTCCAGTTCGATATGATGAACTGATATTTTGCAAATTAACGATTTACAATGTGGTTTTCCAATTTTACTGAGTAACTCTGTAATTTTCGTTGAATACAATTCGGTTGCCCCACCTGTGTTCTCGTTCAATACACTTCTTCTTCTCTGTGTCAGATTCTCCCTCTCTCTCTCTCTCTCACACACACACACACTGTTCCTCACATTCTCTTTAGTGTACACAACATACCGTTTAATATATATTGATTAAAAATTATTGACTAATTAAACAATTAATTCAACTTACTCATTTCTTGCTGTTTACGTTGAACAGATAATGGTAAACTAATAATTTCCGCAATAAATCCATACTTATCATCACTAATTGAACTAGCTTGTACATGTACAGTAAATTCATCATGAATTGGTGAAGTGATAAATGTGTAATGATTTTTTTTATTGGTTAGATCATTTTCACGCATTGTTAAAGTATCATGTGTTATCAGTGTGATTATTGAATTTAGAGTTCGATTTGTACCATTATACAACTGAATGAAATTCTGTGAAGATATAGTGAAAATATAGTGGTATGTAAAAGGAAAATTCACTATCAGTGAGAATATTGAAAGCAATGTAGACTAGGTGAATAGGGAAAGATACCTGGGTGGATTTTATGGTGTTGCAGTTAACAGAACAGATAATGGAGACTGTCTACTGCAGCTATGCTCAGACAACCGCCTATTTCTAGCTAACACTAACTTCAAGCATGAGGAAAAACATCTCCTGACCTGACAACCTCCAAAGCCGACCCAACTAGATCACACTGCTATAAGTCATTGGTGAAGAGGCTCTATTGAAGACTACTGCTCATTTAGAGCTCTTGTTTAGACTCAGACCATGCTTTAGTACGAGCGTGTATTTGTTTGCGTCTTACTGGATATCGCAAGGAAACCTCTTAGGGTCCTACTTAATGATAACAAAGCTAAGAATATATTTCAGGAACAACTAGGAAAACAATTAGGCAGCCATGTAGTAAGTAATGCGCACCCTGAGGCAACTTGGAATAATATCGAAGAAGCTTTGGAAACAGCAGTGATATCTACTAACAAGGTAAACCATAAGGTTAGGGAGAAGCAGTGGATTTCAGTAGTATCTACTGAACTGACGGATGCTCGAAGCTCATCCCACCTGGCTCTGAGTGCAATGAGGAGCAGAGTCACCTCAGGCGCAGGTTGAAGAAAGGCCAACGCAAAGATTGTGAACAGTGATGGGTAGCGAAAGCAATAGAGATGGAAAAGGCAGTGGCGATAGGTAACAGTAGACAGTTGTTCCGACCTGTCAAGGAAATCGGTATTAGAAATCCATCTGTTAGCGAAACTTTCTCAGAAAAGGATGGCTGTATCATTCATTCTCAATCTAGAAGATTGAATCGATGTGCAGAACACTTCAGGGATCATTTCAGCTGGCCTTCAGCCACACTTCAGTTACCCACGATCTCCAGTCATCCTGAATGCCAAATCAACATAAGACATTCGACTCTTTATGAAGTTGAGAAAGTAATAGGAAATTTGAAGCGAGGGTGAGCAGCGAGTCTTGATAGATTGACTACTGAATTTTTAAGGATGGTGGTTCAGTTTTAGCAGTTAGATTAACTGAACTCTTAGGTAGAATCTGGGAAATGGACGTAATCCCATCTGACTGGACTCAGTCGCTAATTGTCCCAATGTATAAGAAAGGACAAAAGTGTTCTTGCGCCAATCACAGGGGAATCAGTCTAACTAATATAGTTTCTAAATTGTTAGCATCGATTATGCTTAGAAGCCAAGCTAGAGCTCGTGAAAAGCAGACTCGAGAAAACCAGGCTGGTTTCCGACCTGGATGTGGTTGTATAGACCACATCTTCACTCTGCGACAGGACCTGGAACACAGACACACATTTAGGCGTCCTACAATAGTTGTCCTCCTGAACCTTAAGGCGGAATTCGACTCTGTTGATCGTGAGGTTCTGTGGCATTGTCATTGAAAGGTGTACCAAAGAAGTACATTAACCTTATACAAGCTCTCTACTGGAACACCACTGGTCGAGTGAGAGCATATGGCGAACTGACATCGGAATTCTCTACTTCAAGTGGTATTCGTCAGGGATGTCCTCTCTCTCCATTCTTGTTTAATTTTGTCATAGACATTCTCCTAGATATAACCTTATCCTCGTCTGAATTTTTAGGAGTGGACCTTCTAGCAGGAAAATCGCTTGCTGACTTAGAATGTGCCAATGACATAGTTCTATTCGGTGAAGACGCTGAAAAAATGCAGAGTCTTCTGACCACCCTAAGCAACAATGCAAGCATGTTCGGGATGCGGTTTTTCCCCTCGAAACGCAAAATTTTGCTTCAAGATTGGGTTTCATCGGCACGTGAACTAGTGATTGGGAGTGAAGTAGTCGGACGTGTAGACCGCTTAACTTATCTTAGGAGTCTCATCAGTGCTGATAGCCTGGTGACTGACGGAATCTCAGCACGGATGCAGAAGGCTTGATTGACTTTTGCCAACCTTCTTTACTTATGGCGTAGGCGAGTTATCTATTTGCTAACCAAAGGAAGAGTGTACTGCGCAGCAGTTCGCTCTGTCATACCATATGGATGCGAAACATGGCCAGTCAGAGTACAGGACATTCGTAGGCTATTAGTATTCGATCATAGAAGTCTTATAAGCATTGCTCGTATACCCTTAGACCACCGAGTATGCAATGCTGGTGTTAGGAAACGGGTGCTAGGTAAGGGTGGTAGATCAGTAGATGAAGTATTGAAACTTCATCAGTTGAGGTTGTTAGGATATGTGTTACGTATGCCTAACCACTGACTGCCTCGTCGAGCTATATTTTCGACATAGGAATAGCTAGGGGTGGCCAGAAAAAAACACGGTAGAAATCCATGAAGTGACTGACAAGTGGACTGAGTCATATCGGTAGGTGTCGACTACCTGTTTGAGGCCCGCGAGATGATAATAATCTATGGTTAGATACTCTGAATGACATGACGCAAAATCGTTTGCAATGACGCAGGTGTATTTATTCTTTGTGTTCTCTGAAAACCTAACCTTCTGAATTCCTCATTACCTCTATTTTTCTCTTTCTAAATTTACCTCAGTGAATTATACTTCTTGAATAATATCTTCTAATCCTAACCTCTCCGATTACTTCTAATACCTTTACTACCTCTTCTACTATTGGATTTGAATTGACAATTATATCTCTGTGCTAATGTGATATGGCAACTTGAACTGATCTACTTACACACCAAGTTCTACGTTGCTGTTGATTGATTAATTTCTGACACAGAAGTAAACGGAGTGAAGTTCAAATCTTACATTCTAAACTACCAGAATATCAGGAGTAACTCTATATTTCCAATGACTTTCTTGAGTAAGTAATCACTGATATCGATCGACTAAAACTGTTAACGATAGGTAGGATTTTTGAATTATTTTTGTTACATTTTTTGGAAATAAATGTGTATAAATGTGTAAATTAAATAAGAGAACATTTCTAGTTTTAAAAAAAATGTTACATTCAACAAATACATACTTTAATCAATGGATCATCATATAAATTAATGGCTAAAAATCTCCATGCCAGACGACGTCCTGGTATTATTGAACGAAATATCTTTCTACATGATTGTATACCAATTAAATGAGAAGAATATTTAAATTGAACAAGAATACGATTGTATACATGATGAATTAATTTTTCACTTGAACACATTGAAATGAAATTCATTAAAATCTCTTCATTTTTAAATGGATATTCAATTAAAGGTGAATGAAAGAATTCGGTGAATAAATTTTTATTCAGTAATAAATGTTCAATTGATGGTTTTGGTAAAGGGAATAATGATTGTCGTTGTTGTTCAAGTGAGAATGTTGATGGATGTATATCATAAAATGACTGGAAAATAAACAAATAAAACAGTTAAACAATCCGCCGTTTAATATAGTTTATTATTGAACAATGAATATATTATTATACTATTACGCCTGTTACCCCCAATGGAGCATAGGCCGCTCACCAGCAGCATTCTCCAACCAACTCTGTCCTGGGCTTCCCACTCCAGTTCTGTCCAATGTTTGTTCATTCCTCTCATATCTTTCTCTATTTCTCAGGGTAATGTGTTCATTGGCCTTCCTCTTTTCTTTTTGCCTTGAGGGTTCCATGTGAGGGCTTGTCTTGTGACACAGTTAGGTGCTTTCCGCAATGTGTGTCCTATCCACTTCCACCGCTTCTTCCTGATTTCCTCATCCACTGGAATCTGGTTTGTTCTCTCCCACAGTACGTTGTTGCTGATGGTGTCTGGCCAACGAATCCGAAGTATTTTGTGAAGACAACTGTTAACAAACACTTGTATCTTCTGGATGATGGCTTTCGTAGTTCTCCAAGTTTCCGCTCCATACAGTAGAACTGTCTTCACATTTGTATTGAATATCCTGATTTTGATTTTGGTTGAAAGTTGTTTGGAGTTCCAGATATTTTTCAACTGTAGAAATGCAGCCCTCGCTTTGCCAATCCGCGTCCTCACATCTGCATCCGATCCACCTTTCTCGTCGATGATGCTGCCCAGATATGTAAAGGTGTTAATGTCATCCAAGACATCTCCATCAAGAGTGATTTGGTTGGTGCATGTTGTGTTGCGTCGGAGAATTTTGCTTTTTCCTTTATGTATGTTGAGACCTGCAGCTGCTGAGGCTGCTGCTACATTTCTTCTTCTCTTGCATTTGTTGTTGTGGGTGTGATAGAAAAGCCAGATCATCTGTGAAGTCCAGATCGTCCAGCTGCGTCCTAAGTGTCCAGTTGATACCGTGCTTCCTTCCAGATGTTGACGTCCTCATAATCCAATCGATCACCGGAAGAAAGAGAAAGGGTGGGAGTAAGCAACCTTGCCTCACACCGGTCTTCACCTCGAAAGAGTCTGTTAGCTGTCTTTCGTGTACGATTTTGCAGCTGAATCCATCATAAGAATTTCGTATGATGTTGACTATTTTCTCAGGCACACCGTAGTGTCGAAGAAGCCTCCACATTGTTTTCCTATCCACGCTATCGAATACTTTCTCGTGAACACTAAATAAGGTGTTTTCAATTTTAAATTCTAATGGAATAGTTTATAATTTGGAAAAAAAAAGTTTTATATCATAGAATCAATCATATTAGGTGAAGAAGTCAAGTTGTACAAAATAGAAAATTTCATTCTAGTATAAGACTACTTAAAAGTGAATGTCTATGCTTCTATCAGCACAGGGAATTTCACCCGCAATTATAAGAGGCTTAATCTGTAGACTAATTAGCTTGCAGTCATTCTATAATGGAAAATTCTAATTTAATTGTTTCATGATATTTTGTGACCAACTTTTCTTGTCATCTGTTTCACATCCGACTGACCATATTTGAACTTTAAGGTTTGCACTAGAATTTCAGAGTTACTGTGATGCGAGCTACTTATAAGTAGTATATGACGCGAGTGTCAACGTAATGTCTGGCAGCAGAAGATGGAGGCAAATCAAGAAAGGAAGAATTAGAAAACAATGGAATTTGTATGAAACGCATGAATAGTGACAATGGATTGATGTTGTTTGCAATAGGAACAGTCCAGTTCGATATGATGGACTAATATTTTGCAAATTAACGCGATTTACGATATGGTTTTCCAATTTTACTGAGTAACTCTGTAATTAACGTTAAATACAAACCGGTTGCCCCACCTGTGTTCTCGTTGACTACATTACCTCTTGAATCAGTCATTAAAGAGTACATGGTAAATATCACAATAAACGTTTTCGGGGAGTTTTGAATAGTATTTATATTACAAACCGACTAATCCCTATTGGGTTATGATTGTGGCCGGTGTGAAGTCACACAACAAGAAGAAACAGCTTTCTAGTGCTTTTATTTTTTAGCTAAGGTCACTTTGTGATATCAGTCATATTCAACAATCTCCACAAACCAATATACTGATAGACGATATGCTGGAGTTAAAGACTGTTTTTTTTCGAGTGGAAGAAGTTGTAAGTAGTCGGTAAGGAATCTTGAATATAAGATTTGTGTTATGTGGTACTCTTCACTCTTGAAAGGCAATGATGTTCCCAGTGGAATTTGAACATCTTCACAGTTTATGACCTTAGCGTTGAGATGTTTGTGTAACTACTAACTTTTCTTAGAACTGATATGTTTACATTTGATTGATCACTGAGTTGTGACTTTGTTATACTTGTGTAGTTCTGTATAACTGACTGTGAATTCTCTTGATCAGTATACAATTATGAGATAAATAAATGTAACATTGTTCACTATTTAGTGATTAATTAGTCAGTTATTAAGTGCTGTTTACTTTCAACTTTTTAAATTCTTTAACAGTGTCTATTCATAATGTTTATATAAATTGAATTCATATTTACAAATTATCCAACTAAAAAATGATAAAGTTTTCATTAGTGATCGATTGATTTACAATGAATTCCTGTTGTTTTAATATAAGAAATTATAATTGAATTAAAACAGGACTCAATGATCACCATTGTGGAGAGTTGACTGAATTTGTAGTGTAGTGAAAGAGAACACAGGTGAGGGTAACCCATTCGAATTTATCTCAAATTATAGAGTTAATTGGTAAAATAGGAAAACCATATCGTAAATCGTTAATTTGCAAAATATCAATCCATCATATCGAACTGGACTGTTCCTGTTGCAAACAACATCAATCCATTGTCTGACATTTCACTGTTCATGCGTTTCATACAAATCCAATTGCGTTTCCGCTCTTCTTACTTTCTTGATCTTACCCCCATCTTCTGCTGCCGGACATTATTACGTTTTACTCGCGTCATATACTACTTATAGGTAGCGCGCACCACAGTAGATTCTAACAGACTTATCGACATGATACTATGCTGGCCAATGAGAACAGATCAGTATGTATTCGATCCCATTTAAGATTGTTTCTTGTTTAGACCAGCAAAAAGTTTCAAATGGGACTGAAATAGATGTCTAACATTGTCTGAGTTTTATTGATGGAGCCGAAAATCTACAGTAAAATGTTGATTGATTTTATTTTTTATTCGTAATAAAATGAACTCTTTTCTATTTTCATTGATATTAATTGACAAAATGATGACTACTTTTACAGAGCCATAAAAGGTTAATCAGCGAATTAAGATCTTTTTTTTGTTGATATGAAATGATTTATTATAGATTATCTAATGTGGCGGTGGGTGGATATTCGATTGATTCTTAAACTTCATACATTATTCGTCCTGATGACCATTACTCTGAATTGGTAATGTTTGACTGTTGGGTATGTTAAATTCACTTGATAAATGCCCCGATTTTGGATTTCATGTTTGCGAGAATGGGCCGATCAGTTGACCTTGAGATTTCATTTCCCCCCAGCAAAATCCATGGCTGTGATTGGCTGCTGTGTATTTTAGTGTGCGAATTTTCGTAACTGTCTCAAGGACATTTCTATGATGTATAAATAAACGAGAGTTGTATGCTTGATTGTATTGTGCTTGCTGGGTGTTTGTAGAATATACTTTCTACGCTTACCAAGCCTTCTGTTTACAGCTTGGGATTCAAGGTAGCCTTTCTGGACGCTGGTAATTGTCTCGTTCGCGTCTATCGACTAACGTAAACTCGTAATAGCTTCAAGCGTACCTAGTGACGAACATAACATTGACACATAATTCGAACTATTTAAAGGGTCGACGTTATACAATGATGGAATTTGATCACAAATATTACAAAAGATAGTCGATAGTGTTATCGAATCATTTTAACAAGTGATCATTTTAAAGGCCGATAGAATGACTATTGTGTCAAACTGGTAAGCAATCAATACCCAGGCGTATAATGCGCATACAAACTGAACAATCATAAAAGTACTATGGTATGGATAAGTTGTTGCTGAATGAATTGTTAATACGTAAATAAATACAAATGTATATGAGGTGCTCCGCTATGTAATTGTTGTAACGATTGCTTAAATAATTTCTAGCTAATTTCTATTGCTTAGTATTCTCTGACCACACAATACACTGGACAAGTTCCAAAGAATTAAGGACACGGTGGAACAGGAAAAAGATTATATTCCAAATAGTAAGGTTAAATGGAAATACGAAGCTGAAGGCGAAATAGACACAACGTTAGTTTCTTTCTAGTATTTACATGAGAAGCTTCTGGATAGTAATTCATCACGTGATCTACTGGATTAGATTTAGCCAATCAGCATGCAGCTAACAGCTTCGACAATTTTCTACCCTGTTCTCCAAGATTCGATCAGGCGCTGATTGGATAGGAAATTAGCCAATCAGAGCGCGGCAACGTAGTCATGCTTTAATCAACTAAATAATTAATTATGCTTAATTTAAATGATTGTTTTAATCCTATGTCACACATTGAAAATATCTGCTTACTTTAGAATAATCTGTTCCAATAGTAACTGGATCGGTAGAATCACTATGAAATATGGTCAGACCTAATCCATGTCCAAAACATGTTGATACAGTAGAATTAGTAACTTGAATTGGACCATTTGGTACAATAAATTCAAATCCAGAATCAAGACAATGATTAATTTTGATAAATGAAAGTCTATATTCCATGAAAAAAAGTATGCCATACCATAAGAAGAAGAAAAACAAATGTAATTAGTGTACAAATAATAATAATAATAATAATAATAATAATAATAACAATGTTAGGGTATGTAAACAGTTAGTGAAATTTATTGAATTGTGTAGCCTGACAACAATACAGATCGATATTTTGGGGTAGAGTTTTGGAGGTTCGTGTTTTTACACATTTGAAATATGAATCAATCATTGTTAGACCACCATTAGAAACCTGGAAGCACTGGACGGCCCTCAAGTCCTTGTATGGGACACATTTAGCTGAGAAGACGTGACTAATGGAGTTCAATCCTGTCGGGTGTAGGCAGTAACTACCAAAAACAAATGGGTGAAGTCGTGCAAAATCCGTCGATCAATCAGAGTTAGACATTAACACCGTTGGATGCCGGCCGGCCCAGTGATCCGATGGTTAGGCGTTCGCGCACAATATCGAAGGTCCCGGGTTGGAATCCTGCGAGGAGCAGGGGTGGTGGATGCGCACTACAGATAAGTCCCATACCAGGATGAAACGGCCATTCAGTGCTTCCAGGTTTCTAATGGTGATCTAACAATTATTGATTGATGATTTCAAATGTGTAAATACAGATTGAGTTGATGTTCACTAGGCAACTAGTGAAAACTAAAACAAAAAAAAGATTCGAACACTCATTGTTTTCCAGTATAGAATTCTTGTACAATACTTTCTAGTTATCTGTGATTTTCTGAATCCGATTAACTTAAATCATGCAAATTATGCAGTATAATAATATATGACCAATATAAATGTTCATAATAACAGATAAACAAAATTTTATGACTATGCATCAATATGTGTAATCGATCACTTGAATGAATTAATATGGAAGTCAGTATAGGTTTTTGGAGAGTTTCATCAAAATCATGAATTGACCAAGACTACTATTAGAAATCTGAAACAGTGGACGGCCGTTTCGTCCTGGTACGGGACTCATCAGCAGTGCGCATCCACGACTCATGCACTCCTCAAGATTCGAACCCAGGATCTTCGGTCTTGCGTGTGAACGCCTAACCTCTGTATCACTCAGCCAGTATCCAACGGTGTTAATGTCTAACTTCGATCAACTGACGCAGTTGCGCAACCTCATACACAGTCTTCAGTAGTTACTGTCTACACCCTAACAGGTTGTACTTCACTGGTCACGTCTTCCCACTAGAACTCGGAGAAGATTCCTCATGGAGATAGTCACTAGTGAGCACAGATAATTGCATTACGGGGTTGTGAAGATTGTTAAGCTACACATTGATTGATTCATGGTTTCAAAATGTATAACTTAACAATATTCACAACCCCGTAAAGAGTAAGTTATATCTGACAATTGGTTAGTTTCAATGATACCCAACAATCTCCACAACCATAAACTTACAGTTATCATGTATCAACTAGTGTCTAGCTTCGTGAGGAGATTGTCGACTTCCGATTGAGATGTCGTGACCAGTAGCGTTCAACCATGTCGGGATGTTAGGCGGTTTCCCACTGAAGGCATTGGATGATGGTTGCTCAAAGTCGTGGATTGATCGAAGTTAGACAGTAATACTGTTAGATTCCAGCTCAGTGCTTAAGAGGTTAAGCATTCGTGCGTGAGACTGAAGGTAGAGGGTTGGATTCTGGTGTGCGAGCTGGTAGATGCGAAATGTTGACGAGTACCACACTTGGACGAAACCACCACCCAGTGCTTCCAGGTTTCCAGTAGTGGTCTAACAATTGGGCATGAACTGACAGATTCAGCTTGTGGACTAATCAGTTTCTAATTTCCCTTCTATTTCTGCTGTAAACTTAGTGTAGACTACTTTGTAGTTGTGTTGAGTAAGATATTATCTTACTTACTTACTTACTTACTTACGCCTGTTACTCCCAATGGAGCATAAGCCGCCCACCAGTTTTCTCCAACCAACTCTGTCCTGGGCTTCCCACTCCAGTTCTGTCCAATGTTTGTTGATTCCTCTCATATCTTTCTCTATTTCTCAGGGTAATGTGTTCCTTGGCCTTCCTCTTTTCTTTTTGCCTTGAGGGTTCCATGTGAGGGCTTGTCTCGTGACGCAGTTAGGTGCTTTTCGTAGTGTGTGTCCTATCCACTTCCACCGCTTCTTCCTGATTTCCTCATCCACTGGAATCTGGTTTGTTCTCTCCCACAGTACGTTGTTGCTGATGGTGTCTGGCCAACGAATGTGAAGTATTTTGCGTAGACAGCTGTTAATAAACACTTGTATCTTCTGGATGATGCTTTTCGTAGTATTCCAAGTTTCCGCTCCATACAGTAGAACTGTCTTGACATTTGTATTGAAAATCCTTATTTTGGTTTTGGTTGAGAGTCGTTTGGAGTTCCAGATATTTTTCAATTGTAGAAGTGCAGCCCTTGCTTTGTCGATCTACGCCCTCACATCTGCATCGGATCCACCTTGATTTTCGATGATGCTGCCAAGATGTGTAAAGGTGTTAACGTCCTCTAAGGTATCTCCATCAAGAGTGATTTGGTTGACGTATGTTGTGTTGCATCGGAGAATTTCGCTTTTTCCTTTATGTATGCTGAGGCCTGATGCTGCAGAGGGTGCTGCTACATTTCTTCTTCTCTTGCATTTGTTGTTGAGTGTGTGATAGAAGAGTCAGGTCATCTGCGAAGTCCAGATCCTCCAGCTGCGTCCTAACTGTCCAATTGTTACCGTGCTTCCCTCCAGATGTTGACGTCTTCATAATCCAGTCGATGACCAGGAGAAAGAGAAAGGGTGAGAGTAAGCAACCTTGCCTGACACCGGTCTTCACCTCGAAAGAGTCTGTTAGCTGTCCTCCGTGCACGATTTTGCAGTTGTAGACGAAGGACAGCTAACAGACTCTTTCGAGGTGAAGACCGGTTTCAGGCAAGGTTGCTTACTCAAGATAATTCAAGATATTATATAGTTTATGTAATAGTTCTCTTTACTTGGTTGTAAACTCTGTATCTGTGATAACATGATCCAGTTTACTTATCGCTAGTTAATTGAATGTCTAGTTTAATAGTAGCATAATCTCGATTATAGCAGTGGGAAACAAAATATTTTTAAAACATCTATATATCGTTAATGTTATACAATTCATCTTATATTAGAATCGCTCTTTCTATGCTCACTTGTCCATACAGTAAAAAGCGGTGCAGTTTATCCTAACATGTAACTATTCATTAGTGCACAACCATAACCTTTTCAAGGATTGAACCTTCCCTAGTCCGGGACCCTGATTCTCTTCTGGATTCGGACCTCGTACTTTTCTGGATGCTTTTAGAATACAGGTTCTACTTCATACATATCACGTCTTCTAATTTGTACGAAATATGGGGGTTAAGATAATTGGATTTGAGTAGTATGTCGTGTCGCCGGATCCTCGATCCTCGCTCTCGTTTTTCGACTGGGTAAACTCGTAATAGTTCAAGTATATCAAGTTGACGTGTTTACGTTCAGGTGTAACATATAGTTCTTCCTAGTTTTCACTAGTTGCCTAATTGAAATCAATTTTTAATGAATACAATCTACAAACTAAACTGATCTTCATAAAACCATCGTTGAATAATGCTTCATGTGAACATATCAATGTTTTGACTTACTTTGGATAAGCATACACCGTAGTTAGTGCTGGAACACGTTCACCATGTAGTAGACCTGCATTTTCTATAATAACATGTTCAAGTATCGATTGTTTTATAGGATAAGTTTTATAATCACTAGACAATTTATTTGAATAATAATGTTCAGAATTAGTTTGTTGTACAATACGAATATTACCCCAAGTTGAAGTGGATAAATCTATGATTTTTTCTCCCGTTAACAATAGACTTCTATTAATGTGAGGTATACAACGTAAAAAGGCAAAGTTTTTGTGTTTCAAACATCTAAAAACAAAAGAATAGAACCGAGTAGAGAGAAATAGCAAAGATTTATGATGTTAATTTGATTAGATTTTCGAACTACTTATAATTATCAAATAGTAGTAAATAGAATAAATTTATATTTTTGTGTAACAAACACAATAGAGAAAAAAAAACGTTGTGATTCAATTCATTTCGTGTTATCATCTGTATTCAATAAATTGACAGCATTTTATTAGATTTTATTCACAACTCAGCATAGTCTAACAGGAGATCCTGAATAATGAGCGCATCCACGATTCCGTGTTTTTTCATACTCTCGATATCGAGCTCCGACGCCTAACTTTCAGGCACTACAGAGCCCGAATTTCATGGTGTATGTGTCTGACTTGCATTAATTTACATTATTGTGCAATCATTTCTGATTATCTTCAGAGGGTAGCTGTTTCATACCCTACCATGTTTAAACTCAACTTGTCAAGGGATCTGACTAGAATACTTGAATCATCTTGTGGAATTAGTCATGAATTGTGGTTTGTGGAGATTATTAAACGTTACGTATATCACAAACTGAAATCAATCAGACACCTATTGGAAACTAAGATGCACTCAATAACTGTTTTATTCTAGTATCAGACTACTCAGTGTTGCTCATTCATGACCCCGTAATGTCGTGTGAAGATTGAAGTTAAACGTATGCATTATTAGATTCCGGGTCAAATTTCTATGTGTTCAATTTTAATCCAAGGTCGAATGTCCTTGGCTTAATCCTCTAGTTTGGGTCGTGAGGGAACACTGTTGAATAATAGCCTCATACTAGGGCAAAACAGCTGTCCAACGCTTGTTGGCTTTAAGTGGACGTTTAACTTCGGTCTGTTCAAGATACCGATAGCATTTCATAATCTTCACAAATTTCTGTTCTTACAACAATTTGATAAGTTTAGTTGATTAGAAATTTAACTTATGAAATAAGTAAGTATATCAGTATTTGTCGACTATCACCTACAAATTAAACAAGTTGTATACACATTTCACACTAGAAACCTGCTTCAATTACTCAAGGTTATTGTGGTGGTGTTTCGTTCTCTGAGCTGGTTGTTTTGGTTGTGGGCCTTTCATTGTTCTTCTGAACAACATCATCAGCACAAACTTCAGAAGCGAAATCAAACACAGAAACAAATAAACACATCATCCTACCATACATCAAAGACATATCGGAACATACAGCACGACTACTGAAACCATTTGGAATAGGTGTTGCACACAAACCAACAGAATCACATCAATCAATCCTATGTAGACCAAAGGACAAAATGACAAAGGAAGAAAAACCAAATATCATCTACAAAATAAATTGCTCAAACTGTGAAAAACACTACATAGGACAAAGTGGACGACCTCTTCAGCTCCGTTTACGTGAACATCAATTAACAGTCAAACGACACGACAACGCTTCGCTTATATCAATACATACCGACTATTATGGACACACATTTGATTGGAACAATGTGGAAATACTGAGTAGGGGGAGGACAAAGAACACTAGAGAATTTTTAGAAGCTTGGCAATCAGGTCAATCAGCAATCAACAAACACATCGACATTGACCCAATTTATCAACCAATCAGGAAAATCATAGGTGACACAGGATCAAGAAACAGATCAAAAGGGGGTGGCAATCAAAACAAATTTGAAATCATTAATCAATCATCATTGTTAGACCACCATTAGAAACCTGGAAGCACTGGACGGCCGTGGATGCGCACTGCTGAGGAGTCCCATACTAGGACGAAACGGCCGTCCAGTGCTTCCAGGTTTCTAATGGTGGTCTAACAATGATGATTGATTAATGATTTCAAATGTGTAAAAACGCAAACCTCCAAAACTGTGCCCCAATAAATCAAAACAAAGTTGCAAACAACGACAGGTCAAAGGTCAACAACAACTAATCAAGATCGACGTTAACAGAACAAGCTACAGGTCAAACGTGGAGAAATTCGAACGCTTCACTTCTATCTGGAGTTTGTGCTGATGACGCTGTGTTCAGTAGAACAATGAAAGCTCCACAGCCAAAACATCCAGTTCAGAGAACGAAACACCACCACAATCATCCACCTGAGCTACACGTTTTCTCCACCAACTCAAGGTTATGATCATAAGTCTACAGTGAGTAAGTTCAATTTCAGGAATAAGCCACATATGAGCGAATTGAACCACAGTTAAAAATGTGAATCATTTAAACTTTAGTTTGATGATGATTAGTTGAGAAATCGAAAAGCACTAGATGCTGTCATAGATACTTGGATGTTAGTTATTTACATTTTGTAATATTGTGTTCATCACTAAGTATGCTTGAAGCTATTACGAGTTCACTTTAGTCGATAAACGCGAACGAGACAATGAACCAGCGTCCGGGTAGGCTATCTTGAATCCCAGCGGAAGTAAGAAGGCTTGGTAAGCGTAGAAAGTATATTCTACAAACACCCAGCAATCACACAACACAATCAAGCATACAACTCTCGTTTATTTATACATCATAGAAACCTCCTTGGGACAGTTACGAAAATAGCACACTAAAATACACAACAGCCAATCACAGCCATGGATTTTGCTGGTGTGAAATAAAATCTTAAGGTCAACTGATCAGCCCATGCTGGCAAACGTGAAATCCAAAATTGGGGCATTTATCAAGCGAGTTTTGGGGATCTAACATCCCTAACATGTAATCAATAACTTTCTACTTACTGTACAACATTATAATTTGGTCTTTTAAGACAATGAGTTAGTTTACTTTCAAAACCAGTACATATGTAACTTTCCATCCAAAAATGCTTGATATTCAATAAATTTTCAAATCCATACACATAATGATCATAGAGATTTGAGAAGCGTACAATCGCAGCCAGTGTGGACATATTGAACTCTGAACATACGACCTTGAAATGTAGTGAAATGAAAAAAAAAACATAAATATGAATTTGTTACATTGAACTGCTGCAGCATTCAAAGAAATATACAATCTTTGTATATTTAAGTAAATAACATTAGCAAGATTCTACATAGTTACATTTAGGCATAGAGTAATGTTAAGTTTTTGTATCTGCACTTTTTAATATCAACAACCAACTAAATTTGAAAATAAAAAAGTAGCAATTAAGAAACTAGGAATCTGTTGAAATAATTATATGGAATTACTGAGTAATAGGCATCTATAATTTGATAAATAAGTAGTTAATACACTACTTATAAGTAGTATATGACGCGAGTCAAAAAGTAATGACTGGCAGCAGAAGATGGGGGAAGATCAAGAAAGTAAGAAGAGCGGGAACACAATGGAATTTGTATGAAACGCATGAATAGTGAAATGTCAGACAATGGATTGATGATTTGCAAATTAACGATTTACGATATGGTTTTCCAATTTGACTGAGTAACTCTGTAATTTGCGATAATTACAATTCGGTTGCCCTCACCGGTGTTCTCCTTCACTACAGTACGATCGAGTGTGAGGAGACTCTACTCTGCTTCTCGAAATATTCTTTTAAGACCATGTGTACATAGCGTTGATAGTCCTATTTACTGCCTTCTTTTGGAGTGGCTCTCTAAGAAAATCACCTTCCTCTCTATTTGGTTGCCCAAGTATATTTCTTTGACACATACGCCCCAGTGTACTCATGCTTATGTGTTTAAGTAAATAAAATACACATGATTATCAGTGGAATGACTTACTTGAGCTACACGTGTCGAGAATTGATGATCACATGCAATATGCCATTTTTTGTTTGAATGATTAAAAAATTGAACAAATCCTTCGTTAGGCTAACAGATTGAATGAATAAAATAAAATAAAACAATGAATTAATTAAAAGTTTATAGGTTAGAACAAATGGAAGTTGAGCAAAAAAGAAGTACTATTGTGGTGCGAGCTATTTATAAGTAGTATATGACGTGAGTGTCAACCTAATGTCTGGCAGCAGAAGATAGGGGAAGATCAAGAAAGGAAGAAGAGTGGGAACACAATGGAATTTGAATGAAACGCATGGATAGTGACAATGGATTGATGTTTTGCAACAGGTACAGTCCAGTTCGATAGGATGGACTGATATTTTGCAAATTAACGATATACGATATGGTTTTCCAATTTTACTGATTAACTCTGTAATTTTAGTTAAATACAATTCGGTTGCCCCACCTGTGTTCTCGTTCGCTACACTATCACTATCCATAGAATGAACCAATAATAGTGTAAAGTATCAGTCTTAGTGTAATGAATGAAAACTTCAAGACGAGATTGAGAAGACACAGTTTACTCACAAAATATGTTGTTACGAATGCACGTAAACACGTCAATTTGATATGCTTGAACTGTTACGAGTTTACCTTAGTCAGTAAACAAGGGCGATGATTAAGGATCCGGCGACACAACATGCTACTCTAATCCGAGCCTCCTAAACCCCCATTCAGTAAAAGAAGAAGACTTGATGTGATGTAGAACATGAAACCACATGGTCCGAGCCCTGGAGCGAGTAGGGATCTCGGATCAGGGATCCGGGTCCGGGTCATAAAACGTTACAGATAATGCGTATCTATACTTTTAGGACGACCAATAGGAAACAACCTTTGAAGCACGTGACACTGATAGCTAGGACGACCATAATATCGACCAGTAGGAATTGATCAATAGAATGAGATTTACAAACAATAATTATCCGACGGTATGGGATGAATATCCTAACACATGTACATTTTATCTTCAGACATCCATTTGCAAAACAAGCAGATTTTCAATTGTCTTATTGTCTCACATATCTTCTTTTCCTCGAAATACTTTGATCGCACCATACATTCAGATCGAACATTATTAGTTCCTGTCGTCACTTGTCGATGACACTTCATTGCATAATACTTAGAATCTTAAGTTACAATTAGTAATCACTGCAGTAGGACCTTCAAGTTTCATGATAAGTAAGTTATATTTGAGCGATTAAGTTTATACAACTCACAATTTAATATGGATCATTAATGACTGTTTCACAATTCTAGGTTTAGTTATAAATTTCAGCCACTGAATAAATAATCGTTAGAGTTTAGTAGTTCTTAAACAACAACAACAAAATTTAGATAAAATTACAAATTTTTCATTCAATAATTCATGTTTTTTGATTGATTTCCGCTGATTTAATTTATTGTCATTTTGATCAAGTCCTTAAATGATAATATGAAGTAATTAATTGTAAGAAGGAATTCATTAATTTCGTATACAATGCCACAGAATTCGATCGGGGGATATTTTTTTTTACACATTTGAAATCATCAATCAGTCATTGTTAGATCACCGTTAGAAACCTGAAAGCACTGTACGGCCGTTTCATCCTGGTACGGGACTCATCAGTGGCAGTGCGCATCCACGACTCTAACAATGATTGATTGATGATTTCAAATGTGTAAAAACACAAACCTCCAAAACTCTGACCCAAAATATCGCAACAGTGCTCACTAGTTACTAGCTAGCTTCGTGAGTAAATTCTCGGAGTTCTAGTTGAGAAGACGTGACTAATGGAGTTCAGTCCTGTCGAGTGTAGGCAGTAACTACCAAAGACAAATGGGTGAGGTCGCGCAAACATCCGTAGATCAATCAGAGTTAGACATTAATTAACACCGTTGGATGTCGGCCGACCCAATGGTCCGATGGCTAGGCGTTCGCGCACAATACTGGAGGCACCAGGTTCGAATCCTGCGGGGACCAGAAGTGGTGGATGGTCACTAGGCCAAAAACTCTTCTGACAACCAAAGCAACGATTCTTTTAGGTACATAGGACGTTCGAACATTTTGGGAGACCGAAAGACTATTCCAAGTTGATGCAGAGATGAAAAGATACAACCTGGAGGTGCTTGGAATCAGTGAAACGTATTGGACACAGGTAGGACAACTGAGACTAGCTTCAGGGGAACTGCTGTTATACTCCAGCCATGAGGAAGAAAATACCTCACCCACACACAAGGAGTTGCACTGATGCTGTCCAAACAAGCACACAAGGCAGTGACAGAATGGGGATTTCATGGACCGAGGATCAATAAAGCATCCTTCAAAACGAAGAAAGACGACATTACAATGAATCAAAGAGGCAATCGCTTCAACATGTCAAGAGGTTCTGGGTCACAAGAAGCACCATCACAAGGAATGGATCTCTGTTGGTACTCTGGAAAAAATTGAACAATGGAGAAACAAGAGGGCAGCAATCAATGACAACCGAACAAGAGCTGAGAAATTTAAGGCACACGCTGAATATACAGAAGCAAACAGGGAAGTGAAGAATAGTGACAGAGCTGACAAACGGAGATATGTCGATGATCTAGCAATGACGGCGGAAAAGGATGCAAGAGAAGGAAACTTGAGACAATTGTACGAAACAACAGAGAAGCTCGCCGGAAACTATCGTAAAGCAGAACGAACAGTGAAAAGCAAGGAAGGCAAAGTAATCAGCAACATTGAAGAACAGCGAAAAAGGTGGGTAGAGCACTTTAAAAAACTCTTGCATCAACCGGCTCCACTGAACACACACAACATCGAACCAGCATCTACGGGCCTCCCAATCGATGTTGGCTGACCAACATTGAAGAGATCAGTATAGCCATAAGACAAATCAAGAGCGGCAAAGCAGTAGGACCAGACAACATTCCAGCAGAAGCGAGGAACGCAAAAGTATTTCACTTTCTCTTCAACAAGATTTGGGATGAAGAACAAGTACAATCACACTGGAAAGAAGGATACCTCATCAAAATACCAAAGGAAGGCGATCTCAGCAAGTGTGAGAACTACAGAAGCCTCACTCTCCTTTCAATACCAGGCAAAATCTTCAACAGAGTATTGTTAACAGAATGAAGGACTTTGTAGACGTCCAACTTCGAGATCAACAGGCTGGATTTCGTAAGGATCGATCGTGTACTGACCAAATTGCAACATTAGGGACAATTGTGGAACAATCAGTTGAACGGTACGCACCACTCTGCATCAACTTCATTGACTACGAGAAAGCATTCGGTAGCGTGGATTAGAAAACAATGTGTAGGCTTCTTCGACACTACGGTGTGCCTGAGAAAATAGTTAACATCATACGTAATTCTTATGATGGATTCAACTGTAAAATAGTACACGAAAGACAGCTAACAGACTCTCCCAAGTTGAAGATCGGTGTGAGGCAAGGCTGCCTACTCTCACCCCTTCTCTTTCTCCCGGTGATCGACTGGATTATGAAGACGTCAACATCTGGAACGAAGCAAGGTATCCAGTGGACAGTTAGGACGCAGCTGGACGATCTGGAATCCGCAGATGACCTGGCTCTTCTATCACACACGTAACGAATGCAAGAGAAGACAACCGGTGTAGCAGTAGCAACAGGTCTCAACATACATAAAGCGGAAAGCAAGAGTCTCCAACTCAACACTACATGCGTCAATCAAATCACTCTCGATGGATATGCCTTAGAGGACGTTAAAACCTTTTCACATCTTGACAGCATCTTCGACATCCAAGGTGGATCCGATGCAGGTGTGAAGGTGCGGATCAGCAAAGCAATTGAAAAATATCTGGAACTCCAAACAAATATCAATCATCACCAACATCAGGGCTTTCAATACAAATGTCAAAACAGTTCTACTGTTTGGGGCGGAAACTTGGAGAACTACGCTAGCTATCATCCAGTAGATGCACGGATTTACGAACAGTAGTCTATGCAAAATACTTCGGATTTATTGGCCAGACACAAATCAGCAACAACCTATTGTGAGAAAGAACGAACCAGATTCCATCTGAGGAATGAATCAGGAAGAATTGCTGGAAGTGGATAGGACACATATTGAGGTAAGCACCCAAGTAAATCACAAGACAAGCCTTCACTTGGAACCCTCAAGGACAAAGGAAAATAACAAGGCCTATGAACACATTAAGACGAGAAATAGAGAAAGATATGAGAAGAATGAACAAAAATTGGACAGAACTGGGAAGGGAAGCCCAGGAAAGAGTATGTTGGACAATAATGGTCGGTAGCCTATGCTCCATCGGGGATGACAGGCGTCAGTAAGTAAGTATATTTAATTACCTTGAAGAGCAATGTTTCTACGAAACAGGTTTCATAATGATCAATCTCATAGCAAGGGAACAATAGGGTTTGGCTTTATGCTGACTGATATTCATATAATCTAAGTATTAGAATTATTGGGAGAGATTATGCCTGTACATCAATTTAAACTTGTGTTACTCAGTTGTGTGATGCATAACACTATAAATGCTTCAGAATTTAAATATCACTGTGTAGTATTCACTATAGGTATGACTCATTCTTTGATTTTTGATTGTATTTGTTAGGATATTTACCAAATATCCTAAGAATACTGTTTTTAGAAGTACAATCCTATTGGCCGAAATTATGATCGTTCCAACCGTCAAGGTCAAATACTTCAATGTTGCTTTTTATTGGTCATCTGGACTGTCAATGTCATTCAAATGTTCTTTTCTATTGGTCGGCCTAAACTGTTAGTGTCACAGACGTTGATGCTCTTTCTTATTCGACCTTAGTGTATAAATACGCACTATCTGAAAGACTCAGTAATTCCGTATCCCCTGCCTACCTCTTCTTCTGCATTCGACCCAATAAACAACTTCCTTCCACGGTGTTGCGTTCTGATATCTAGGAGATTTGGAAATAGCATTTCGGGTCGTATTGAGATATTTGAATTGGACGCCGTTAGGACTGAAGAGCTATACGTAGCGGCGTTACAACAGTATTCTAACGTACAATATTAGTTGTTCTAAAGCCGCCATAGTGAAACTCTTACATTGTGATTATTCACTCTAACTAATAGTGTCTAACATGATAAACGATTTGGTCAAAAAGAGACAAAACTAAAAAATAGCAGAATAATATTGAAGAACATGAGTATACTGCCAAATGTAACAGGTTACAACAGATATGAATATTTCACAATTCAGTTCACAAATCACCAATGAACAACGAGAATACACACTGTAAAATACACATTGTATATGAACGGAAAAAAAGGAACAATAACAAATTTACCAATTCAAATGATACTTTTGATTCATTTGAAAATAAAATGATTAGTTTGAGGTGGCCAATTACTGCGGCGGGCTCACCATTTTGTGGTGCCCAATTTACAACGTGTTCTTAAGTTCGGTAATTAGCTCGTCTAGACAGTCGTTACTAATTAGAGTCTGACGGTTTATAGAATCAGAAGGTGAACACAAAGTGTTGAATACGTTTATTTTTCTTATATACCATAAAGCGAAGCGGCGAATTAAATGAAAGAAGCGACGTGAATTGAGCCAACTCCTAGGATTACAATACGAACGAATGGGCGAAGGAAGCGAATGAACAGGTGGAACGCGTTGGAGAAGGCTAATGAGCCAATTCCCAGAGATAGAATGTGACTAAGAATATATAGTCAGACAAATACAGGAGAGACATGTGATCAAGGAGATAGGTGATATGTTCGTCACTTAGTATGCTTGAGGCTATTACGAGTTTACCTTAGTCGATAAACGCGAACGAGACAATAAACCAGCGTCCAGGTAGGCTACCTTGAATCCCCAAAGCGAAATAAAGGCTTTGTAAGCGTAGAAGTATATTCTACAAACACCCAGCAATCACAGTACAATCAAGCACACAACTCTCGTTTATTTATACAACATAGGAACGTCCTTGAGACAGTTAAGAAAATAGCACACTAAAATACACAGCAGCCAATCACAGCCATGGATTTTCCTGGTGGGAATTGAAATCTCAAGGTCATCTGATCAGCCCATGCTGGAAAAACGTGAAAACCAAAATACGGCATTATTAAGCGGATTTTGGGGATCTAACATCCCCAACAATAGGTAACCACACACATGAATAAAAGCGACGAATAGTTAACAACGTCAAATGACAAATGGGACACGTCATGTGAGCTCATTTGCAAACCAGAAAATAATAATAAGAACGAATGGTACATACAAATTGTTGCAATACAAATGGCTTGGTTGGTTAAATAAATTCATCAAAAAGGCATAACCAAATTATTAAATGTAAGCGAACTTGAATATATATGTGGAGGTACTACAAATTATGATGGCTGAAATAAGAAAAACCAATCAATGATAATTTACCCGTTCACCACCGATTAATCTAACGCTGTCTGACGATAAAGTGATCCTATTCACTGATTGATAAGTTTTCATAGTTGGTTTATTGTTATGATTGTTATTTGTATGGACAATGTTTGGTTTACGAAATTTTGTCAATATTAAATTGGATTTTGTTAGTGAAGTAGATTGATGCTTATTATAATTCAATTGAGAATGATTTATTGATGTAAAAATGATCGGATTCTCATGTGTTCCAATTGCTTCAATTCGACCAAGTACCAATAAACCAATATGTGGAGCAAATTCAAATTTTACACCAGCTTCAATATGTAGCTCTACTCCAGGCATGACAGTGATATCTGATGTGATCTTGACAAAAAAAAAACAACAAAGAAATAATTTTAATTTTAAATTAAATTTAGATATTTTGAGGCAGAGTTTTGGAGGTTTGTGTTTTTTTATACATTTGAAATCATCAATCAATCATTGTTAGACCACCATTAGAAACCTCAATGCACTGAATGGCCGTTTCGTCCTGGTATGGGACTCATCAGCAGTGCGCATCCACGACGCCTGCACCTCGCAGGATTCGAACCCGGGACCTTCGGTATTGTGCGCGAACGACTAACCATCGGACCACTAGGCCGGCATCCAACGGTGTTAATGTCTAACTCTGATTGATCTACGGATGTTTGCGCGACCTCACCCATTTGTCTTTCGTAGTTACTGCCTACACCCGATAGGGTTGAACTCCATTGGTCACGTCTTCTTAACTAGAACTCCGAGAATTTCATTACGAAGCTAGCTAGTAACTAGTGAGCACTGTTACGATATTTTGGGTCAGAGCTTTGGAGGTTTGTGTTTTTACACATTTGAAATCATCAATCAATCATTGTTAGAGTCGTGGATGCGCACTGCTGATGAGTAGGCCCATACCGGGATGAAACGGCGGTCTTTCAGTGCTTCCAGGTTTCTAATGGTGGTCTAACAATAATTGATTGATGATTTCAAATGTGTAAATTTAGATAGATTATTAAACATTATAAAAATCAATAGAAGTAGTCTATGATTTATATAATTAATTGAAATACTATCCTCATTATAATTGTACAATAAAGTATTTACTATTACAGATTGAAAAGAAGCTGAGAAATTAGTAAAGATCAATGAGCATCCAATAGTTGGTTTAATCCGATTGTTAACTTATTATTAGTAATGAGTATACTTCAACATCGACACCGATCAAGAAACAGATCAAAAGGGGATATAATCCAAATAAAGGCGCAGACAACCACAAGTTTATGATCAATAATAAACAATCAAGATCGAGGTTAACAGAACAAGCTACAGGTCAAATGTGGAGAAATTCGAATACTTCACTTCTATCTAAAGTTCGTGATGATGCTGTTGTTCAGAAAAACAATGAAAGCTACACAACCAAAACACCACCATAGTCAGGAACCTGAGCTACGAATTTTCTCCACCATCTTTGAGTATACATTTCCTCTAAACAAGAAAGGTGAACTTAAAGTATTCATATCTTGTGAAGAGTATGAATAAGATCATTATGTAATGTGTGCTCAGTGGGGGTTATCTTCTAAATTTCAACGTGATTGATTTCACATATATTAAGTTCCAGATTCGATTCGATTCCGTACAAGATAGTTGTAGTAGTTGAACTCTTTTTTATAGAGTCGTAAAATGTAACATTTCTCTAGATATCTGTTTGCAATATAAAACTGATACACAGAGTCATACAGGAGTGGCTGAACCAGATGGTTATTCAATGACCAATAGAAATGTCCTGTAGGACGAACGCATGTCATTGGTCAAAAAATGGATTCATTTAGCAAAGAGTCAAAGAATTTTTTCTATATAATTTAATAGCCAAATAGACTTTTGCATTCACTCTTGCCTTCTCGTTCATGTGGTCAGTTTGCGAGGTTAGTACATATCACTTATCAGAACTGAGAAACTGTACATCGTAACAACAAAAAACATTTACAAATTGAGCAGTCACTCCAAAAACTAATGTTGTATATAGTTTTTATTATAAGTAATATTGAATGACAGAAAATTATTTTTAAAAATTATTGGATCAACCATTTTGAATGTAATTTAAGTGTTGCTAAACTTGAAATTGCGAAATGTTATTTTGGTTAACTTTGGTTATAGTTTAATCTCTTATGATTTTATAGTTAAAATTGAGAAGGCTGAGGCAGGCGCGGAAGATTGTATTATGCTAATTTACACTCTTGGTCAATTAAAAACGAAAACATTACATTGAACACCACTCTATTTGCACACCATCTTTGAGTCGTGACTTCCAACGCTCCATCCTTCTTCCATTCCTGTTGTTGCTTCATTTCCTTCCTGTTGGTACTCCATTTACTTCTTGTTTTTGCTCCATTTGCTTTCCGTTTTCCTCTTGTGACCGTGAGACTTCTTCTTCTTTCACGTCCCTTCTTATACTACTTATATCGTTCGTATAAGTAGCACCTACCACAAAATGAATTGAAGTTCTACCAAAAAAATATCAAAATACTGAGCAACTCTGATTTATGGATGAATTTTTGAGTGACACCAAAAGGATCTTGCAGAAACCAGCTTTTTTGGATAGGGTCTAAAATATAGCTGGTGTGTGGAAATATAATTGGGATTTCGAGTTGGAAGTTGAGGTTTGGAATCAGTGTTTAGGTTTCCATCATGAGCTGACCTCATGGTCATTGTCAAAATGCTGTTCAGACATATGCATAAATGAATTTAGCGCCAAAATTATACACTCATTATTATCTTAAATTACAGTCTCCTCTCCTTGAATATGATTAGAGAAAATATAGTGACATCATCTCTGATCTGAATGATTAGAAATTTGTATTAACGATGTCTAGATGGATTATGATGCAACTAATCAGTTAAAACTATAAGCCATAGATCTTTACCATCTCAACCAAGATCTCGACCGTAGCTGCTACCTTGACGTCGCGGTTGTGCTTGCCAATCGTGACGACCCAATCGAGCTACATTGGCTGGAACATATGTTCCTGAAGGTTCTACCATGCCAGGCACATCGATTAGAGAACGATGAGACTAAAAGCAGCTACTCAAGGTCTGAGGGAGAAGTTGTACTGCTGACTGCAGAGGGGTGTGACAGCAGTAAGGTTTTTCCCTCAGACAACCAGCATCTGCAACGATGCTGCCTTCTCACAAGGAAGGAAGAGTTCGAAAAAGGTCAACCCCAAGAATGTCACACCTCACCCTTCCTCATGGATTTCTATTTCCGGCGGTAAGGATTGTCCACTAAGGGCTTTCAAGAGCGGAGCTAACATTCAAAAAGCTTCTCATAAAAAGGCCGTGCGTGACTGGCCTCAGGAAGTTGTCCCTTAGGCTATGCGGTCATGCTCTGAGTTCTGTAAGACCATAACGTTTAAAGATCATAGACATTTAATTTCTTTATTCAAAAAATTATTGATCCAAAAAACCTGCACACAATTCAATCAATATAGTTTTAAAATGCTTACTTTATAAGGTTTTGTACGCCTTGGAACAAATAAGTCATTTTCTATTCGACCATTTAACAATTGTTCCACATTTAACAAGGAATTTATTTTAGTGAATATTGAGATTTTTTGTGATAAATGATTAGTTATAGGCTAGAAATATTAAATAAAAGAATGAATTTGTGAATAGGATAAAAAAGGCAATGCAATTAGTAGAGATGGATGATAGCTACTGGGGGAAATGCAGGAAGGCGTATTTCTCCCTATTTGAAACTCATCAGCTGCACAGACCTGCTTCTCAGAGTTTACATCTAGTAGAGTACTCAAACCCAGTATTGTTTGCTTCAAATGTCACTAGATTACAACTGTCGTTAAATTCAAAGGACCTATGTAAACGGATTTCATCAACATTAATTATTATGCTAATTGATCATTGTCAACTTTTTGACGGTTAAGAGATAGTCCGCTGTAAATCTTGATCGACATAGATTCTGTAGCCACTGTGTAGTGAAGGAGAACACAGGTGAGGGCTACCGAATTGTATTTAACGAAACCATATCGTAACCGTAATTTGCAAATCTTCAATCCATCATCAATCCATTGTCTGACATTTCACTCACTATTGATGCGTTTCATACAAATTCCATTGTGTTTCCACTCTTCTTCCTTTCTTGATCTTCCCCCATCTTCTGCTGCCAGACATTACGTTTACACTCGTGTCATATACTACTTATAAGTAGCGCGTACCACAACTGTAGTGGTTTCTTCCCGAAACAGATATGAATTTCAAGATGCCATATTATTTGAATAACTATCATAAACAATCACCTAGTCTTGAAAGTTCTTGATCCTACACTAATTAAGGATCTTTATGATCGATATGAAAGAAATATGGTTGTGCACTGATGAAAAATTTAATATCCCGTAATGTTTGATTATTGTTACAGTTGTTTAAGTGATATCGAATAATGAAGAATATCTAATATATATATATACATATATATATATATATATATATATATATATATATATATATTTCTCAGAACTTAAAATGAATGACTCAATCTATGAAGAAAAAATGTTTACGATTATTTCGATATGATTGTTACGCATGAACGTAAACATGTCATTTTGATATGCTTGTATTATTATTACGATTTTGCTATAGTCAGAAGACGAGAGCGAAGATCGAGGATCCGGTGACATGACATACTACTCTAATCCGAGTGTCTCAACCCCCATATTGAGGGAAAGAAGAAGACTTGATATGAATGAAGTAGAACCTGTATTCTACAAACATTCAGAAAGTACGAGGTCCGAGTCCAGAAGAGAATCAGGATCACGGACTAGGGATCAGAGTCATAAAACTTAGCAGACAATGCGCATTTATACATTTAGGTCGAATAGTCAACATCATCGAAATCTGTGACACTGACAGTTAGGACGACCAATACGAAACAACATTGGAGCACGTGACATTGATATCTAGTACGACCATAAAATTGACCAGTAGAAATTAACCAATACGAATTAACCAATAATTCTCTTAGGATATTGGATGAATATCCTAACATTGGTGCATAGTATATTTATGTAGATTACATCTCTTCCAATATAAGATAACTTGTCACAGATTCAATTAATATTTTACGTCATCAATTCAAGTTGGTCATTAATTAGTGTCAGGCTTGATCGAAATCATTAGTTGTAAAACTTGTGAAAGTGGCTACAGTTTTACATATTGATCCTATTTATCATGTGACAGACACTGAGACGCATTTTTTGTTGATTGTTTCGTTTTGGTACAGTACTTTGTACTTTGGACATAAATAATTTCATAGATTGTCCTCTTATTATACTCCTGTTCAGTTGTTATCGTTAGGGTCATGGTACAACACTTGCATTAGTACTAGTGTGGTGTACGCTACTTATGTTCACATAAGTAGTATAACGATATCATACGTCTGACAGCAAAATATTGAGAAGGAAAGAATGAGAACAGAAGGCGATTTGTAAGGGTAATATAAAGTGAACTGAAGTCTGAACAGTCTAAATGAAAGAACACTGAAATCTAAAACAAATAAGGATTAGTTTGCAAAAGATGATTTCACGGGAAGGTTTAACAACTCTGTAACATTCGCCTAAATATAGATGTGAATGTCCTCACCTGAGTTTTCGTGCACAACAGTAGTAGTATCTGAGCCTCTAACTAAACAAAAATTCATGACCACTTCTTCAGATATTGACTGTAATAAGAGTTACACTTTTGATCATATTGAGAAGACTGAGGCAGGCGCTGAAGATTGTAAAATGTAACTTTACACTCTGAGTCAATTAAAAACGACAATATTACATTGAACACTCTATCTGCACACCATCTTTGAGTCGTGACTTCCAACACGCCATCATCCTTCTTCCATTCCTGTTGTTGCTTCCTTTCCTTCCTGTTGGTACTCCATTTACTTCTTGCTTTTGCTCCATTTACTTTCGGTTTTCCTCTTCTGACCGTGAGACTTCTTCTTCTTTCACGTCCCTTCTTATACTACTACTTATATTGTTCGTATAAGTAGTACACACCAAAATATTAATGTCCTGAGTTGTTTTCAAAGTATTTCTATCAACTTTATTCAACTAAACAAATGTCATTTCTCATTTATATCTCTATATATCTCTTTATTTTAAAAACAAATATCATACTTACATGAAATGATGTTAGATAGGGATTGAAATTGATTAAAGATAAACTATTCCATTGATTAAAATCAAATATAAATTGACGTATTTCTGTGAAATTTGCAGTACCCCAATAATTGTGTTGAGCATCTAAGTAGTTGGGAATTTTTATCGATTTTATACCAGCAATTAATTCATAACATGGATAACTATTGTTGACTGAAATAGACTAATAATGATAAAATGAAATTAAATTAAATTAAATTAAATAATAGGAGGAGGAGGCGTATTAATAAATAATTAGTCAGAGTGTAAATGTTTATTGTAACAATAGTTAGTACATGGTATATTATACAATAAAAACTGTTGAACAATACATGAAAAGCTTAAAGAATTGCTCTGTTATCCGATTGATCAATGAATCTTTGTGTTGTAAGTTGCATTGATTCATATTCAACAATTGTACTCAAAAATTAAAACAACAACTAAATAGTACTGTAGTGAACGAGAACACAGGTGGGGCAACTGAACTGTATTTAGCGAGTATTACAGAGTTACTCAGTAAAATCGGAAAACCATATCGTAAATCGTTAATTTGCAAAATATCAGTTCATCATATCGAACTGGACTGTTCCTGTTGCAAAACATCAATCCATTGTCACTATCCATGCGTTTCATACAAATTCCATTGTTTTCTAACTCTTCCTTTCTTGATCTTCCCCCGTCTTCTGCTGCCAGACATTACGTTGACACTCACGTCATATACTACTTATAAGTAGCTCACACCACACTCGTCCCCCCTTTTAATAAGCTGTCGTCGTAGTCTTTCAAAACAGGGACCCTGGTCAGTTAATATCACCTTCCATATTCCGTGACGCGCTACAATATGCCGGATTATAACTTCGGTCATTGTTCTTGCCTGCTGGTCTTGAATGGGTACGGCATCTATCCAACGTGTAGCGTTTACTCGTTCCCGCTGCTGGGACACGGCGGCAGGCACACTCTCGATGAATTGCAACGCCAACAACTGTGCCCCCGACTCCCCATTCTTACTCGGCAGTGCACGGCGCAGCAACATCATGAGCTCCACAGCCAGCACCAACGGGTCACCATCAGCCGACAGCCTTGCCAACCGGAACCCCTGCGGCGCCTCCTCCTTGTCCACCGAGCTGTCGAACTCCGTCATCAGACGCCCGGTGACCGTCTCCCACGCCGTCTTCCCGGCGGCACCGTCCAGGCTGTCGTACAACAGGCCATTTCGACCCATCCCACTTACATGACTGTCAACAGCAACTCAATGACAATAGCCCTCGGGAATGTCGCAAAACAACCACCTACATCAATGAAATCGGTCACCCTGCTAACCGATTTTGTATATGGACTGTTAACAATGCTTACCAAAGTAAAGCCAAGCCATCCACTATATTCACAGCCAACCTCTAGTCTCATAGGAAACCTTCAGCTCTATATAGCAGTATGGCATATGGTGTACACATATATGGCTTAGGATAGTAGAAGAGGCAGCCCAGCAAATAGGCCCAAACACTTCTATTACTCTGTGTCTCATGTCGGAATTATTCATCATTTTTAGGCAGAAGAAGACAATCTTTGACAGTTTGAAAGAGATTTTAGTAATCTCCTGTTGATATCTCATTTTAATTAGGTGTACAAGTATTGATCTGTTAGTGAACCTTCATATTCCTTTACTGAACCACGTAGGATAATGTAACTGGCTCCACTGGAGTATTTTAGTTAGTATATGCAGAAGGATGAAGCGAATTCGCGAAATTCATCTTTATTTCTTGTTCTAACAATTGGATTACTGTGGCATAGGCCATATACTTTGGCTTAGGCCAATGTTTAAGCAGAGCTTTTCCAATCCATCACTTTGTTGGTACACTGACAATGTCATTTATAAAAACTATAGTTTCAGGAATATATAATCTTATTAAAACCTGTCGTTGACCCTAACTTCTTATTGACCCGGATCATTTATTAACTGATAATTTTTTTATGGATTTGCGTCCATGTTGAGTGAGTTATGAATGATAAGGAACCCTTCTTCAGTAGTGTCATTGAAGCAAATGAGTTTGGAATAACGTTAGTACCTATATGTTATGGAACTATAGAAAATGATATTTTAAATACATCTGTAGTGCCTCCACATATATTCCAGTTCTCTTACATCTAACTTATTTAACAAAGCCATTTGTATATCAATAACTTATATGTATCATTCGTTCTTATTGATGTCTGGTTTGTATGAGCTCACATGACGTGTCCCATTTGTCATTTGACCTTGTCAACTATTCGTCGCTTTTATTCATGTGTGTGTGTGTGTGCCTAACTCATTGATCACATGTCTGTCTTATTTTTGTTTGACCATGGATTCATAGGCATGCTTTGTTTCTTGGAATTGGCTCAACAGCCTTCCCCACTTCACGTCGCTTCTTTCGTTTTATTCAGTGCTTCCCCGCTTCGCTTTGTATTCAACACTTTGTGTTCACCTTCTGATTTATAAACCGTCAGACTCTAATTAGTAACGATTGTTTAGACGAGCTAATTACCGAACTTAAGAAAACGCAGAAATCGGCCACCACACATCCATCTTTTCCACTTTCGATAAATTCTAATGTAAATTGGGAGTTTTCTTTTCAACAAAATAGTAGTATACAATTTTATGAGAATTAATCGCCATCAACAGATACAAATTATTGTTATTGATTATTAAGGTCAGCGATATTACTGCCAACCTATTCAGGTCAAAATAAATCTTGATGGAATAGAATTCAGAGTTATGGATTGAGCGAAGATGACATTATTTAGTGATAAATCAATGAAAAATGGATAGAACACTTGATTTCGGCATGATATCTTCCCGATGTTTAGTTTCTTTAGCGCTGTACTGAACGATGGAAAGACACAGTTTACTAATAAAATGTATACACTTGATCTTCAGACGTCCATTTGCAAAACAAGCAGATTTTCAGTTGCCTTATCATCATCATCTTACATGTCTTCTTGTCCTTAAAACACTTTGATCACGCGCTATACATTCAGATCCGACACTTTAATTGCCAGTCATCACTTGTAAGTGACACTTCATTGCATAGTACTTTTGAACCTATGTTACAATTAGTATCCACTACACCTGTAGTGCAAGAGAACACAAGTGAGGACAAGCAAATTGTAAATTCGCGAGAATTACAGAGTTACTCAGTAAAATAGGAAAACCATATCGTAAATGGTTAATTTGCAAATCTTCAGTCAATCATCAATCCATTGTCTGACATTTCCCCTATTCATGCATTCATACAAATTCCATTGTTTTCTAATTCTTCCTTTCTTGATCTTCCCCCATCTTCTGCTGCTAGACATTACGTTTACTTTCACGCCACATACTACTTATAAGTAGCGCGCACCACACTTGTCCCCACTTTTAATAAGCTGTCATCGTAGTCTTTCTGATTGCCGTACCGTGACTCATACACTTGATAATCTTGAAACTATCTCTACAGTTGACTAGCATTTACGCACTTCTGCTTGTCACCGATTTCTCCAAGGCTAAATCTTAATTGTATGCAAACAGTTTTTTCGATAACTCAAATTACTCTACTAAGCAATCAGCATGAATCAACTCACTTGACAATTCTCAAAACTATTATATTTAATTGTAATATTTTGTGTACCGAAAACTCCCATTGTATAACATTCCCATGGATTAAGAAATTCCAATCTTTTCTCATTATTCATACATATTTCATTATTTTGGAGAATATTTTTTTGCATCAAAGATTTTAATTGAATCAGATGAGATGATGATGATTGACTATCACCTTTCAGTTGGATTATATATGAACAATTTCGATTGCGTGAAAAATAATTATCAATTATGTAGATTTCACGTTCCATACCATTAGAATGAAATAAACCAGTTTTGAATAGTGGAGGATGCTGATGTTTCATGTTCAATGTGTTCGTTTGACAATAATTCTCTAGAAATTGATTACTTTCAATGTTTACTTTAGCTGTATAACCAGAAATGGTTAGCTGGAAATGTTTATTACCATTGAAATGATTACGCACTATGGAGATTTGATGTATTCGGTCGATATCGGTTATGGTAGAAGAAGGAGAATAAGAACGCCAATCAAATTCATGATTAGAAATAAATGGTAAATAAAATTGTAAACCATGTTGAAAAGATTTGAATATTGTCGATGATGTTGATGAGAAGACAATGAATGAATGCCTTTTTTCGAATTCATCATTGATTAAGCCATTTGCAATGAATTTATTATTGATGATATGATATGACCAAATATTATTTGAATATTCATTGGGATTATGTTGCATAATTAGACTACCATAATGATTATTAGTAAATTCACAATTTGTTATATTATAATTGATCAATGATAGAGATTCTTCCATAGACAGATCAATTTCTTCATTATAGAACCAATCATTATTAGTAGTAGTAGAGAATTGTGTGATTGATTGTATACTCATTCCAGTATATTGATTATTTCTGAATGGTAAAAGTTGGGAAATGGAAGGCGGGGGTGTGGGATAAGTTGGGTAATGACAAATAAATGTTATGATAGATTGATGAGTCATATAAAAATGAAAGGTAGAATTTAGTGTGAAATGTTTTTTTTTGAATACTAATCTATTGAAGATATCTACTTCTCGATTTGACTGGTTGATATGCCCCTAATTCCATGAATGGCTTTAGCGAGTAGAGCTCTTCATCTTAATACTACTAATAAGTTGGTATATAAGGGTTTATAGTTTTTGTTTTCAAACTTCAGTTAAAATTTGCAATATTGCACAATCATCTTCTAATTCTATAGGTGGAAAATTGCCTAAGATGTTATATAGCTGAACATTATTGATCATAACTTCTCACTAGAATTCCAAGTACTGAGTAGACTGAGGCAGGCGCGGAAGATTGTATTATGCAAATTTACACTCTGAGTCAATCTTAAAACGAAAACATTACATTGAACACCACTCTATTTGCACACCATATTTGAGTCGTGACTTCCAACGCTCCATCCTTCTTCCATTCCTGTTGTTGCTTTCTTTCCTTCCTGTTGGTACTCCAGTTACTTCTTGCTTTTGCTCCATTTGCTTTCCGTTTTCCTCTTGTGACCGTGAGACTTCTTCTTTCACTTCCCCTCTTATACTACTTATATCGTTCGTATAAGTAGCACACACCACAGTACTACCTCTATATAATGATTGTTAACCTTAAAATCTGGTGGAGATTCGCTCACTAGTAAAAACTTTTGTGAGGTAATTTACAAAGTTCTAGTGAAGTTTGAATTATATTGTTTCTGAAACAGTTGTTTATCAATGATATTGACAAACTGGTTGCGTAATATCGCATAAAATGATCCATCCCCTACTATTGGTGATTTAAACAGTGGTAATATGAGGAAGTTTTCTTAACATTCTACGGGATCATAATTAGTTTTCATACAAGGCCTTTGTTATCAGGATGATAACATCAGAAAGTCAATTTTACGCTTATAGAATCATTTTACCTTTATAGTTATGAAATAGCTGATAGGAGGAATGTTTTCCTGCAGCTGGACGATCTGGACTTCGCAGATGACCTAGCTCTTCTATTGCACACGCAACAAGAAATGCAAGAGAAGGCGACCAGTGTAGCACCAGCCTCTACAGCAACAGGTCTCAACATACATAAAGGGAAAAGCAAGATTCTACGATACAACACAACATGCTCCAAACAAATCACTCTTGATGGACACGCCTAGGACGACGTTAATACCTTTACACCTTTCTGGAAGTGAAAAATATATGGAACTGCAGACAAATGTCAATCAACACCAACATCAGGGCTTTCAATACAAATGTCATGAAAATTCTACTACATGGGGCGGAAACTTGAAGAAGTACGAAAGACATCATCCAGAGATACGCAAAATATCTCGGGTTCGTTGGTTAGACATCATCAGCAACAACCTACTATGGGAGATAACAAGCCAGATTGCAGTGGAGGAAGAAATCAGGAATAAGCGTTGGATGCGGATAGGACAAACATTGAGGAGAGCACCCAAGTGCATCACAAGGCAAACCTTCACTTGGAACCCTCAAGGACAAAGTAAAATAGCAAGGCCTAGGAACCCATCAACCCGAGAAATAGAGAAAGATATGAGAAGAATGGACAAAATTGGACAGAACTGGTAAGGGAAGTTCAGGACAGAGTAGGTTAGAGAAAAGTGGTGGGCGGCCTTTGCTCCATTGGGGGTAATAGGCGTAAGTAAGTAAGTAAGGAATGTTTCCCAGTTTAAGAATGAGCATAATTCATCTAATAAACAGTCAATATATTCTTGAAGATCTTGTCTCAAATGAAAAATCAATACTACTCAAGTGGATAATTCCAACAGAAAATGGAACAAGAAAAAGGCAGTCTTTATGTAATCATTAATGCTAAAGCCCATTTTTTTTACATCTTTGCCATTGCAGGCTGAAATCTATGTATCACACAATTATTGATATTGTGGTGTGTGCTACTTATACGAACGATATAAGTAGTAGTATAAGAAGGAACGTGAAAGAAGAAGAAGTCTCATGGTCACAAGAGGAAAACGGAAAGCAAATGGAACAAAAGCAAGAAGTAACTGGAGTACCAACAGGAAGGAAAACAAGCAACAACAGGAATGAAAGAAGGATGGAGTGTTGGAAGTCACGACTCAAATATGGTGTGCAAATAGAGTGGTGTTCAATGTAATGTTTTCGTTTTAAGATTGACTCAGAGTGTAAATCTACCCATCGATCTTGTCTTATCGATCAGTAACAGTCTTTAGAAGATTGTCAGTATTTTTTTTCGAGTGCATCATTTCTCATTTTAGCTTGAAACAACTGGTTTATTAGAGACACACAGAACGCCTTCAGGGTTTTGTATGATCAGTACGTCCTATATTTAGATCAACCTAGTTGTAAACATTTGATTATCACGACTGAGACTGATCACTTTCATTTTACATACATCCATCCATCCTATTCGGATTGCCTCTATATTGCTGTCAGGTCAAAAACATTAGTAACAGAGATGGAAAGTGGGCAGTTGTACCGTATGATTCGGATGCCATTGCGAAAGGTACTGGGTTTGAGTTTCGCAGAGTACATCAACTGTGAGAAGCACGTACACACAACTGACGATTGACAAATCGGATGTGATGCGTGTCTTAGATTTCACTGCTAGTTACCATCCATCTTATTCATATAAGCTTTATCATTAATAATAAAATTGTGATGAGTTAGTGAGCAACATTCAGAAAAAAGCCACCCACTGAGTATAGATTAGTGATATTGTGGTGCGAGCTACTTATAAGTAGTATATGATGTGAGTGAAAACGTAATGTCTGGCAGCAGAAGATGGAGGGGAAGATCAAGAAAGGAAGAGTTAGAAAACAATGGAATTTGTATGAAACGCATGAATATTGAAATGTCAGACAATGGATTGATGTTTGCAACAGGAACAGTCCAGTTCGATATGATGGATTGATATTTTGCAAATTAACGATTTACGATATGGTTTTTCCTATTTTACTGAGTAATTCTGTAATTTTCGTTAAATACAATCCGGTTGCCCTCACCTGTGTTCTCGTTCGCTACAATGTGAGTTAAACTAGTAGTAATATTATTCTGCATTATAGTACTATGGAGATCGTTGTTTTTACGGTGAAATCAAGACGTGGCCAGTAGAGTTCAACCCTGTTGGGTGTAGGCAGTAACTACCAAAAGACAGATGGGCGAAGTGATTTAGGCATTAACACAGTTAGATGCCGGTCCCGAGGTTAAGCTTTCGCGCGCAAGACCGAAGGTCCTGGGTTCGGATGGTGCAAGTAGCAAGAATCTTCGATGCGCACTGCCACTGATGAGTAGTCCAATCCTAGGAAGAAACAGTCGTCTTCCTAATGATGGTCTGACAATGATTCATTCAAGATTTCAAATGAGTAACAGTATTATTATTATTATTATTAATATTATTATTATTAGCAACGGCACTGTAGTGTCTTACCTGAATTGAACATTATGAAAAATAAACGTTTCATATTGATTTCGCCAAAATTGATTATTCTGTCTATCCATTGGATTATTATAATGGAATAATTTAACACCAATTAAATTATCTTCCAAAAGTGTATTTTCTACAAGAAATTTCGGTCTCAATGAATAATGTGAATAAAATTGATCATGTTGAAAATTTTTTCTTTTAAAATCTATATTACTTTTATCAATATTAGTAGTATAAAAATTATCATGCATATTTTTCATCATATCAGCATAATCATTCATCCGATGAGTGTTATATTGATTGAATAAATTTTTCACTTGAATACTAAATAAAAATTGACCAGATTTTATACCATCTACACGTAATTCTATAATTAATTTATTTGTTGATGATATTAATGGTAAATGAATTAAATCTTTTGGTATACGCCAATTAAACACTTGAAATGGATTGAAATTATCAAAACCAGAATCATAGATAATTAATTCTTCTTTTGTGATTGTTTTATTTGCGGTGATACAGTAAGATTTATTGAAATGATTACAATGGATAGGATTATTGTAACCGATTGCTGGTAATATAGAATTATTCAATGGGTTTAATGGACCTATACAAGCTTTAGGATAATTTTCTGTTTGTTGTTGACTAGTTGGTGATAGAAAACTGCCAGGAAATTCTAAGAGATCCACAATAATTTTATGAAAATAATATTCATTGTGAGTTGATAATTCAGTTCGATAAATTGTCTGACAAAAAAAGGAATAAAGTAGAAAAGACAGTCAATCAGTCAGTCAAGATAGTCGACTATTGAAATATTGAAAAATACATGAATTTTAAAAGTATTGAAGTGATTAACTTTAATGACAGCTGCCGACATAACTCAGTTAATCAAATAATCAATCGAACCTTTTGGTAATAATAATGCACATACTGTACTAACTAACTAGTTGAATAAATTAGTGGCTAACTGAACTTAATAGCTGAGCGCTGAACATTTGAAGCAAAGTATTGAATTTGAGTTTGAATATGTGCAGGTACATTCACTCAATGTGTCTTATTATATAGGAACTGTTAAAGAAATTAGATGCCCAGAACTCGCTTGATAAATTAGTTATTTTGGATTTCACGTTTGTCAGCATGGGTTGATCAGTTGACTTTGAGATTTCATCCATGGCTATGATTGGCTGCTGTATATTTTAGTGTTCTATTTTTGTAACTGTCCCAAGGAGGTTTCCATGATGTAAAAATAAACGAGAGTTGTGTGCTTGATTGTATTTTGTTTGCTGGGTGTTTGTAGAATATACTTTCTACGCTTACAAAGCCTTATAACTTCAGCTTGGGATTCAAGGTAGCCTATCTGGACGCTGTTAATTGTCTCGCTCGCGTTTATCGACTAAGGTGAACTTGTAATAGCTTCAAGCGTACCTAGTGACGAGTATATCATGAAGGAAATACTTTTCTGGAATTAGATTGCTAGCCATAATCTGTCTATTTGTGAACCATTAATAGTTAACCTTTTTAGTGATTAATATCTAGGTCACATAGAGGAAAGACAATGAAAAATACCTTTTCAAAGTGAGTTGGGTTTTGTGTTGACTTGGGAAGCAATTTATATCAATAATATATATTATCTAAAGTAACTCTGGAAACTAAGGAGTACTGAATAGCTGTCTTGTTAAAATGACAACCATACATCATAGTAGTCCAGACGTTGAGCATCATAAAAACATTGAATTTAAGATCTTCAAATCACAGAGGAAACATGATATGTCTTCAATGAGCACTACACTATATCATAAATAGCTATTGCTGAGCTCTAGTTCTTCAATTGTTTCTTTAACTCATTGTTTTTAATATGAAGGTGAAAGGTGTACAATTCTGAAGAGTCCAAGATTAGGGCAAAACCACTACATGGTCCTACTTTGTTTTTATATGATGAGAAATTGTAGTTTGTGAGTAAATATCATGATGCCTGGAATCAAAGAGTAATGCTTCACTGGTTATCCTTTTTCCAGAATGATCATTCTGTAGTTATTCTTAAAATGATCATGAAACGTAATTCTTGCTCAAAGCTCATGAATACATAGATTGGGTTACTGAAAAATGAGAACTGAGAAGTTGAGCTATTTTCTCAAAACACCGATATTTATGAGTTTCTACAAGTTCATAGTTCTTTGTTAAAAAGTAAGTTAATTAATCAAACTAAATACGATAAGTAAGAATCAATTTTCAGTTGTTGTGTTCATTTACAAAAAAAAAGCAAATTCTTTATCAAACGATTTCACACTATGTTTGTCACAGACTGATCTTATATTTACAGTACAATTGTAAACTAAGAAGCACTAGATAGCTATTTTGTCTTAGTATAATATGGCATACATAATCCCAATCACAGGTGCACCAAAAAGACATTCAAGCTTCATGATGAACGACCAACAACTAAAATCAATCGGTAGTACTGTTCCAGCTCCAATCACCTTTTGTTTTTGATATATAGCTCTACAACTATGATCAAAATTTCTCAGTGCAACAGAGAGATTCTAGGATCGATTTCTGATGAGGTTGTAGTGGAACGCTTCTACGTAGAAAATATGATTTGTGAAAAATAAACATTATTGTACTCGTTTTGTTTAACTGTACCAAAAACACTTCTTCGACTTCTTGCGCGCAACGTTCTCTTCGCGTTGCTGCCATCTTTCTCTATTTGCTGCTCCCCATGTACTGCCAACATTCTACTTCAATAAACAACTCAACCATGGATTTATTTTGTTTTGCTATTCGTGACCCGACCGTATGGAACATTTAGTGGTAAGCATAGTCAATCTGGTATCCTGACTCGCTCTCTACAAGGTTGTTGGTACGTAATGTCAACGAGTCCTGTGCTGGAAAAGAAGAACTATTCAATGAGTCCTGGCTATCGACGGTACCTGAATATGATTAGTCAATGACAAAAACCACCTATAAATTAATTAGACCGATATTCAAAAAAAAACCACATCAATTCAGCTAACTAATTGTATGAGTTGTTGTAAAATAAACCTGAATTTCCTGTGTAGATCATTCAATTAATTTTCATTTGTATTAATATTCTTCAACCATGTATAGCTGTAAATTATCATCACTAATGAATTACTAATAATAAATTACTTATTTATTTGACGTAACTAATTCAATTAGGCTTAATAACAGTTAATAAAAAGCTTAAGATTTAGTTGATTTTTAAGATTGAACAAATTCAAGTGATTATTGTAAAATTTTGTACTTTAAACAAGAATTTTATTTTTTCTCTTTCTCACATTAGACAGAATGTAAGTTTCTTGTCAAACAGCGTAAGTTGCAGTAGGGGTAACAGGCCTAAGTAAGTAAGTAAGTAAGTAAGTAAGTAAGTAAGTAAGTAAGTAAGTAAGTAAGTAAGTAAGTAAGTAAGTAAGTAAGTAAGTAAGTAAGTAAGTAAGTAAGTAAGTAAGCAAGCAAGTAAATAGGTAAGTAAGTAAGTAAGCAAGCAAGTAAGTAAGTAAGTGAGCAAGTATGCAAGTAAGTAAGTAAGTAAGTAATTAAGTAAGTAAGTAAGTAATTAAGTAAGAAAGTAAGTAAGTAAGTGCATAAGTACGTAAGTAAGTGCATAAGTAGGTAAGTAAGTAATTAAGCAAGTGAGTGAGAAATTAGTGCGTAAGTAAGTAAGTAAGTAGGTAAGTAAGTATCTTTTCAAACGGCTACCTCTTGTGTGTGACGATTCATCAGCCTTGAATTCCTTTATTCACTATTCATCAAGTATTCATAAAATAAATTCACAAGAGTTAATCTATTCAGCTATTGTTTTTAGAAATCATTATTTCAAGTTCTTCTCCTAATCTCCATATTCTTTAGTTACAATGTGTAGTAACTCACTAAACGAATAGATCATTCACATAAAATAAAAACTAATTTTTTTTGAATTATGATTTTAGACACACACACAAAAAAGTAACCTTACTTTTTCCATCCTTTTACCAACTGGTACATTTACAAATATTATACCGTTTGGTGATAATTTTACATAACTTTCCACTAAACTCCATCCTTCAGACAATGAACTATGTGTTGTGGTTGTAGTAGTAGTTAGTTTATTGAAGTTTTCTTCAACATTTTGGAATAAAGTTAATGTTGGTATAATGTTTGCATGAAATATTAATCGTTGTGACATTGTCATCATTCGATTATATTGTAAACCAGCATTGATTTGACTATTTCTAATTTGACAATTGATTACATTAAACCATGGTGTATGAGTTAATATTCCTGATTCGAAATTATTAATAAATTGACTATTGATAATTTTTATACCTAATAATGGATTACTGTATTGTATAACAAGACCATGAGATAAACTATTTGTGATCTGTAAAATAAATTCACAAGGAAAAAAACGAAAAGTATCAATCAGACAGTGAAAAAATGATGAACAGACAGATGAATAGATAGATAGATGTGTGGATAGATAGATACATAGATGTGTGGATAGATAGATAGATAGATAGATGTGTGGATAGATAGATAGATGTGTGGATAGATAGATAGATAGATAGATGTGTGGATAGATAGATAGATAGATAGATAGATAGATGTGTGGATAGATAGATAGATAGATAGATAGATAGATGTGTGGATAGATAGATAGATAGATAGATAGATAGATGTGTGGATAGATAGATAGATAGATAGATAGATAGATGTGTGGATAGATAGATAGATAGATAGATGTGTGGATAGATAGATAGATGTGTGGATAGATAGATAGATAGATAGATAGATGTGTGGATAGATAGATAGATAGATAGATAGATGAGAGTATTATTTAAAATTATTATCATGATCAAATTTAAACTTGGCACCGTTCATTTTTTTTCTTCGTTTGTTTAAATACATAATCTTGCCAGCTGACAAGTTTGTCATTGGAGACAGTCAGATATATATATATATCTGTCAATTGACCAATTGCTTGTATTGTGTATATATATATAAGTCTACTGCTTGGAAAGCTCAATCATCCATCAACTTTATACAACTTTTTAGTCGAAATAATTTTTTTTCCTAGTCTTTGATCTTTGCACTGAAAAGAGAAGATGGTAAGTAATGCAAGCTGTTGAGCATTATATATACAGAAAGTAGTCAGGATTGTTTGGAATTTATGACTATTTATGATGACAATTGATAAGTCTGTCTGGTATATATGCATTTTTTTCACAAATTGCCCCGATATTGTTTTTTTTCTGGGGGTTACCAACATTCTTAGCCAAAAGATGGACGGTGGCAAACAGAGGAATTCAAGACACTGGTTTTGTCTTATTTTGAACTCATCGAATGTATATGCCTGCATCTCAGAGTTGATAATCCAGATGACGACGAGTTGCAAAACAGAACGAAATGCGTTTTTTTGGCAACTATCCATCTTGGTAACTGAAAAAATAATATCGAGACACTCCCAACAGGATGCATCAATTTGGAAGATCCAAGCAACCAATATAAATGAATCAGACTTTATCCCGTTCCACAAGCCAGTGAATATCTGGCTAGATGGATACAGCGATAGTGATTAAAGCGAACAGTATTCAGTTTAAATATTTGCGGTGATCGTAACTCTGGGATGTACAGGTGTACATCTAGTTGACGAGTTTCAAATAGGACGAAACACTCTTTCTGAATACTACTACCATACCAGAAAAAAAAACCAAACAATAAATTAAATTACTTTTAAATTATTAATAGTTCCACTAAAATAATCCAATTGTAGACTTGGCATATATTCCATACGTGTATAATCTAATAAACCAGCATGATGTATTTGAACATGTGAAATTAGTGTATACGAATTAGAATCTAATGCACTAATACGTAATCCACTCCATCTGGGACGATGACATTGAATAATTAAATCCATAGAATTGATACATGTTTGTAATGTATAGTCAATCGATTCCAAAGTGTATTCACATTCAGTTAGGACAGTTTCATAGCCTTGACAATGTATATATGCTATACGAATTGGTGAAGTTTGTGACTGATTCATCAGTGTGTTTGCTTTTTCAATAGTAGTTTCACGTATACTAATTGGTGGTAGCCAACTCTTAAGAACAATAGAAAGAAAGAAATTAATTAATTGTTATGTTCGTCACTTGGTACGCTTGAAACTATTACGAGTTCCCCTTAGTCGATAAACGCTAACGACATAATTAACAGCGTCCAGATAGGCTGAATCCCACACTGCAAAACAGAAGACTTGGTAAGCGTAGAAAGTATATTCTACAAACACCGAGCAATCACAATACAATCAAGCATACAACTCTCGTTTAGTTATACATCATAGAAACGTCCTTGGGACAGTTACGAAAATAGCACACTAAAATACACAGCAGTCAATCACAACCATGGATTTTCCTGGCGGGAAATGAAATCTTAAGGTCAAGTGACAAGCTCATGCTGACAAACGTGAAATCTAAAATAAGACATTTATCAAGCGAGTTCTAGGGATCTAACATCCCCAACATTAATGTGTGAAAATACATAACGAAACTGAATTTGTAAGAATTATTTAAACGGTTATTGAGATGATGGAGAAAATTTGTATCTCAGGTGGATGATTGTGGTGGTGTTTCGTTCTCTGAGCTGAATGTTTTGGTTGTGGAGCTTTCATTGTTCTTCTACTGAACAACATCATCATCAGCACAAACTTCAGATAGAAGTGAAGCATTCGAATTTCTCCACGTTTGACCTGTAGCTTGTTCTGTTAACCTCGATCTTGATTGGTTGCTGTGTAACCTTAAACCTGTCGTTGTTTGCACCTTTGTTTTGACAGTTATTACTTGTTTGTCATTATTTTTGTGCTTGTTAGATGCACAATTGAATTATCCTAGTATATTGAACGGTTCAATTGAGTAAATCCCACTAACGACAGCTGGAGCACAATACTACTTTCTTTGAATATATCAAGCTTTATATTGTGACTGTTATTACTTTAACGCTTCTCTTTATTATTATGAAACTAAAAGTTGATTTTTGAGCTTAAGTGATGTTTCAATACTAGTTGAAACTGACTGAAGATAAATTCAAGCACAGTGGATACAAACTGCTTAGAAGTCTCATACATGCACCGATCGACTATCCAATAGTGTCAAATTTTCAACATTGGTATCAGTAAGATCAATTTTTCTGAATTTAAAACTATCAAACATTATAATGATAATTAATCAGTTAATTAATTACCGAAATACATATTCATTATTGATGTCTGTATTATTGGTGATACTCAGAGTGTCACATAATTCTTATTCCTTTAGACATGATAATCTTTCTGAAGAATTTAATTAAGTTCAGTCAAAGTCTATCATGATCTCAAATGTGTACAAACAATAATCTCCATAACTCTAATTGAAAATATCGTAAATGTGCTCACTAGTGACTAGCTTCGTGAGTAAATTCTCAAAGTTCTAGTGAGAAGACGTTACCAGTGGATTCCAACCCTGTAGGGTGTAGACAGTAACTACCAAAGACAAATGGGTCAGGTCGCGCGAAATCCCTTGATCAATCAGAGTTAGACATTAACACTGTTGGATGCCAGCCCACTGGTCCAGGGGTTAGGCATTTGCTCTCGAAACCGAAGGTATTGGGTTAGAATCCTGCAAGGTGCAGTAGTCGTGGATGCGCATTGATGATGAGTCGCATAGTGAGATGAAACTGCCGTCCAGTGAATTGAGGTTTCTAATGATGGTCTAACAATGATTGACTGATGAAGTCAAATGTGTACAAACAACAATCTCCATAACTCTAGTTACAAAAATCTATCTTATATTCTGTTTCGAATAAATATACTACTTAACACTGTTCTGTGCTCAAAGTCCCCGAGGACTCCGAAAGATTTAAGAATATGCCTTTTAGATATTGTCAACTCTTCTTTCATACTCTTGTTCATTTGTCTCAATGCTTGCTCTATACATGAAAACATTGAATATTTGTCTAAGTGATGAAATACAAGAAGAGTTTTACTAGTGAGAAACTAAAGCTCTGATTAGGCCTACTTGTAGTGAACGTGAACACAGGTGGGGCAACCGAATTGTATTTAACGAAATTTACAGAGTTACTCAGTAAAATAGGAAAACCATATCGTAAATCGTTAATTTGCAAATCTTCAATCCATCATCAATCCATTGTCTGACATTTCACTGTTCATGCGTTTTATACAAATTCCATTGTGTTCCCACTCTTCTTCTTTTCTTGATCTTCCCCCATCCTCTGCTGCCAGACATTACGTTGACACTCGCGTCATATACTACTTATAAGTAGCTCGCACCACATACTTAGAATTAAAACAAGTATCAAACAGGATTACAAAAAATGTAAGTATTTGTAAAATACATTTATTGATCTATTAATCATTACGCTTTCGAATATCAACCATATTTCTAATACCATATTGTTTAATTTAAAATTTAAACACTAACTTTTGGATGTGCAACCATTCCTAAACTGAGACATGCTAACATGACTGCATGTTCATTAAAACCATCTTCACAAACAATAGTCCAATGACCATTTTCTAAATTAGATCTTTCATCCATTCTTGTTATCCATACTTCTAAACGTCCATAATAGCTATTATTATCAGTTGACCATTCACCACCAGATAAACGTACAGTATTATTATTATTATCATTATTATTTGAAAGAGATTTAGGCAATTTTGAATAATTCATGTAGTTTTCTTGTATTTCATCAGTATTGAATAATTCTTGTCGATAAAGATCAAAAATAATTGGAGAAGCTGATGTTCCTTCCAACTTTAATTCACCCTTTTTTTAAATGAGAAAATCAAATAGAAAACATGAGAGAGGAACAATCAATAGAAATTAAGAATTATTAAAACAATGAACTTGTTAAACAATCTCATTTGCATTGATTACTTACTTATTTACTTATTTACTAACGCCTGTTAAACCCCAGTGGAGCATAGGCCACTGACCAGTTTCTGGTTAGCGTCTTTTTATCAAGTTACTTTTCTATGGGTTGGGGTCGCTAACCTAATAATGCCTTACCCACCTACATTATCCGGTTTTAGGATCGGCAGGAAACCCAGAAGGGCTCCAGGTGGGGTTCATTTGCTCATATATGCTCATATATAATCTTATGTTCCTAAAGTTTTGATTAGTATGTTAGGCACCAAGTCAAGTTTAGTCATACTAGAAATAAAAAAATTATTATTGATTATTCTTCGTGAACACATTATGAATTAACTAAATATTCTTAAACGGATTATAATAATTTTAAGGCTTAAACGTTCTGATTTATCATCTGTGATATGGTAATGTGGTGCGAGCTACTTATAAGTAGTATATGATGTGAGTGTCAACGTAATGTCTGGCAGAAGAAGATGGGGGAAGATCAAGAAAGGAAGAGTTAGAAAACAATGGAATTTGTATGAAACGCATGAACAGTGACAATGTATTGATGTTTTGCAACAGGAACAGTCCAGTTTGATATGACGAACTGATAGTTCGCAAATTAACGGTTTACGATATGGTTTTCCGATTTTACTGAGTAACTCTGTAATTTTCGTTGAATACAATCCGATTGCCCCACCTGTGTTCTCGTTCACTACAGTACTATTGTATGAGAATTCATGTGAAATTTTTAATTCTTTATTGAAAAACGACTAATATAAATAGGCACTAGCTTTAATTTTAATTTTCTCGTTGTTATCAGATACTGACCAAAAATATTTGTATAAAATGCCATAACTTTAACATTCATATCAACCATATTTAATTGGCATAAACAAAATACACAAAGCTTGGATTGATAAAAATTTCATCTACTCTCTCTAACAAGAATATTTCTTCTCTATCCTCTATCATTTTCAAATCTAAATATTAAGATACATGAAATCAAAAGTAAAGTACACTGATTATTCATTCAGTCAGAGTTAAGAACGTGACTTTCAAATCTTTTAAAGAAATTCAAATATTATATAGAAAAATCAGTAGATACATTGTTTAGAACATGTTATTTTTTTTGTTAACATAGGGTAAAAATGATAGTTACACATTTTCGAAACCATGAATCGATCAATGTTAGACCACCATTAGAAACCTCAATGCACTGGACGGCTGTTTCGTCCTGGTATGGGACTGCTCATCAGCAGTGCGCATCCATGGTTAGGCGTTCGCCTACCATACTGAAGGTCCTGGGTTCGAATCCTGCGGGGTGCAGAAGTCGTGGATGCGCACTCCTGATCATTCCCATACCAGGACGAAACGGCCATCCAGTGCTTCCAGGTTTCTAATGATGGTCTAACATTGATCGATTAATGGTTTCAAATAAAACTTAACAATCTTGACAACAACCCCGTAATAGAAATTTTCTGATTAGAAGGATAGAATATAGCTAGGTTATAGAGTCTTCACATCCATTTGAGTTCGGTTATATTTAATTTGGTTAAGCCTTTCGATTAACTTATTTATCCAAGCTACTTGTATAGCAACAACTTATATGTACCATTGATTTGTATGAGCTGGTAAGACTGAATATTGCTTACGCCTTAGAGCATATTCATCCTAATCGCTTTACTGTTAATCTCCTAAATATCTCGATGACTTAGACATTTCCCTATGTATATATATGAACATTTTAATCTTATCAATTCATTCACCGATTCGCCAACTCACTCTCTAGTGTACTTGCCCTGCTCTGTGTGTTTATGGTCTGCTGGTCCATTTTGTGGTGTGTCAAAAATAAACGTATTCAACATTTTGTGTTCACCGTCAGGCCCTATTTGGTGACGATTGCCTAAACGAGCAAATTACGAAAACTAAGAACATGTTGAATACATTGGCTACCACAAGGTAACTGAAGATAAGTTCATGTATACGATTTTGAACCTTAGATAAATTGTTTGATTTTAAGAAGTGAAATACAAAAATGAAGGGCATTTATGAAGACTGTATTATATTCGTAGTTGAATTCACGAACTGATTTTAGCTAGCTCAACATTGGAAACCGGAAAGCACTGGATAGGCATTTCGTTCTAGTATAAAACTCATCAGCAGTGAGCATCCACAACCACTGAATGCGAGGATCTGACTTACAACCTTCGATCTCATGCATGTATGCTTAATCGCTACGCCACTGAGTAAGCATCCAGTAATGTTATTGTCTGAATTCAAAACGTATCGGGTAGAATACAGTTATCCATTGCAAGCAGTGAATGAAAGTTGCACAAGATCATAGATTGATTGAAGTAAGACAAAATAACGCCATGGAGTGCTGACTCAGTGGTGTAAAGATGAAGCTTTTGCGCATGAAATCGAAGGTCCAGTGGTCGTGGATTCTCACTAGTGATGAATGAAATAGCTATCCAGTGCTTTCAGGTTTCCAATGTTGGTCTAGCTAAGATCAGTTCGTGATTTCAAGTATAAAATAGAAAACAATGAGTCGCACAGTAAGTTTGCATTTCATTTATTGATCAAATCGGCATAAAGTAATTGGTTAATTAATTTAATAAATTTGACTCAGAGAAAAAAGTTGACCAGTTAAAAAGGACAAAACATTAATTCATTAATGATTAATGGTAAGTGTTGGGGATGCTAGATCCACAAACCTCGCTTGTTAAATGCCTTACTTTGGATTCTATGTTTGCCAGCATGGGCTGATCACTTGACCTTGAGATTTCAATTCCTACCAGCAAATTCCATGGCTGTGATTGGCTGCTGTGTATTTAAGTTCTCAAGGACGTTTCTGTGTTATATAAATAAAAGAGAGTTGTGTGCTTGATTGTACTGTGATTGCTGGGTGTTTGTAGAATATACTTTCTACGCTTACCAAGTCTTCTGTTTACAGCTTGGGATTCAAGGTAGCCTACCTGGACACTGGTAATTGTCTCGTTGGCGTTTATCGACTAAGGTAAACTTGTAATAGCCTCAAGCATACTAAGTGATGAACCCTACAGTAACAATGAATATCATGTTTCTCTAGTCTCTAAGTGATGATTGAATTCTGTCCACTAAGTTGTAGAGTAGTACTAGGTTAATTGACTCACTATTACATGTAGTATAGTTTGTTTGATGTTATGTACTTGAAAGTAGTCAGTAGGAAACTTTGAACTTTCGTTTCATGCTAACTGGCATTCATTCAGAATATCTACATGTTCCAAGTTCAAATCAGTCACAGAGTACTCATTCTGGCTAGATGAATGGTTTCAACCGGTACGAAACCTATGTCTAAAGCTTTCAGTTGACTAACTTTAATACAAGGGAGAGAAATGGTTGATATTTTAATTATATTTTTAAGAATTAACCACTAAACAATACCTGAGAAAATAAACCAACACCAGAATCAAAGTATAATTTCACTCCAGGTTGAATAATAAGACGTCCAGTGAATGGAATGTAAATATCTTTAGTTACATGATAAAAACTTTTGGCATTCTGTAGTGGTTTTAAAATCACTTCTCTATTTTGTTCAATTGGAATTCGACCACCAAGATAAATTGGTCCATTGATCATGGTAGTAGGTTGTATAAACTCTGGTCTATATGGTGGTTCATTTGATGTGATGAATTCACTTCTTAGATTTAAATCTTTGAGTAATGGATGATAACTGATTTTAGCTTGTGTATAACTAAATAAAATAATAATAACAATAATAATAGTGACAAAAAATATTTTTTAAAGCTGATCGATCAAAGCGTAATGACTAATGTTATAGATGGCATTGCCTTTTTTAGTGCTGATTAAGTTGTAATGTGGCCACTAGTCTGAATGACAGTGATTGCTAGTAGTCAGTAGGTTTGAGGCTGCTGATTACCTCTATCTAACATTCTTAGATAAGATGCTTAAATTATCTTCACTAAAGCATCTATATGTTTCTTCACCAAATAGTAATAGTGAGAAAATCAATACAACTCAAATGGTTTTAAACAATAGTTTTCGGATTTCAGTAAAGGATCTATAGTGCTCTGGTGTACACAAAACGAATAGAAGTGGATATAAATCAAGCTGCTTCTTATTCAAAATGCAGCCAATCAATCTAACGATTAAACCTTCTGTTGCTGATGTTAGAACCCCACAACTCGCTTGATAAATGTCTTATTTTGGTTTTCATGTTTGCCAGCATGGGCTGATCACTTGACCTTGAGATTTCAATTCCTACCAGCAAAATCCATGACTGTGATTGGCTGCTGTGTATTTAAGTGTGCTGTTTTCATAACTGTCTCAAGGACGTTTCTATGTTGGATAAATAAACGTGGGTTGTGTGCTTGATTGTATTGTGATTGCTGGGTGTTTGTAGAATATACTTTCTACGCTTACAAAGACTTCTGTTCGCAGCTTGGAATTCAAGGTAGCCTACCTGGACGCTGGTAATTGTCTCGTTTCGCGTTTATCGACTAAGGTAAACTCGTAATCACCTTAAGCATACTTAGTGACGAACCCAATACCTTCGCTTTTTGCTAGTGTTATCCGAATTACAATGATCGTCTAAATGATATTTACTAGCCGAAAACTGTACATCTTATCGTAAAACATCCATTTGCAAAACAAGCATATTCTTGACTGTCTTTCGCCACATATCTTCTATTTTCCAAAACACTCTGCTTCCGGGTCCAGCATTCCTTACTCCGTCTGTAAATTCAGGGCAGCACTCTGAAGCGTACCGGGAATAAATATAGATAAATTTCTATTCTAGTAAGGAACTTCAAAGCAGTTCACATACACGACTACATCAGTGGTGACGCTCAGTATCATTAGGTCGATTAAGTTATAATGTGGCCACTAGTCTGAGTGACTTAACATTGGCACAGTGCATATGTTGAAATTTTAGACAGTGATTGGTGGTAGTCAGCAGGATTGAGGCTGCTGATTACCTCGAACTAACATTCTTAGATAAGATGTTTAAATTATTTTTACTAAAGCATCTATATTAGTTGGAAGTAATGTTTCTTCACTAAATAATAATTGTGAGAAAATCAATACAATTCAAATAGCTTCAAACAATAGGTTTCGGATTTCAGTATAGAATCAATTGGTGTTCAGTGTACACAAAACACTCTAAATGCACCATGCCTCCGGGCTTAGCACTGCTTACTGCGTCCGTAAATTCAGGGCAGCATTCTGGTGCGTACCGGGAATAAATGTAAAAAATTTCTATTTTAGTAAGGAACTTCAAAGCAGTTCACATACACAACTACATCAGTTGTGACTCTCTGTACCATTAGGTCGATTAAGTTATAATGTGGCCACTAGTCTGAGTGACTTGACATTGGATAGTGCATATGTTGAAATCGGAAGTAATGTTGGAGTAATGTTTCTTCACCAAATAATAATAGTCAGAAAATCAATACAACTCAACTGGTTTCAGAAAATAGTTTCTGGATTTTAGTTTAGGATGTATTAGTGCTTGAGGGTACACAAACGAATTGAAATAAGAATAAGAGAAGCAGCTTCTTATTCAAAGTGCAGCCAATCAATCTAACGTTTAGACCTATGGTTTTACCAATGTTGTCTGAATTGCAACGATTGTCGAAATGATACCAATGAAAATGACCCTCATTCTCGAAGTAATCCCCTATCAACGCCATCTAAACACAAATGGCACAATGTGGATAGTATTCGTAGGAAACTGGTATCACTCAGCGGGAAGCAGAATCTTCTAACCAAAAACTGTGTACACTTTATCTATCATAAAACATCCATTTACAAAACAAGCATATTCTTGGTTTCCTTTCTCTACATGTCTTCTATTGCACCATGCATCCGGGTTCAATACTCTTTACTTTATCGGTAAATTCAGGGCAGCACTCTGGTGCGTATCGACCACATACTACCGGATAAGCTTAGTTATATGTAACACACACCACAATACCATTAGAAACCGGGAATAAACGTATAAAATTTCTATTCTAGTAAGGGACTTCAAAGCAGCTCACATCCACAAGTGTATCAATGGTGAAGCTCAGCACCATTCGGACTCATGAAGTTCCAGATGATTCTTGTTGTTTGTTAAATTATTATTATTATTAAGATTCTATTGAATCTCCATATCGATTTTTTCTAAACAAGGCAAAATAAGGATCTCACTATATAGAAATCATTTCAGACAAGATTTGGATAACATGTAGCATTTTTTGCCGACTAACAATTCAGGATATGAAACCAATCATCAATCACTCAGTTAATTAGTTCTATACTATATATACCAGGACGAAATGGCTGTCCAGTACTTTCAGGTTTCTAATGCTGCTGGTCTAACAATAATTGATTTCAATAATTAACCAAAAACAATCCCCGTAACTCGATAATGAATAATCAGTTCTAATCAATTTAATGTTTGGTAAAAATGTGAGTCAGATTTGGTTACCATATCAAAATAGTACAACGAGATATAATCAACAATGGGAAACTGTAAAACAATCGTAATAATCGAGAGTAGTAACGACAGATACTTTAGTGACTGATTATTAATCACATTGCGGGATTGTTGTGAAGATTTTTAAATTTTATTTGTAACCATGAATCGATCAATGTTAGACCACCATTAGAAACCTCAATGCACTGGACGGCCGTTTCGTCCTGGTATGGTCCTCAGTGGCAGTGCGCATCCACGACTTCTGCACCCCGCAGGATTCGAACCCAGGACCTTCGGTATTGTGCTCGAACGCCCTAACCGTTAGACCACTGTTAATATCTAACTTGATCAAATTCACGGAGTTGCGCAACCTCATACACTGTATACATCCGAACAGGTTTGAAACTTCATTGGTCACTTCACTGATCAATAAAATTTCTTTTAAAAACAAACAAATTAGATTATCCATCACATTTGAATAAATAGTTCAATGCATTACCGATGATTTTGATCGAAAATTTTATTGAATACAATTTGATGCATAACACTCCAATCATTAATTGACCAATCGTGTAAATTGCCCCAATAATTCAATGTAGCATTGATCTGTTTATCGGGTGATGATAAATGACTAGCAAGTTCACTAAATAAAATCGAAAGAGGAAGAGGGTATCATCAAAAGAAAATTTATGATTATTATTATTATTACTGCAAGGGGATTAATGAGTATTATCGAAAATTTATGGTTCACTTCATGAAGAATCATCATTACTGAAACTCTTCTGTAGTAGAAATGTTGAACCGTTTTCCGAAGTGAAAAGAGATTTTCGGAACATTGATTATAAGTTGTAATCAATGGAGTCCCATCAAATCAATTTTGAAACAGTTTTACACCCAGTGGGAATCAATCATATTCACTGATTATCATTAATCATCTCAGTGGTATAAAGTTTACGAGTCTGGGGTATAATCTCTCATCGGGTCGTGGATATCCAATATTGAGTTGTTCCATACTAGTATGAAATATTTATTTAATCTTTACTGATTCGGGAAATGTGTTTCAAGTGCCTGACTAACCTAATACCTCAACAAGTGTTGTATTGGGATATAGGAGTAGGCTGGAAGAAAACTAGGGATGGTCAAACGAAAAACATGGCGGAAATCCATGACGTCAGTGACAACTGCAGTGAGACATGTTAGTGGGTGTAGACTACCTGGTTCGGGTCCGCGATAGTAACCGATGGTTTGAGACTTTGAATGACATGGCTCGAAATCGACTGAAATGACACAGATACATCTATTCTTTGTCTTCTTTCATGACCTCATGAGGTCAGGATATTTTCTTATCCCTTTTTAAATTTATTTCACTGGATTATACCTCTTGAATAATATCTTCAAACCCTAATCTTTTCGATTACCCTTAATTCTTCTACTACCTCTACTACTACAGGATTTGAATGGACGATTCGAACGTTCTTTGCTAATATGGTATGATAACTTAAACTGAAGTATGTACGTACGTATAAAGTTCGGCGTTGTAGCTGACTGATTGACCGACTAAGTCCAGTCCATGAAATAAACTAAGAAATATTAATATTGTTATGATCATTAATATATTAGCAGAGTTAGATATTTAAACGAATTGATCACTTGAAACTAATTACTTAGAGCATACAGCTTAAGTTATAAGTATGGATTATAAATTTTGATCACTCATATTATAATGTGGTGTACGCTACTTATGTTCACATAAGTAGTATATTATATCAAACGGAAATCAAATGTCTGACAGCAAAAGATCGAGAAGGAAAGAATGAGAACAGAACGCGATTTGTAGGTAACGTAAAGTGAACTGAAGTCTGAACTGTATAAATGAAAGAACACTGAAATCTAAAACAAATAAGGATTAGTTTGCAAATAATGATTTCATGGGAACGTTTTGTACATATGTTTAACAACTCTGTGATATTCGTTTAAATATAGATGTTGATGTCTTCACCTGAGTTTTCGTGCACAACAATAATAATGACAGTTATCTTAATCGATTCATTATTATAATATTTTCTATTTGATAGTAAATGAGTGTAATCCTTTTAGGCAGAAAACTCTAAATCTGTATTTCATACTAGTTACTATTTATCGACAAAGTATATTTGTAATTGTTAGCGGGACATAGATGGGATTAGAGCATGGCTGCGTTAGCTGCACGCTGATTGGCTAATTCAGATCCAATCAGCTCTAGTCGATAATTGGAGAACATTCGAGAAGCTTCTCATGTAGAAACTAAAAAATTCTAACGTTGTTCCTATTTGGCCTTCGCTTTGTCATCTTACTTTCATTTACCCTTGCTATTTGGAATACAATCTCTTCCCTGTTCAACCATCTACTGATTTGGGGCCTTGTACACTGGATTGGTGTCGAGAATAGTGTTGGGGATGTTAGATCCCCGAAATTCGCTTGATAAACGCCTTATTTTGGTTTTCACGTATGCCAGCATGGGCTGATCAGTTGACCTTGAGATTTCATTTCCCACCAGCAAAATCCGTGGCTGTGATTGGCTGCTGTGTATTTTAGTGTGCTATTTATGGCGACTGTCCCAAGGACGTTTCTATGATGTATAAATAATTGAGAGTTGTGTGCTCCATTGTATTGTGATTGCTGGATGTTTGTAGAATGTATTTTCTACGCTTACAAAGCCTTTTACTCGCTTTGGGGATTCAAGGTAGCCTACCTGGACGCTGATAAAAGTCTCGTTCGCGTTTATCGACTAAGTGACGAGCGTACTAAGAGAGAATTATAACAGTAATCTTTAAATAATTGACATTTTACCGAGTGAGTAGAATGTTCACGGTATAGTGTGTAGTAAGTTACAACCACAGGCATTGTTATTGAATTATATTGGTTGCGATTGATAAAGAGTTCAGTGATTACATTTTAATTTGACCGCACAAAAACCAAATTCAAACATCAATAAATTCTGCAAATCACAATAGTTTCTTGGTCATTTATTTATGAATCATGATGAAAAACAATTGAGACATGTTGAATTTTGTTCAACTGAAAAAATAACTTATTAGTAGTTTATAAAAATACTTTTTTTTCAAAGAAAAAATGACTTACAAATCAGAATAAGGATTCCATAAATGATTACGAAATATGTGTACATTCGATGAACCAATGACAATAACAGCCGGGCATGCTGAACGTGGTTTCAATAATGATGAGGATTTAATTTGAACGCTAAAAAAAAATATTGGGAAAATAAGTCTATTGAATTTGTGTACGTCAAGTGAGCTGTTTATTCTTCTTCTTCAAAAAATAAAATACTTTGCATATTAAACGATCATATGTTGGATATCGGTTCAGTAGCAAAAAGGTTAAGCTTTTGCGCACAGGACTGAAAGTTCTGAGTTCGACTCTGTTGTGCGGGGTCGTGGATGCACATTGTTGAGGAGTCCCATACTAGGATGAGAAGGCTATCGTGCTTTCAGGTATCTAATGGCAGTGTAGTATTGATCGATCCATGCTTTCAATGATACTAGATCTAAATTCTATTTTAATTAATTAATGCTATACAGTAGTAGTGTGGTGCGCGCTACTTATAAGTAGTATATGACACGAGTGTAAACGTAATGTCTGGCAGCAGAAGATTGCGGAAGATCAAGAAAGGAAGAGTTAGAACACAATGGAATTTGTATGAAACGCATGAATAAGTGAACTGTCAGACAATGGATTGATGATGGATTGAAGATTTGCAAATTAACCGTTTACGATATGGTTTTCCTATTTTACTGAGTAACTCTGTAATTTTCGTTAAATACAATTCGGTTGCCCTCACCTGTGTTCTCCTTCACTACAATATGATTAAATGGATAAGAAATACTACTTTGTCAGTGTAGATTATTTTGAATTTTATAACCGTTGAGATTCGACTTGAGATATTTTGTTACATATTTTAAACAATCATTATTTTTCCAACGTGAATCACTGACAACATTTCTAACACTTTTCATTTGTTTACCATGTTCCATGAGAGCTTTCTTTTGATTGATTGGTTTCTAGATGCTTTACAGAGTGCTGTTTTACAATTGATAAAAGTATTTTGAATGTATTTATAAGTAGGGAGAGTTAGTCGTAGTGTTTTTACTTCACTAATGGCTTGATGTTGGGTCAGATACTTTCACGTTTTACCTTCACTTAGATCCAGAGTTTTCCTAATCTTATCTTATGCAAGTATTATTTTATGAGTTCATTGTTGATATTATGGGGGTAATTTGAGACGATATAAGTACGTGTCATGTTCTGCGTTGGACATAATTGACTGACAAATGTTGTAGTGCCTCCACATATATTCCAGTTCGCTTACATCTAACTTGGTTAAGCCCAGTCGATTAATTTATTTAACCAAGCCATTTGTATAGCAACAATTTATATGTACCATTCGTTCTTATTATTTTCTGGTTTGTATGAGCTCACATGTCATGTTCCACTTGTCATTTGATCTTGTCAATCATTCGTCGCTTTTATTCATGTGTGTGCACGCCTATTTCGCTTGTCATATGTCTGCCTTATTTTTGTCTGACTATATATTCTTAGTCATACTCTATCTCTTCGAGTTGGCTCAAAAGCCTTCTCCAATTCATGTTGCTTCATTTGTTTTATTCACTGCTTCTCCACTTCGCTTTGTGGTGTGTCCCGCATAAACGTATTCATCACTACGAATTCATCTTCTGATTTATAAACCGTCAGACGCTATTTGGCAACGACTGTCTGAACGAGTTAATTACCGAGCTTAAGAACACGCAGTAAATCGACACACTACAATGTCTTTACTTATAAGTCAACTGAGTTTCAAAAAAGTAAATGGAAATTTATCGCAGTTCATCAGAGTTCTTCATATAATTACAAACACTCAAATCTAGATCAAGAATGTAGTAATAATGAATTTTTTTTTAGTCAATAAAATAATGAAATCTCTTAAGAGAACTTATTAATTATTAGGTTTCAGGGTCTGTTTGTGTATGTATTCTCTAATATTACATCATGAATCGACTTCAACCAGAGAACTTTTGGGAAGCGGCAAGCGTTACACAGTTTTTCAGTCGTAGTGTAGTGAAGGAGAACACAGGTGGGGCAACCGTATTGTATTTAACGAAAATTACAGAGTTACTCAGTAAAACTGGAAAATCATATCGTAAATTGTTCATTTGCAAAATATCAGTTCATCATATCGAACTGGACTGTTCCTGTTGCAAACAACATCAATCCATTGTCACTTTTCATGTGTTTCATACAAATTCCATTGTTTTCTAACTCTTCCTTTCTTGATCTTCTCCCGTCTTTTGCTGCCAGACATTTCGTTGACACTCACGTCATATACTACTTATAAGTAGCTCGCACCACAGTGGTATACTGATTCTCAACAGTTCCATCGAATCAACCAATTAAGGACTGAACTCAAGACCCTCAAGCTCATGTAGTCAGTCCGTTATGTAACAAAACAAAATTCGTTGCAAGTTTGTTTCTAATTTCCTGTCATTAGCTCAGAAAAGTGGTATTTCTCATAAACCATACTTTTACAAGTAAAAAATAAATTGAAAATTATTTTTTTCAAAATGATGACATTGGCCATGGTTATTGAAAATCCCCTTATTCTCTTTTCTGTGTACACAAACCTTATTCATGAGATCTAAAATTCTTGACGCCAGTTGTCGGTGAAACTGTAGGTACGCATCGTTCAGGAGTCACATACTCAGACAAAACAATTGTTCATTGTTTCATGATTTTCAGTAAATGTCTAATTAAGTCAGAACATACTGATCATTTTAGTTAGAAAAGATATTTTCATATACGATTACTTTACACTCATATACGAGAGCATTCAAGTGTAAATATCATTATAGAAATAGAATATTATATGGAGGTAGCATTACATGTATTTTGTTTACAGAGAATCTATAGAATATTGTAAGGATATCCATCAAATATCCTAAGAGAATTATTTTTGTTAAGTCTAATTCTAATTGGTCAATTCCTACTGGTCAATATTATGGCCATCCTAGCTATCAATGGTCACATACTTCAGTGATGTTTCCTATTTGAACTAACTGTATAAATACGCATTATCTGTAATGTTGTAGGACCCGGACTCGGATCCCTAATCCAGGTTTCTGATCCTCCTCTGGACTCGGACCTCGTGCTTTCTGGATTCTCGTAGAATACAGGTTCTACTTCATATCAAGTCTTTTTCTTTTATTCAATGGGGGGGTTAGTACACTCGAATTAGAGTAGCATGTCGTGTCATCGGATCCTCGAACCTCGCTCTCGTTTTCCGACCAAGGTTAACTCGTAATAGTTCAAGCATATTAAAATGACGTGTTTACGTGCATGCGTAACAGATATATTTAGTAAAGTAATCTAAAACACGCATTTAATCCTACTAGTAACTAGTCAACTGTATGTACCTGGACCATTACTACATTCTAAGACTCGAATCTAGTATTGTTCGCCCGCAATACCAACATCTCATCCAATTATTTACTAGAGTACATGTACAAAAGACAAATTTTTTCTTAAAAAAATATCTAAATAGAATCAGGTGACATATAAAATACCTAGAAATAAAATGCCTAAAAACACTAATCGTCATAACTCTAATTGAAAATAATGTAAATGTGTTCGGAGTTCTAGTGAGAAGATGTGACCAGTGGAGTTCAACCTTATCGGGTGTAGGCAGTAACTACCAAAGACAAATGGGTGACGTCACGCTACATCCCTAGATCATTCCGAGTTAGACATTAACACTGTTGGATGCCGTCCAAGGGGTACAGAGGTTAGGCGTTCGCGCGCAAGACCGAAGATCCTGGGTTCGAATCCTGCGAGGTGCAGAAGTCGTGGATGCTCACTGCCACTGATAAGTCTCATACCAGGACGAAATGGCCGTCCAGTGATCCAGGTTCCAAATGGTTGTCTAACAATGATTGATTGATCATTTCAAATGTGTAAAAACACTAATCTCCATAACTCTAATTGAAAATAATAATAATAGTAATAATAATAAACCAATTAATTAATCTTACCGATTATTAATAAATTTATTATAAATTAAATCTAAACGTTGTAACGTTGATTGTTCATTCAAACTTAAATGTACAATATAAGATGAACCTTGATTATTAATAAATTCATTATAACCAATCCGGTAATTCACAGGAAATTCATGTTGTAATTTCAATGAATTGCCAGGATTATTGATAAAAATTACACCATTGAAATGTTGTTCAAAGGTGGAATTTATTATATGTCCAATGATATTTATTATTGGTGAGATAATGATTGCATTGTATTGATTTTTATAAAAAGAACTAAATGCTACAGTGAAATTAGTGATCATCTAAAAAGGTATATAAATAACGTGAAAGAAAATATGGTAATGTTAATATTAGTAATAATGTGGTGTGAGCTACTTATAAGTAGTATATGACGTGAGTGTCAACATAATGTCCGGCAGCATAATATGGGGGAAGATCAAGAAAGGAAGAAGAGTTAGAAAACAATGGAATTTGTATGAAACGCATGAATAGTGATAATGGATTGATGTTTGGCAACAGGAACAGTCCAGTTCGATGTGAAGAACTGATCTTTTGCAAATGAACAATTTACGATATGGTTTTCCTATTTTCCTGAGTAACTCTGTAATTTTCGTTAAATACAATTCGGTTGCCCTCACCTGTGTTCTCGTTCACTACAGTGCGACTATAGGTAGTAAACTTTTATATACTCGCCTGAATAGATTATAACTACGCCAGGAGTACTTCTAGTGTTACTGCCGGTATTAAGCCTGGATAAAAGGAGGAGAGATGGGCATCGGGTTAACGACCCATCCAACCCTCTAAAAAAACGCCGACGAGAATACTACTTAGCTGGTCGGCAGACTATGCTACGTTAGGTGTAGTAGTCGTAAGTAAGCTGAATAGATTAGGCGATTCATAGACATAATTGACGTGGTAAAGCAAACAGTACGAGGTAGCTTGTTGGAATGTTTTAATGTTAAGAAAACGAAGAGTCGAGATTTGTAGAGCAGTGCGCTTATTTCCTCTATCGAAAATTCTAATGTAATGTAATTTCGAATTTTTTTTCGAATAAAGTATCAAAAATTTCTTACGAGATATTGCGGGGTTCGTCACTTAGTATGCTTGAGGTTATTACGAGTTTACCTTAATCGATAAACGCGAACGAGACTTATACCAGCGTCCAGGTAGGCTACTTTGAATCCCAAGCTGTAAACAGAAGGCTTTGTAAGTGTAGAAAGTATATTCTACAAACATACAGCAATCACGGTACAATCAAGCATACAACTCTCGTTTATTCATACATCATAGAAACGACGTCCTTGGGACAGTTAAGAAAATAGCACACTAAAATACACAGCAGCCAATCATAGCCACGGATTTAGCTGGTAGGAAATGAAATCTCAAGTTCAACTGATCAGCCCATGCTGGCAAACGTGAAATCCAAAATAAGGCATTTATCAAGCGAATTTCGGGGATCTAACATCCTCAACAGATATTTTTTTGTGCTAGTTTAGATATTCTTTTTTGGAAAAAATGTATCGAAATTTTAAACTTTCTTTTCAATAAATATTTGAATACAATTGTCTTTGATAGTGGTTGATAAATGTTTGTATTTATCAGAGATTGTATATTCTAATTCAGAATAAAGAGTTTAGGCTTTAACAGTTGGATTGTCGCACTCACAGAAGTATACATAATTTGATGAATGATACAGTTGACAGGGTACTGTTTGAAATCGATCAGGTGATATTCAGATATGGTTATCCTATCTGGTTAATTGATAGTAAGTAACCAAAGGTCACAACTACAACCTAATAAAATGTTTCCGGTGCTATGAATAATTCTATTTATGAACATTGAATTTGAAAGGAAACATTATTGCGAGAATCTTGAAAAACTGAATCTCAAATCTCTAAGATAAACCTTTGATTTCCACGAAGCTTCATACTACCTTCCTCATGACAATGTTAAAGATAAACTTCCTCTTTATACCATATGGGTTTGTATCTATATTCACATCTACCTCTTGTGGGGTAAGTTATATTGGGTGCTTTTGGTCATGTTTCGTTCTCTGAACTGGATATTTGGGTTGTGAAGCTTTCATTGTTCTTCTGAATGACATCATCAGCACAAATTTCAGATGGAAGTGAAGTTTTCGAATATCTCTACGTTTGACCTGTCCACGCAACTTCATCAAAAAAACATCAACAGAAGCGTAATCGAGTACAGGAACCAATAAACGGATCGTACTAATAGACATCAAAGACATATCGGAATATACAGCACAACTACTGAAACCATTCGGAATAGGTGTGGCACACAAAACAACAGAATCACTTCAATCAATCCTATGTAGACCAAAGGACAAAATGACAAAGGAAGAAAAACCAAATATCATCTACAAAATAAATTGCTCAAACTGTGAAAAACACTACATAGGACAAAGTGGACGACCTCTTCAGCTCCGTTTACGTGAACATCAATTAGCATTCAAACGACACGACAATTCTTCACTTATATCAATATACTCGGACAACTATGGACATAATTGCGATTGGAACAATGTGGAAATACTGGATAGGGGGGGTACAAAGAATACTAGAAAATTTTTAGAAGCTTGACACTCAGGTCAATCAGCAATCAAAGAACTCATTGAGACTGACCGAATTTATCAACCAGTCAGAAAAATCATAGGTGACATAGGATCAAGAAACAGATCGAAGGCGGATACAATCAAAATAATGGTGAAAACAACGACAGGTTTAAGGGCAACAGCAACCAATCAAGATCGAGGTTAACAGAACAAGTTTCAGGTCAAACGTGGAGAAATTTGAATACTTCATTTCTATATGAAGTTTGTGCTGATGATGTTCAGAAGAACAATGGAAGCTTCACAACCAAAACAACCAGCTCAGAGAACGAAACACCACCACAATCATCCACCTGAGCTACAAATCTTCCCTTCATTGGGTGCACAAAGCAGAGGCTTCCTAAACGCAACTCAGAATGCTATCGAAAGCAGCTTTTAAAAGACCAATGCAAAAATAATCAACAGTTAAATAAAAGAATATGTTATCAATCCTAGTCATTCAGCTTCATCAAATTCATCGTACGAAACAATCTACATTATCTAAACAAATGTGTGCACCGTTGAAGTTCTAACAACCTCTTATTCTTCATCCCCCTCAAACCTCTTCTCATTTAACTACTACTTCCGTGTACACTTGTCAGTTCCTTTAATTTCTGGCGAATTCTGTTAGATTAGCTTTCAAATTAAGTATTTAACTCGAAAAGTGTATTTATTTGTAAATTGAATGTTTAGTTATTCGTTTTAAATTCCATCAAATGATTTCATTTGAAAAACTTTTTTGAAGCGAACTATGTTCGGGTGTTTGTGAATGATAATTGTAATCTGTATTTGCAAAAATGTCTATTTTATTATGGTTTTGATGTATTCTCTTTAAACTGTTATAGTGGACCAATCAGAAACCAGTCAGTAAGAAAGCAAAAGTGAATAGAATGTACCAAACAATATTGTTCGCTTATATGTGTTGTTCCAATCAGATATCATCAAAATGATAATCGTCATGTGATTGACCAATGATGGCATTTATTTCGTAAGAATTAATTACATAACACCTTGAACGATTGTCAGATGAATAAATTAACGAGTACAGACAGTTGTTTATTGATTTTTGTTAGGGAAAATAGTTTTATTTGAGGACGACTAAATACTTTCAGGATGTGAGTTATAAATGTGAAATATTTCGCGGCCGTTGTCCGATAGTAATTCTAACGTTCGGTGTTGTCATTTGTACAGTGGTTTGGCGTTACTCAAGTAGAGCACATAAAAGTAATTAATAATTCAATATATTCGGTGTTTATATTTGTTCACTACATATAAATTATTGCATATTTAAGAAATGAAGCCTCTAAAAAATTGAAAGGAAGCTTATAAGTAGTTAAAATAAGACTTGATATCATGCTATGAAATCGTTAACAGTTGGAATGAGCCATGTAGGCAGGTGCAAACAAATAAGTTCAGTCATGATAAATTTATCTAGTTGTATTGGAGTTAATAGGCTACGTGAACCGACGCATATATATATATATATATATATATATATATATATGCTGTTATCGACTGACTGATTCTGAATAAGAATTGTGACTTGTCATGACGGACACTGTCCGAGATCTGAACGCCATACACGCTAACCTCTCAAAACTGGCTACTACTGTTAGCAAAACTGAAAGAGTCTATTCGGCTATTAAATAATATGCATAAATACTCAACCACATATATACACATTCTTTCCCTTTAAAAAATGAATTCATTCCTTGACCTATGATATGTATTCGTCCTTCAAGACATTTTCTCATAGTTAAGTTAGACAAGTATTTTTTTACATTGCGGGGTTGTTGTGAAGATTGTTGAGTTTTATTTGTAACCATGAATCGATCAATGTTAGACCACCATTTGAAACCTCAATGCACTGGACGGCCGTTTCGTCCTGGTATGGGACTCATCAGTGGCAGTGTGCATCCACGACTCCTGCACCCCGCAGGACTCGAACCCAGGACCCTCAGTAGAGTGCGCGAACGCCCTAACCGTTAGACCACTGAGCCGGTATCTAGTGGTGTTAATTTCTAACTTGATCAAATTCACGGAGTTGCGCAACCTCATACCCTGTATACATCCGAACAGGTTTGAACTTCACTGGTCACGACTTCCCACTAGAACTCGGAGAAGATTCCTCATGGAGCTAGTCACTAGTGAACACATGTAATTGCATTGTGGCGTTGTTGTGAAGATTGTTAAGTTTTATTTGTAACCATACCAGGACGCAAAGGCCGTCCAGTGATTCCAGGTTTCTAATGGTTTTTTAAAATTGATCGATTCATGGTTACAAATAAAAGTATATGTTAGTCAGTTCGTCAATATTAGTTTGATCTAGAGAATATTACTGACGTAATTAAATATACATTGAACTTTTAGTTTTGAATGATTGCATTCTTTTAGTTTTTGGAAAAAGTACAGTTTTTACAATGTTAGCCAATGAATCTAACTGTTCTCTATCGTTCTAAATTCAGTGTATTTCCAAACCTTACTACAATAAAAATAAAAAGAAACAGATTTTCTACAAGTGTATAACTTGTACAAATCAATGTACAAAACAATGTAACTACACACACTTACATTATAATCTTTACAAAGGCATGAGTAAATTCTGATAGCATTACGATGATTGTTGAAGAAAGATGTGAAATTTACTAAAATTTCCATTGTAAAACATGAATCATCAAAACGAATTGCATCATGGTAATTTTCTGTAAATCAATTTTAAAAAAAATAAAATAACAATCGTACATATTGTTGTTATATATTGCATAACAAAAAAGCCAATCTCATTGTTTATAAGTATTTAAAGACAAAACAGAAGTATCTTACACATTTGAATCCATGAATCAATCAATTTCAGACCACCATTAGAAACATGGAAGCACTGAACGGCCGTTTCTTCCGGGTATGGGACTCATCAACAGTCCACATCCACGATTCCAGCACCTCGCAGGATTCGAACCCAGGATCTTCAGTCTTCCTCGTGAACGCCTAATCTCTGGACCACTGAGTCGGTATCTGGCGGTGTTGACGTCTAACTTCGATCAGTTCACGGAGTTGCGCAAACTCATACAGTCTTCTGTAGTTACTATTGTTATAATGCTGCTACGTATAGCTATTCAGTCCTAGCCGCGTCCAAATTCAAATATCCCAGTACGACCCAAATACTATTTCCAAATCTCCTATATATTGGAACGCAACACCGTTGGATGGAGTTTTTTATTGGGTCGAGTACAGAAGAGAGGTAGGCAGGAAGGAACGGAATCATCAAGGCTCACAGATAGTGCATATTTATACATTTAGGTCGAATAGGAAAGAGCATCAAAGTCTGTAAGATTGACAGTATAGAACGGCCAATAAGAGACAACATTGAAGTATTTGACTTTGACAGTTAAAACAACCATAATTTTGACCAATAGAAATCGATCAATAGGATTATACTTCCAAAAATAATACTCTTAGGATATTTGGTGAACATCCTAACAACTATCTACACCCGAACAGGTTGAACTTCACTGGTCACGACTTCCCATTAGAACTCGAAAAAGATTCCTCATGGAGCTAGTCACTAGTGAGCGGAGGTAACTGCATTACGGGATTGTGAAGAATATCAAGTTACACATTTTTGAAATCATGAATCGATCAATCGGTCAGCCCACTATTAGAAACCTGAAAGCACTGAACGGCCATTTTGTCCTGAGTATGGGACTCATCAGCGGTGCACAATCACAACTTTGAGTTTGATTAATAAATACTTACTGATTTATATTATTTTTCTAGTTACTTGTATTCATGAAATTCAATTGAATTCCAGTTTGGAAAACAGACTATATAATATGTGTATCTAAATTTCAAATGATATACTGCGCTTGTAGAGAGTTTTAGAAATAGATTTTTTACCAAATAATTGTCATTAGCTCAAAGTGTTGATAATCATGTACAGGATAGTGATATTTTCCGTAGTATGAAATTGATCTTAATGAGACTGTATCAAATATAGCTTTTTATTTCAGTTAACAATATTGTGGATGAAGTTTACTGTTCATTGTTATTCTGTGTAGTATTGGTTAAACCATACATCTGTCAAATTTAAAAACTTTTATGACTTTACATGATCTAATGTTATGATTATGTCACAAGAAGTACCATCACAAGGAATGGATCTCTGTTGATACTCTTGCAAAAATTGAAGAATGGAGGAACAAGAAGGAAGCGATCAATGTCATCCGAACAAGAGCAGAGAAAGTTATCGCACAGGCTGCATACACAGAAGCAAACAGGGAAGTGAAGAATAGTGACAGAGCTGACAAACGAATCTAGCAATGACGGCGGAAAAGGCTGCAAGAGAAGGAAACTATAGACAATTGTACGAAACAACAGAGAAGCTCGCCGGAAACTATCGTAAGCCAGAACGACCAGTGAAAAGCAAGGAAGGCAAAGTAATCAGCAACATTGAAGAACAGCGAAATAAGTGGGTAGAGAACTTTCAGGAACTCCTGAATCGACCAGCTCCACTGAACACACACAACATCGAAGCAGCATCCACGGACCTCCCAATTAGTATTGGCGCACCTACGATTGAGGAGATCAGTATGGCCATCAGACAAATCAAGAGAGGCAAAAGCAGCAGGATCAGACAACATTCCAGCAGAGGCAATGAAAGCAGATATAGAAGCAACTGCGAAAATATTTCACATCCTCTTCAAGAAGATTTGGGATGAGGAACAAGTACAATCAGATTGGAAAGTATGATCAAAATACCAAAGAAAGGCGATCTCAGCAAGTGTGAGAACTACAGAGGCATCACTCTTCTTTCAATACCAGGCAAAGTCTTCAACAGGGTTATGTTAAACAGAATGAAGGACTTCGTAGACGCCCAACTTCGAGATCAACAGGCTAAATTTCGTAAGGATCGATCGTGTCCCGACCAAATTGCTACATTACGGATAATTCTGGAATAATCGATTGAATGGAACTCATCACTCTACATCAACTTCATCGACTACGAGAAGGCATTCGATAGCGTGGACAGGAAAACACTGTGGCGGCTTCTTCGACACTACGGTGTGCCTGAGAAGATAGTTAACATCATACGGAATTCTTATGATGGATTCAACTGCAAAATCATACACGAAAGACAGCTAACGGACTCTTTCGAGGTGAAGACCAGTTTGAGGCAAGGTTGCTTACTCTCACCCTTTCTCTTTCTCCTGGTCATCGACTGGATTATGAAGACGTCAACATCTGAAGGGAAGCACGGTATTTAGTGGACAGCTAGGACGCAGCTGGACGATCTGGACTTTGCAGATGACCTGGCTCTTCTATCACACACGTAACAAATGCAAGAGAAGACGACCAATGTAGCAGCAGCCTCTGCAGCAGTAGGTCTCAGCATACACAAAGGAAAAAGCAAAATTCTCCGATGTAACACAATATACACCAACCAAATCACTCTTGATGGAGATGCCCTAGAGGACATGAACACTTTTACATATCTGGGCAGCATCATCGACGAGAAAGGTGGATCCGATGCATATGTGAGGACGCGGATCGGCAAAGCAAGGGCTGCATTTCTACAGTTGAAAAATATCTGGAACTCCAAACAACTTCCAACCAAAACCAAAATCAGGATTTTCAATACAAATGTGAAGACAGTTCTACTGTATGGAGCGGAAACTTGGAGAACTACGAAAGCCATCATTCAGAAGATACGAGTGTTTAGTAACAGTTGTCTTCACAAAATACTTCGGATTCATTGGCCAGACACGATCAGCAACAGCGAACTTTGGCAGAGAACAAACCAGATTTCAGTGGAGGAGGAAATCAGGAGGAAGCGGTAGAAGTGGATAGGACACACACTACGAAAAGCACCTAACTGCGTCACGAGACAAGCCCTCACATGGAACCCTCAAGGGAAAAGGAAAAGAGGAAGGCCAAAGAATACATTACGCCGAGTAATAGAGAAAGATATGGGAGGAATGAACAAACATTGGACAGAACTGGAGATGGAAGCCCAGGACAGAGTTGGTTGGAGGAAACTGGTGGGCGGCCTACACTCCATTTGGGGTAACAGGCGTAAGTAAGTAAGTAATGTTATGATTAAGTAGTTCAAAGGCGTCAGTAGAACGTAATCGATGGGAATTACATTAGTTGTTGAATGTATATACTTTTTCTTTCAAGTGAAAAAAAATAATGTTTTGGAAACACTGCTAAGTAAAAAATCATAGTAAAGGAATGAGGCAATCAGAGTTGAGAACTCTACTCTGTTAGGAAACATCCTCTTTTGTTGTAATTTAATGAAGATAACTATGGTCGATGAGTCAACTATTTATTCACTTCGCCAGACAATGGTTTCAATGCATAAATTTCTCAATATTTATAATAGCAACAGTGATAGTTTTGTTAATAAGTGATAGTGTAACGCATTCGAAGCGTAACTCTAACAGCTTGTCTTAATCTTACGCTGGCTTTATATCTGGTTGCTGTCTATTTATTTATTCGTACATTGGATGTAAGTGCATCATTCTATGTGCTTACTGAGTCGTCGGCTCATCTTATTTTTCTCTTGTTCTTTCTTCTTCCAAATAATTTCATATGCTGCTCCTCACATCTCCCCACCCAGCACACAAGGTACATTCCGGTTAAACGCAAACCAACCAAAGGCTGAAGTTACAATAGTAACTCATACGTATTTGGGTTTATATACATTCAATTTGGTTAAGCCCGTTTTGATTAACTTATTTCACAGACAGTCATTTGTATAGTAACAACTTATCTGCACCATTGTGTTTTTATTATTGTCGCGTTTGTATGAGCAGATATGATTGAGTATTGCTTACCGCCTATGTGTACGATTCATTCTATTCGCTTTAATGTTAGCCTCATCTAAATAATCCAATGACCTATTCATTTCCCTTTGTATTTATTTGCACATTTTAATCCTTATGACTGACTTGCTTGCTTACTCTTCGGCGCTCGTATATCGTTTTCGCTTTGTGTGCCTTGTGGTTTTGTGATATGTATGCGGTGCGATAATAAACGCATTTGATGCTACGTATTCGTCTTCTGATTGATACACCGTTAGGCGTTATCTAGTATCGATTATCAGGACGAGCAGTGTACGAAGTTTAGGAATATATCGAATATCGACCATCACAGAAGTGGTGAGCCCATATAGCTCCACAGAATTGATAAGCCCGATAACGCAGCCCAAAAATTTCATACTCTTAACACCATTGCGTATTGATTATTAAAAATATCTTCTAGGCAATAATGGATTTTCTGTGATTTTACGCGCACTGCTGATGAGTCTCATAACAAGACGAAACAGCCGTGCAGTGCTTCCTGGTTTTCAATGGTGATCTAACAGTGATTGAATGATGATTTCAAATGTGTAAAAATACTAATCTCCATAACTCTAATTGGAAATTCATGATAACAATTCATAGAGAATCCTTGAATATGCATATATATATTCGTCCACAAATTAATAGTTTTCTTTAGCAACATTTCTACAATACTGAGATCAGCATCGTCACAAGGGAAGTCCTAACTCGGAATCCTCAAAGCTAAAAAATAAGAACAAGACTAGAGAACGCAGACATCAGAAAAAAATATTTATAGAACTTGGCAACCTGGAAATGATAGTCCAGGTTATAGTTGGTTGTAGAATCCCGGTCGATCGGTTATGCGCCACGAGGGTTAACAGGCATTTGTAAGTAAATAAGTAAGTAAGTAAAATCGGCATATTGATTATAAACTTTGAAAAACTAAAAAACTTGCCCAGAACTTCCGAATTTTACAAGGATTATTCATAGTTTATACAAGCTTTTATTGATTTGCTAAAAAGAAGTTGGCTTCATAACACAATGAGGTTATTTATTGTAAGAAATCGCTTGATTTCATCCCTTTACTATGCTCTGTTCAGGAATGCAGCAGGCTTTAATTTACTTTAATATCAACTTAGTTTTCCCAAAGTTATTACCTCAAAACAGATAATTATTACACAATGAATGTATATATATATATATATATATATTGAATTTACCTGTGAAATTACATAGATAGACATGTGTTTTTGCTGGAAGATTTGGTTGACGTGATAATGGCTGATCGAATGATTGACTAAAATTCGAAATGACTAAACCATGTTCAAAATTATTATAAAATAATGAATTATTGATTTGTTTAAATCCACCAGTCATACTTATATTTAAACCGGAATTTTGATTTTTAATAAAGCTTTAAGTGAAGAAAAAAATAATAACAATATTAATTAAGGTAGACATTTAAGATTTACTGATAAAATGATCTTATTTTATAGAGAATTTCTTGGAGTTCATTGATTATTAAAGATTCCCATTGTGAAAATTAGAACAACACTGATATAAGCGAACAATATTGTTTTCGATTAGATCTTCATCAGGCTTTCTACTCTAATATACATGAATATTTCCATATGAAAATATTAAACCAATCATGGCAATTTGAGTCATAATCATAATGAAATAAAACAGAGATTACGTCACTGCATATAATAGGCGAAAGTACAAGTGGATAGTAGGAAGGTCAACGCAAGTTTGGCTGCATTGAATGTTCTATTAATTGCTCTCATTAATCTGTCCTGCAGAGTATCGCAGGCCACATCTCCGTTGAATTGTAATTTAATAAATAATGGCTTCTTTCGAACGGTCGAAATTATTGACTTCTTTTTTACATCAACCATATACTTCCTTATGAATGCGCTGGGGTAGCCGATCTCGGTCAGTGAGTTGTTGATAAATTGCAGCTCCTGACATAAAGTATCCACTGAACAGATCATTTTTGCTGTGCTAGTGAGACATCTACGCAAGTTTCTTTTGTAGTGCATAGGTGTAAAACTACAAAAGTGAGTGTATTGGCAAGCACCGGGATTTTTTCTATATACGCTTCTACTTAGAGATTCATCACTTCGACTACTTAGTGTGACGTCAAGGAAGGTCAGCTTTTTATCGTACTCCTCTTCACCAGTGAAAGTGTTGCCAGGTGTACACTGTTGAATTGTTCCAGGAGTTTATCTTTGCTGATGTCCTGGTCTGCAATGATGACTGTGTTATCGACGTACCGACAATATAGATCAAGATTCTGAATAGCTTCTTTAAGTGGTCCATTTTCTAGCTTCGCTAGGAAGAGATTCGCTAGAATTAGGCCTAGAGATGAACCCATGGCTATACCGTCTATTTGTCTATAGTAAGTGTTGTTGAGTACGAAATGGACGTTCATCGTACATCTTAGGAGCAATTCTTGAAGGCAATCTTTTTCATTTCACTGTGATGACTCAAATTGCCTTGATTGGTTAAACATTTTCATATAACTATTCATGTATATTAGAGTAAAGCCTGATGAGGAGTTAACTGATTACCGAGTATTGTTCTGTGTTAGGTTTATTTACTGTTATAGTGTTGAATGAATTCTTACAATCAGGTTGTAATATAGAATTTAGTATAAGTGAACCGAAATTTCTTGTATAATGTTTGAATGTTAAGTGATTGAAGATAGTTGTGCTGGGGATGTTAGATCCCCAAAATTCGCTTGATAATGCCGTATTTCGGTTTTCACGTTCGCCAGCAGGGGCTGATCAAATGACCTTGAGATTTCAATTCCCACCAGGAAAATCAATGACTGTGATTGGCTACAGTGTATTTTAGTATGCTATTTTCTTAACTGTCTCAAGGACGTTGTTATGTTGTATAAATAAACGAGAGTTGTATGCTTGATTGTACTGGGATTGCTGGGTGCTTGTAGAATATACTTCTACGCCTACAAAGTCTTCTATTTCGATTCTGGGATTCAGGGTAGCCTTCTTGGAAGCTGGTAAAAGTCTCGTTTGCGTTTATCGACTAAGGTAAACTCGTAATAGCCTCAAGCATCCTAAGTGCCGAACAGATCAGTGGCGACGGGGCTCACAATTCACAATGTCAATTAATCTTGAACAGTTAGAATCTTTACTGGAACGTCAAGGTAAACGATATGAACAGTTCCAGGAACGTATGTTGGAGCTGTTAATGAAACAAATGAATTTGAATCACAGAGGTTTTGCCGATGATTCATATAATCCGCATACAGACTCGATAGTTAATTCCATTCATGAATTTCATTTTGATTGCCTTGCTGGTGTGACTTTCGAGTCTTGGTTTAAGAAGTATGAGGATTTGTTCAAGGTCGACCTCAACAATCTTGATGACGCCACCAAAGTCAGAATCCTTTTGAGAAAGCTCGGCACAATCGAACACGAACGTTATAGTAATTTCATCCTCCCAAAGAACCCACGAGATTTCTCTTTTGATGCTACAATTGATACGCTGTCGCAAATCTTCTCTGAACAGTCATCTCTCTTTAATATTCGTTATCAATGCCTCAAAATAATCAAGTCAAATGAAGATGACTGGGTAAAGCATGCTGGCTTAGTAAATCGTGAATGCGAACGATTTAAATTATCATCAATGACGGAAGATCAGTTTAAGTGCCTTGTGTTTGTGTGCAGCTTACAATCTCCCGACGATGCTGAGATAAGAACCAGAATCCTAAGTAAAATTGAACAGTGCCCAAACATCTCGCTTCAAGAAATAGCTGCAGAGTGCCAGAGATTAGTAAACTTGAAGCATGATACCTCCATGGTCGAAAACAAGGGCCTCTCATCATACGTGCATTCCATTAGTGAAAAGAAAAATTCCAATTCGGCCCAAAAACCCAAAATGAATCCACCTTCTGCTTGCTGGCACTGCGGTTCATGGCACTATGTACGGAACTGCCCATTTAGGCAGCATAGATGCAGGATGTGTAAAGTCATCGGTCATAAAGATGGCTTTTGCCTACAGAAAAAGCCAAAGCGATCCAGAAGTGCTAAGAAGCCTGTTCCTAGATCCAGTACCAATGCATTGAGCCTAATATCTTCCTGCCAAAGCTCATCACCAGGTGAGAGGAAATTTATTACTCTTAATATTAACGGTTATTTGTGTAGAATGCAAATAGATACTGCATCTGATGTCACTATCCTCTCACGCAAAAATTGGACCAAATGGGGCAGCCCAAGCCTGCAGCACACAACACAAAAGCCTCGTACAGCATGTGGCAATTATCTTAGTCTGTTAGGACAATTGGAATGTAAAGTTGCTTTCCGAGATTCGTCGTTTACTGGGGTATGCTATATAACGCCAGCTGATCTAAATTTACTTGGTTTAGATTGGTTCGACCAGCTAAAATTGGCTGATGTCCCGCTAAATACCATATGCAACCTGGTATCACAACAACATGACCCAGAAGCGTATACGAAGAACCACGCAGAACTTTATCTGACAACCGCAGTTCGCGCATTACCGGTGTCTGCAACAGACATACAAAATGCTTCTAGAAACGACCCCATCATCAAGATGACGATGAAATATGTCACTAACGGTTGGCCGTCGAAAAAGTTTGAAGGTGACATGAAGCAACTGTATCAGCGGCGGGAGTCACTATGCATCGTCAACGATTGTCTGATGTTTGGTGAAAGAGTAGTGGTGCCAGAATCCCTTCGTGCAAAAGTGCTGAGACAGTTCCATCTTGGTCATCCTGGGATTAAACGAATGAAGTCCATAGCCGGGAGTTATGCATACTGGCCTCACATGGATCAACATGTCACAGCGTTGGTTGAAAAATGCATCCGGTGTCAGCAGGCGGCAAAGATGAATGCCAAAATTCCGCCGGTTTCATGGCCCAAACCTGAGCATCCTTGGTCCAGGATACATGTCGACTTCGCTGGCCCAATAAATGGAACTATGTATTTAATTGTCGTCGACGCCTTTTCTAAATTTCCGGAAATCAGCCCCGTTATGCCGCCCACTACAACTAAGACTATACAGCTCCTAACTGAAATTTTCTCACGAAATGGCATACCAGATGTGATCGTATCCGACAATGGCTCTCAATTCACCTCTTCCCAATTCCAGAATTTCTGTCAACGGCTAGCTATTAAACACTTACGCTCGCCACCATACCACCCGCAATCGAATGGGCAGGCGGAAAGGTTTGTGGATACGTTTAAAAGAGCACTGCTCAAGTCAAAAGGGGAGGGGACGCCAGCCGAAACGTTACAAAATTTCTTGTACGTCTATCGGACAACACCAAATGAATTGTTACCGGAGCAAAAGTCCCCAGCTGAAATCCTGATGGGAAGAAGATTGAAAACGATTCACAGCCTGATGCATCCGACCAATGCACCCTCATCAGTAGAGACAAAGCAGCAAAGACAATCCGCTTACGAGGTGGGATGCCCTGTGTTTGCCCGCGACTACAGAACGAACCATGGTCCTTGGGTAGAAGCGAGAGTGGTCAGAAGGGTTGGTCGAGTTATGTACGAAGTAGAGGTAGGAGGTGATAAATGGTCACGTCATCGCAATCAGATACGCAGACGGCTAGCCCCAGATCGCCCATCAAGAGCAGAAAGCCTTCCCCTTGACATCTTGCTTGATACCTTCAACCTACCGAGAGCCCCGCCGAGAGAAGAAACTCAGCAGCAAGCTGTTCTTCGTTCCCGAAGGTATCCCCTCAGACAGCGGCGAACAATAGTCAAGATGCAAGTCAACCACAGGAGAACACGCTATTAAAAAGGGGAGGAGTGTTGGGGATGTTAGATCCCCAAAATTCGCTTGATAATGCCGTATTTCGGTTTTCACGTTCGCCAGCAGGGGCTGATCAAATGACCTTGAGATTTCAATTCCCACCAGGAAAATCAATGACTGTGATTGGCTACAGTGTATTTTAGTATGCTATTTTCTTAACTGTCTCAAGGACGTTGTTATGTTGTATAAATAAACGAGAGTTGTATGCTTGATTGTACTGGGATTGCTGGGTGCTTGTAGAATATACTTCTACGCCTACAAAGTCTTCTATTTCGATTCTGGGATTCAGGGTAGCCTTCTTGGAAGCTGGTAAAAGTCTCGTTCGCGTTTATCGACTAAGGTAAACTTGTAATAGCCTCAAGCATCCTAAGTGCCGAACATATCAAGTTGGTAGAAAATGTTGGGGATGTTAGATTCTCAGAAATCGCTTGATAAATATCTTTATTTCAGATTTATTTCATGGGCCGATCAGTTGAATTTGAGATCATATTTCCCACCAGAAAATCCTTGGCTGTAATTGGTTACTGTGTCATTTTAGTGTGCTATTTTTGTGACTGTCCCAAGGACGTCTCTATGGTGTATAAATAAACGCGATTTGAGTGCTTGGATTGATTGTGTGCTGGCTTTCTACGCTATATCAAGACTTCTTGCTGGTACAATTGGGACAATCGGATCACAGTAGCCTACCTGGACGCTGGTTCATTGCTTTGTTCTCGTTATTCGACCAAGGTGAACCCGTAATAATTTTAGGCATACTTAGAGACGAGCATAACAGGAAATTCCTAGAATTAGGTTTTGTGTTAGTTGATACTTGCCAGAGTGACATGCCAGTAATCTTAGGACAACTAGTGCCTTATGTAGGATTGGAAAATATGTCACCAAGTTGAACTATCTTAGACGTTTCTGCTGAGTTATTCAGGTCATGACTGAAGTTCTTCAGGACTGAGATATTGACAACTGGTCGATCATTTACTAGTGTTCATCGTCATGTTCATTTAATGCTTAATGGTGAGAGGATTCGGTCAATCCAACGGCAATCTAGACACTAGTCTAAGTGATTTAATTCTTTGTGAGCTATATTATAGTATTAGATAGTTGGGAGTTGCCAGCAGATACGCCTTGTGGACGAGTGTCAATTCGTGGGAAATTTCCAGCTTACTATCTCCAACCATCTGAGATGATCTTCTCTATGAGCTGATTATCAAATAGAAAATCATGGAAAATCACCATTGCAGGACAACTGACTGTTCAATAATGTGTATACACGATATCCAATTCTTCTAAGACTCAGGGCGATTATTACACATTTAGGCCATGTGGAGGATAATTTAGAATGAGCTTCTATTGATCGTGAGTTTTGTTAAATCATGTATTTCTGAAGTGAGTTCATGATTTCATTGGACAAATTAATAGTTGAATAAAGAAAAGATACCGAGATTACAAACCAACTTAAATTGATTAGAATTCCAAAAAACAACGAAATTTGTGTCTATTTATTCATGTGCATAACTTGTAACTTTAGCAGATCGATTCCTGTACTTATTGGAGAGATAATGTAGGTGATGAAAGTAAACTTAATTTGTAAATAATTTCTAACATTACTGTCATTTCCCCACAGTTTCATTTGATTTGTTCAAGCATTATTATTGACTAAAGAATTATGTTTAAGTCAACCTTCGATGTTCCTGTTCAGTGTTTGCATGTTACACTAATTACTGTTGATAAAAATTAATGTGTTACTCACATCACTCCTTACTCTCACTCTGTTGTGGTGTTTCGTTCTCTGAGCTTGATGTTTCTGCTGTGGATCTTTCGTTGTTCTTCTGAACAACATCATCAGCACGAACTTCAGATAGAAGTGAAGCATTAGAATTTCTCCACGTTTGACCTGTAACTTGTTCTGTTAACCTCGATCTTGATTGGTTGCTGTTGGCCTTTGACCTGTCGTTGTTTGCAACTTTGTTTTGATTGCACTCCCCTTTTGATCTGTTTCTTGATCCTGTGTCACCTGTGATTTTTCTGATTGGTTGATAAATTGTGTCAATGTCGATGTGTTTGTTGATTGCTGATTGACCTGAGTGCCAAGCTTCTAAAAATTCTCCAGTGTTCTTTGTCCTCTACCTACCCAGTATTTCCACATTGTTCCAATCAAATGTGTGTCCATAATTGTTCGTATGTATTGATATAAGCAAAGCGTTATCGTGGCGTTTGACTGCTAATTGATGTTCACGTAAACGGAGTTGATGAAGAGGCCGTCCACTTAGTCCTATGTAGTGTTTTTCACAGTTTGAGCAATTTATTTTGTAGATGATATTTGGTTTTTCTTCCTTGGTCATTTTGTCCTTTGGTTTACATAGGATTGATTGAAGTGATTCTGTTGGTTTGTGTGCCACACCTATTCCGAATGGTTTCAGTAGTTGTGCTGTATGCTCCGATATGTCTTCGATGTATGACAGGATGGTCCGTTTATCGGTTCCTGTACTTGATTTCGCTTCTGATGATGGTTTCGGTTGATGTTTTTTGATGAATTTGCGTGGGTAGCCGTTCTTTTGGAAGATAGTTATAAGATGTTTTCCCTCATTTTAGTGCTTCGTATGTGTTGCAGTGTGTCTTTACTCTCTAGAACACCGTTTGTACACATTTGATATGTGAGTTCTTTGGGTTGTTGCTACTGTAGTTGAGAATTAGATCTGTGTTGATTGACTTTCAAAATACTTGAGTCTCCAGTTTTCTTGTGTCAGTTCTAGTGATTAGTACTTCCAAGAATAATAGACTGTTGTTTGATTCCTTTTTCATCGTGAATCTTATGCCATCGAAGACTTTGTTGATCTGACTTTAGATGTTCTGCAGCTCGTTCCTTTTGATAATGACGAATACGTCGTCTATATAGCGAACCCAGATTTTTGGCTTGATCATTGGTAAAACCGACGCTTATAGTTTCTGCATTACAGCTTCCGCGATGAGTCCTGATGTTGGTGATGCCATCGGCTTTTTTTTGTTCGTAGACTCTTTTGATGAATTGAAATTACGTTCTTAAGCTTAGATCGATGAGTTCTAGCAGACTTTGTCTCTGAAGTTTCGTACAATTTTGCAGATTTGTGTCGTTGGTGAGGAGCAGAGAAAAAGTTTCTTTAGCTAAGCTTGGCTCTGTTGAGGTGAATAAGGCTGTTACGTCAAAGAATATCATCATTTTGTCGTTGTCGATTTGAATCTCTTTCAGTTTGTCGAAGAATTTTGTCGGAGACTTAATGGAGTAGTTGGAATCATCCACCAGATGTTTTAATATCCTTGAAATTTCCCTTGATAATTTGTAGGTCGGGTTCCAGGGAGACATACGATTGGGCGTATTGGAATCTCGGGTTTGTGGAGTTTCGGCCTACCGTAGAATCGTGGAATCATTGGTTCACTGGATTTCATTCACCACTGAGCTTGCTTTGATATTTGTCCTGCTTTGACAGGCCTATTTAAAGTCCTTGAGCGTCGGTTGTCCAACATTTTTATTGGGTTTGTGTCGATTGGTTTATATACGCTTCTGTCCTCAAGTAGTTCCTTGGCTTTCTTGATATATATTCTTCCTCGTTCATAATTACTGTGGTGCATCCTTTGTCCTATCATATAAGTTTATAGCTAGTGTTTTACAAGATTCTCTTGCCAAACATTCATCCATATCTGCGAATATAAAACATAAAATGACAGTTTTATAAGCATCAACATTTTCAACCTTGTCGAGTGTAAGCAGCAACTACAGAAGAAAATGACTGAGGTTGCTCGAAGTTCCTTAGATTGATCAGGGTTAGAAATTAACACGGTTGGATGTCAGCTCACTGGTCCAGAGATAAGCCGTTCGCGCGACAAACCGAAGGACGTGGGATTGATTTCTGCGAGTAGCGGAAATCATGGATGCGCACTGCTAATGAGTCCAGTACCCGGACGAAGCGGCCATTCAGTGCTTCCAGGTTTCTAATAGCGGTCCAACAATGACTGACTCATGGTTTCAATAGAAAAATTAACGAAAAAACTTTAAATTATTTTCTTTCTTTATTTAATAAAATTCATTTATTATACTCACCGATTATTATTTACAAGAATATCAGCTGATCCGCCAAGAATTTTCACACCAGCTTCATATTGATTTTGTTCAAATGTATTATTTTCTAGATGAATATATGTCCATGGATTGTAAAGTGATAGGCCATGTTGATTATTTTGACTGATAATTGAATTTTGTAGAGTTACTTCAGCTAATTTACCTGAATGAATAAAATAATTCAATATAGAAAATGAAGTTTTTAATTTGTTTATCAAACAGTGAGTTATTCTATATTAGGATACGAGGTGCAGTATTTAATAACAGTTTTCTACGCAAGACGCTTAATATCTTTTGACCAGAAACCATTAGCAACAACCTGATACTATAGGAGAGAACAAATCAGGTTCCAGCCGAGGAAGAAATCAGGAAGTACTGGAGGTGGATATGACACACACTGAGGAAGACAGCCAACCAACCAACCAACCAATCAAGGCCAAATGAGAAAAGGAAGACCAAAGAACATATTAAGGAGACAGACATGAAAAGAATGAATCGCAGTTCTGCTGAGCTGGAAAGTAAGGCTCTGGACAAAGTAGGTTAGGCAATGCTGGTCGGCGGCCTATGCTCCATTGGGGGTTACAAGTGTAAGTTGTTAGTAAGTAAGTAATGTTATAGATTGTCAAGTTTTTACAATAAATCCTCTTGTTCGTTTAGTTAATGCAAAAGTTACATTTTCTGATAAATGCATTTTCAAGCTTATTCATGTGTATGTAATTATAACTGACCAGTCATTGTTGATTCTGCTTGGATTTTATACGATTGAATCATCTCACTGTCTTCGAAACGTTTTATCTATTATTTACTGTCCTCAATTCTACCATATTGAAAGAGCCTGGAATCAATTAGTTAAGTCAATGGTAGAAATAATATATCTCCCCTATCAAAATGCCTTTCAGTGACTCTGCATTCATTGCTTCCAATAAAGAATTTATTTGGACAGCTTTCAAAACCGAAATCAGGATTTTCAATACAAATGTCAAGACAGTTCTATTGTATGGAGCGGAAACTTGGAGAACTACCAAAGCCATCATCCAGAAGATATAAGTGTTTATTTTAACAGTTGTCTACGCAAAATACTTCGGATTTGTTGGCCAGACACGATCAGCAACAACGTACTGTGGGAGAGAACAAACCAGATTCCAGTGGAGGAGGAAATCAGGAAGAAGCGGTGGAAGCGGATAGGACACACACTACGAAAATCACCTGACTGCGTCACGAGACAAGCCCTCACATGGAACCCTCAAGGTGAAAGGAAAAGAGGAAGGCCGAGAAGAGCTTTCATTTGATCAAGTAAGTGACAGAATGAAATTTTGTCCACAAAACAAGAATGATGAGTATAAAAGAATAATCATTAATGATTTAAATGAATTAGAATTCAGAGGACAAATAAATTCCCTGTCGGAAAAACTTGTCACCGTTAGAATGTTAATGTCATTACTTGTCATATAAGGATATTTCATGAAGTGTACTTACTAGTTCGATAATAGTGAAAAGTATTTGTATATTAGAACGGATTTTTTTAAAATCAGTTTATCAAACTGTACCGCAGTTCATTTTTGACACTACTGACTAGTTTTCGAAGTATCTGACTCAAAAACATATATATATTGTGGTGGTGTTTCGTTCTCTGAGCTGGTTGTTTTGGTTGTGGAGCTTTCATTGTTCTTCTGAACAACATCATCAGCACAAACTTCAGATAGAAGAAGTGAAGCATTCGAATTTCTCCACGTTTGACCTGTAGCTTGTTCTGCTAACCTTGTTCAAGAGAGCGAAGACACACTGCAGCATTAAAAAACGAGGAAAGACACCTGATGACTATCTTCCAAAAGAACGGCTATCCACGCAAATTCATCAAAAAACATCAACCGAAACCATCATCAGAAGCGAAATCAAGCACAGAAACAAATAAACGCATCATCCTACCATACATCAAAGACATATCGGAACATACAGCACGACTACTGAAACCATTTGGAATAGATGTGGCACACAAACCAACAGAATCATTTCAATCAATCCTATGTAGACCAAAGGACAAAATGACAAAGGAAGAAAAACCAAATATCATCTACAAAATAAATTGCTCAAACTGTGAAAAACACTACATAGAACAGAGTGGACGACCTCTTCAGCTGCGTTTACGTGAACATCAATTAGCAGTCTAACGACACGACAACGCATCGCTTATATCAGTACATACCGACACTTATGGACACACATTTGATTGGAACAATGTTGAAATATTGGATAGGGGGAGTTCAAAGAACACTAGAGAATTTTTAGAAGCTTGGAACTCAGGTCAATCAGCAATCAACAAACACATCGACATTGACTCAATTTATAAACCAATCAGAAAAATCACAGGTGACACAGGATCAAGAAACAGATCAAAAGGGGAGTGCAATCAAAACAAAGTTGCAAACAACGACAGGTCAAAGGCCAACAGCAACCAATCAAGATCGAGGTTAGCAGAACAGGCTACAGGTCAAACGTGGAGAAATTCGAATGTTTCACTTCTATCTGAAGTTTGTGCTGATGATGTTGTTCAGAAGAACAATGAAAGCTCCACAACCAAAACAACCATCTCAGAGAACGAAACACCACCACAATCATCCATCTGAGCTACAAGTTTTCTCCACCATCTCAACATATATATATATATATATATATATATATATATATATATATAAGTTAAAAAATGTATAATTAACTGGATGAATGCTACTATTTGTTAGTATGGAGCTAATCATCAGTGCGCACCTACGACCCAACCAGGGATGTGAACATTTTAGGGATTCTGTATTAGAACAAAACAGCTATTCAATGCCTTTTGGTTATCAACTTATGGTACAAACTATAAAATTCAATCATCTCCATCAATCTCCTATACAAATATAAATATAAGAATTGAAATAATAAGCTGGCAAATGCAAGAATGATGATATTTCTGGCCTATGTTCTCAAACAACATTTATATTGATAAGTTTAGATATGAAAGCCTTGAAAAAGGACTGATGTTAACGGTAAAACTATTAGAAACCAGTTAATGCTAGGCAGTTATTACTTTCTATTGGGTTCGTCACTAAGTATGCTTGGGGCTATTACGAGTTTACCTTAGTCGATAAACGCGAACGAGACTCTTACCAGCGTCCAGGTAGGCTACTTTGAATCCCAAGCTGTAAACAGAAGGCTTTGTAAGTGTAGAAAGTATATTCTACAAACATCCAGCAATCACAGTACAGTCAAGCATACAACTCTCGTTTATTTATACATCATAGAACCGTCCTTGAGACAGTTAAGAAAATAGCACACTAAAATACACAGCAGCCAATCACAGCGTTGGATTTTCCTGGTGGGAAATGAAATCTCCAGGTCAACTGATCAGCCCATGTTGGCAGACGTGAAATCCAAAATAAGGCATTTATCAAGCGAATTTTGGGGATCTAACATCCTCAACACTTTCTAAATTAAAGCCACTTAGTTAAGTGAACAAACGGCCCCTTAATACATTGAACGAAATATATTTAAGCTTTTCAGATAGCAAATTACTTGGGAATCACTGAGTTGACTTCAGATGGTCAAAAATTTCACCTTCAGTAAGTTTGCAGTTTTATATGATCGCTATCTTTGGATAAATACGCATAGTCACTACAAAAACTTTATTCATAACTCTAGATTTTTTCTAGTAATTGTCTATGTTTAAAGTCGATTCGTGTTCGAAACTACCTTCAACTAAAAACATTTGCATCAACCATTGTAATTTTAAAATTTCTATAACATTAAAATACATTAGAGGTTAGATTAAAACTTATAATCAATGTAAATAAATGATTATCAATTTACATAAAATAATGAGTCTACCTACATCAATTACACTGTAACAATCATTTCACAATCAACTTACTTCGACTAACTGATAAATAAAGTAAAGCACGTAAACAATTAGTAAATTCTGAACAAATAAAACGATCTACTAATTTTTTCCAAATAAATTTTATCCGAATAGCATTTCTAATGGATGAAACACCTTGATATGTGAAACCTTTTAATGGACCTCTATTTCTATGCAAATGTAAATTCGGATATTTTGTAGAATGATTTTGTTGATTTAACATCATTGTTTGATTAATTAATGACCAATTAGCAATTAAATTCATTGTTAATGTATCCCATATTTCAATGGTACCAAATGCAATTGAATCATGAATTGTTTCAAGTAGAGTAATTGTTATAATTTGATCAGGTTGATCTGAAGTAACATGCTAAAAAAAAATGTTCATAAACAAAAAATAATACTTAACCGGAAATAACAATAATAATAATATTTATGAACATTACTTATGAATGAATAGGGTTGCTAATGCAGAATATGTGAAGGCGTGGATTGGCAAAGCAAGGGCAGCATTTCTATAAGTAGTGAATATTTGGGACTCAAAACACTTATCAGCCAACATCGAAGTCAAAATTATGGATACAGATGTCAAGAGGCGTAAAATTGGAGAACTATGAAAGCCATCATCCAGAAGACACAGTTGTCTACGTAAAATATTGATCATCCCTTGGCCAAACACCATCAGCTACAACCTACTGTAGGAAAGAACAAACTAGATTTCATATGAGGAAGAAATCGGGAAATATCGTCAGAGGTGGATAGGACACATATTGAAGAAAGAACCCAACTGTGTCACAAGACATGCCCTTCCTCTAGACGAAAGGGAAAGTGGGAGACCGACTGACATATTACACCAAAAATTGGAGACAGGCATGAAAATAATGACCAGAAATTATGTGGAACTGTAAAAGAAGGTTCAGGAAAGAGTAGGTTGGAGAATGCTGGTCGGTGGCCTATGCTAACAGGCGTTAGTAAGTAAGTATGAGTTGTGCAGAAATTTTCCACTCTTAAAGGTAGTTTACATCATGAATTAAGTTTTCTTAGATAACCATTGAAAATTAGAGTGTAGTGTACAGTTTGTTTTGCTCTAGTATCAAAGTTCACATACTGCTCGTAAAATTGAAAATAGAATGTTAAGGCTTTGTTTGTAGACTGAACGTCACTGTTTTCTGATTTGATTAAGTAATACATTTGTTGATTCCAAGACTATTGAACTAAATCAGTCGTGATAAAGGAACAACAAAGAAGACGTATTACAGCAGAACCAGCTAGTTGTAGTCTAGGTTCAGACTAACTTTTGGTAACCGTCCAGTTAGTCAGTCAGCTACAACGTAGAACTTCTTACGTACGTACATCCGTTCAAGTTGCTATACTATATTAGCATAAAGAAATACAATTTTCAATGCAGATCCTATATTGGTAGAGTTAGTAGGAGTATTAGCGGTAATGAAGTAGATTAGGGATCGACGTTACGATTCAAGAAGTATATCCTAGTGAAATAAATATAAAAAGAGTAAAAAGGCCATGAGGAATTCAGCGGATTCGAATTTGAACGAAGACTGATCTTATTTCGAACACTGTTGAAAAACTGAAAGCAGTGGATAAGAGCTGTGGATTTCAGATGTTAGAGAAAATTTGTATCTCTATTGGTTGGTTATGATGGAGTTTCGTTCTCTGAACTGGATGTTTTGTATGAGGAGCTTTTATTGTTTTTCTGAACAACATCATTAGCGTAAACTTCAGATTGAAATGAAGTATTCGAATTTCTCCGTTTAAAATTAGTAGCTTGTTCTCTTGACCTCGATCTTGATTGGTTGCTGTTGCCCTTAATCCTGTCGTTGTTTGAACCTTTGTTCTGGTTGCATCCCCCTTTTGATCTGTTTCTTCATCCTACATCACCTATGATTTTTCTGATTGGTTGATAAATTGGGTCAATTTCAATGAGTTTGTAAATTGCTGATTGACCTGAGTGCCAAGCTTATAAAATTTCTCTAGTTTTCTTTGTACTCCCCCTATCCAGTATTTCCACATTGTTCCAATCGAATGTATGTCCATAGTTGTCCTTGTGTATTGGTATAAGCGAAGAGTTGTCGTGGCGTTTGACTGCTAATTGCTGTTCACGAAAATGGAGTTGAAGAGGCCGTCCACTTAGTCCTATGTAGTGTTTTTCACAATTTATTTTGTAAATGATATTTGGTTTTTCTTCTTTTGTCATTCTGTCCTTTGGTTTACGTAGGATTGATTGAAGTGATTCTGTTTGTTTGGTCTCAATATTTGTGCTGCTATTTTCGATTTGTTTGGAGGAGAAGGATCCATTTGTTAATCCCTGCACTTAATTGGTGGTTTCATTTGACATTTTTTGATGAAGTTGCGTGGACACCCGTTCTTTTGTAAGACAGTCATCAGATATTTTTCTTCGTTTTGTTAGTGCTTCATGTGTGCTGCAGTGCGTCTTTACTCTCTAGAACACCGTTTTTACACAGTTGATATGTGAGTTCTTTGGGTTGTTGTTACTGTAGTTGAGAATTAGATCTTTGTTGATTGGCTTCCGAAATATTTGAGTCTCCATTTTTGCTGTGTCATTTCTAGTGATTAGTTCTTTCAGAAATGATAGTTTGTTGTTTGAATTATCGTGGACTGGTCGACGTTAGGTATTACCATGGTCGGATGTCTGCTTGGTCGTCTGTAAGTTTCTGTTTGAGATGTTATTTCTTTGGTTTGATCCCTGGAGCCGTTGATGTGTACTTTTGGAGAGTTCCAAACTATGTCGAAAAGACTGTCAAAGGCTTACAAGTATTCATTGATGGTCTAGCTAGGGTCATTTTGCGAGTGAAAGAGATCAGCCATGGTTTTTTATTCGAACTTGTGATCGAAGTCTTAAAGATTGTTTATATTAGGGATTGATATAGCCAAAAAAGCCAGAAAATGAGAACATTCGACAACCATTACTCAATATCGCTAATTGACCAATGTTGAAAATAAAGGCTGCTGAATAGTGACTTAGTGATCTAAAAGGTATGGTACCTGATACGATACTTGGCACCGTATCTGAAATCCTAAGGGGACTGCTGCTCTCTGTGGGATTCGAACCCGAGTCACCCAGCTAGTAACGTTGTAGGCTGCGAAGATGGCAGTTATAACTTACAACGTAATCTATGTTCAGGCTTTTACTGTGGTTCACTTTCAACTACCTAGTGAACAATAACAACTTCACAAAGGAGCGAACAATATTGTTTTCGATTAGATTATCATCAGGCTTTACTCTAATATACAGGCAATGTGAGTCGGTAAACATATTGAAATGAAATAGATTACATCACTACACATAACAGGCAAAATTACAAGATGATAGTAGGAAGACAGGTGTACTGATAGTAGTAAGAAAAATGAAATACGATAACGAAAGCTTTGGTCAATAGTTCAACATTGAAAATAATGGGTCAAACGTGGATAAATAATCATTATACAACATTAAACCATTACGTAATAAGCAAATGTGTATAAAATAATTAGATAGTGAAGAATATAAACGGAAAGGGGCATAAAATTACCAACAAATATACAGGATGTGAAAATAATGCTAATAATAACAAAATAAAATTTAAACCAAAAAAGATTTTTTTAACATTAGTTACGTCATACCAGCCAAGGAAGCGATAGGAGTGTCACGAATTTCTTCCGAACACATAAATTGAGGTTAAATGTACGAATTCCTATGGCTTTTGCTATGTGTAGGAGACGGGATCGAACTCCATTGGGAAGTGATGGAGATATAGGACAGATCACTCGAAAAGATCTAGACTTATCTACAATATGACCACTATCAACCAGATGTGCGTACTGTTTTTTAATTGGCCGTTAATAAACCATGCTGGGATATGTTCACTCATTTGTTAGTTAAGTTGCCTGGTTAGTACGCCGGATATCGCTATCTCCACAGGAGCAGCTGAATTTGTAATTGTACATAGAGGAGGCCAAGTCAGCTAAGTTATCCTTCCTTTGGGTAGACAAGGTCAACGCAAGTTCGGTTGCGTTGAATGTTCTATTAATTAACAACTTCAGTGAATAATCTAATTTTTAAACAGACAATAACTTACAAATTCACATATTCCATTTGATTTAAATGTTGGTCCAGGTAGTTCAACGATCATTAAAAATGGAAATACTGGACTAGCTGGTATTGAACCCGATCGACAAACCCAATAAGCTTTATGTATGAATTCAAGTGTTTCTTCTGGCCAATGATAATGTGAACCACTTAATAAGTCAATATTCAGTCCATCACCATTATTTCTAAGTGATATGACATTTTTCAATTGAATATAACCAATCAGCGATGTGATTTTTACACCATGTCCATGATTATTTTCTATCTACAGATATATATATCAAATAAACAGAAATTTAAAGATTATTTCATGAGAAATGCGTCTATTCGAAAAATAAATGTGTTAAGATGATGTTACGCCTGCACGTAAACATGTCAACTTGATATACTTGAACTATTACGAGTTTACCTAGTCGGAAAACGAAAGCGAGGATCAGGCGACACGACAGGCTACTCAAATCCGATTATTACAACCCCCATATTTAGTAAAAAATAAGAAGACGTGATATGAAGTAGAACGAGAATTCTACAAGCATCCAGAAAGTACGAGTTCCGAATCCAGAAGAGAATCAGGATCCCGGAGTAGGGATCCGGGACCGAGCCCTGGTCCTGGTCATAAAATGTTACAAATAAAGCGTATTTATACATTTTGGTCGAATAGGAAACAGCATCTAAGCCTGTGACATTGACAGTTAAGACGACCAATAGGAATCAACATTTGAAGTGACAGTGATAGTCAGGACAACCAGTAAGAAATAACATTGGAGTATGTGACATTGATAGCTAGGACTACCATAAAATTGGCCAGTAGGAATTAACCAATAGGAATTGACCAATTATTCTCTTAGGATATTGGATGAATATCCATAACAGATGAATAACTCTTTGAATTGTTCATGTTGACCGATGAAGCTGAATGTATTGATTGACGCTCCGTTTTACACACTGTGTGCTGTTGAAGAAGATTTTAATTCGTATTCAAAGTTAAAAGATACATTTTTAGTTAGGTTTTTTATTAAATTTTGTCACGACATTTATAGAAATTCTTCTTCTTATTAAAACTTCTTATAGTTTTGGAGATATTGTGAGATTTTTTTCTCGTTTTTATTACTGTAAAATAAGTTCTAGACTTTGATCAAAATGGTAAATAAGGAATAATTGTTTTAGCCTTGTTTAGAAATGATTATCTTTACAGTTTTAAAACCACAACGTAATCAAACAAGTATGAGAACTTTACTTCTGTTTTAGCCAGAAGTCAATAATTGGAACTCTTTACTCAGATTACTAGTGTTAAAATCCAATGGAAAATGCTGTTAAGAGGAAGCTGACCTTTTACAATAATGTTAAAACAAGTCAAATTACTTGTTGTGTTCAGTACAAAAGGACGTAATAGTAACATTATGCCTACGCTAAGTTTTAAAAACTCATAAAATAAGTTTTAGCGTTGAAAGGTCATAGTGTTTACTAACTTCTGAGTTAAATAATAAGCCTGTATTGAATGTACAATATTGATATGATGTTATTTGATCTGTTGATCATTTAGTGTTCTTTTGAATCCATATAATAGGTTGTCTACTGATGTTGTTATTTTAGTAGTAGGTTTATGACAAAAAAGCAGGATTGTGAAACTTTAAAAGAAGGCTAGTTATCCGCTTTCACTGTTTAGTAAAAGTAAGATATCTAGTATTTTAGAGTACTCTTATATATATACAGCATTCATTCACTAAATCGATTTAAAAGCGTTAGATATTGCGCATAGATTGAACAATGAGATGTACTACAAATTCATGAACAATTAGTCAAAACTTACTGTAACATTTTCAAGTATTGCTGGACCACGAATTTTGTGAAAGTTTATAGCATGATGAGCATTATAAGCTAAATAGACATGATTTAGAATTGGTGGATAGGGAGTTGAACTCAATGCTGATGATTGATAGTTTGATCGATTCACACCTTGACGTAAAAGTTGAAAAAAAGGAAAATTTATTGGACTAATATTAATTACACAATCACTAAAACCGAGGAAACATTGGAAGTAAACTGGATATTGTTTATGAATTTCAAAAATCTTCACAAATTGCCAACGCCGATAATAATCGTGCGTTCGCAGGGTATTAGTAGTAGTGTTTCAGTCATGTAATGTCAGAGGCAGTTATTCATCAATGATACGGGATGATGGTTGCACAAAATTATGAATCGATCGACCTGCAAAATGTAAACCATTGATTGATGGTACATTCATCTGAAGGTGAAGTGCTCTTCAAGAGACCGCACAGTCCTAGATTCGGCCCTTTGTGCTATCGTTAGTACTCGATTGTTGTAAAGACAACACAACTATCCATTACTGCTTCTATCTCAGTCATTGATTGATGCCGATGAAATGTACGTAGTTAATAGAAGACGTGACCGATGGAGTTCAACCCTGTCGGGTGTAGGTAGTAACTACCAAAGACAAATGGGTGAGGTCGCGCAAACATCCGTAGATCAATCATAGTTAGACATTAACACAGATGGATGCCGGCCCAGTGGTCCGATGGTTAGGCGATCACGCACAATACCGAAGGTCCCGGGTCCGAATACTGCGAGGTGCAGGAGTCGTGGATGCGCACTGCTGATGAGTCCCGTACCAGGACAAAACAGCCGTCTTTCAGTGCTGGTCTAACAATGATTGATTGATGATTTCAAATGTGTAAAAACACAAAACTCCAAAGTTCTCGCTGAAAATATTTCCTGTTGGTAATGAATCAATCAATGAACTATAGGCAAACACAAATGGTTCTAGGGACTTTTATTGTACTTTCTCGTACTTATCGAAAGCTATGGACATCGGAGTAGATATTTCACTTTAATCAGGGAACTGCATACAGTACACAACCGCAACTTTACTAATTACAATGATAAGTGCATTTTAAGAGTAATAGAAATGCATAGTAAAAATTTGAATAGCTTATTAATCCAATGAACGATGATAACAGTTATAATTATCATTTACCTGCATACAGAATGTCTACATATTCGAATATTGATGCAGAAACATTTAAACGTGTGTTTCCATGACTACCACCCCATTCTTCAGGAATATTCACTTCTTTATGAGTTGCATTAATAATTTCTATTCCCTTCCAATAACCAACAAATTGATTAGGATTTACACCCCAACAGTTTAAATTAACCAAATCTTGTAAATCTGATTGAAAATGATCAAAACAAAAGAATGTTGGAAATATTTTAAAATATACAATTTTGTCTACTTATAAGTAGCTAAACGTTTTTTGTTGAATTTTAAATGAGGTTATTTAGAGACGTATGCGGAAAAATGATTCTTGAGAAAACTCCAAGTGTTGATTGAATAGAAATCAGGTACATATATATTTGTCTTCACAAACTACGGTTTGATGGAGAAATTTTGAGGGTGATAAGTCACTGAGTTTTATAATCATTAATAGTGTCTCAACTAGGCTACACATTTTTGCTGTTCATGTTATTTTTTGGTTTGAATATTTATTCAATTGTTCTCACTGCATAACTGAGTGATGAGATAAAGGTTAGCAGTGGTTAAAATATTCGTTGTATTGATCGAATTAAAACAGCTCGACAAGAACAAAAGAAAAGGGTAATGGAAATGACAATGTAGCTTACTATTTAGTACACGGTATTTCAGTGAAACTGAACCGGACCTTGTCATCTAGGGTGTTCAAACATTGACTAAACTTGTCATGGATACGTCCATCGGGAAATTTGTACTGCCCGATATTAATTAATTGGAGAAGTCAATAATTAATGAGAAATTATTTTGGTAATTTCTCATATTTGTCTACGTCAGCCACTATGATACTTATAGGTAAGTAATGACCAAGCATACTTAATCTATGTCCTAACTACTTCACTCAATAGAGTTTTGACTTAATATCGCTCTAATGATCACAATGTTACACGTTCGGTGGTCCCACAATACTTGATCGCAAGCAACCTATTAATGAATTCCTTAGGCTTTTTATGGTGATATTTCACAGTTCTAAGAAATATGGATCAGGCTAACGACTTCTAGACATTTCGGACATTTCATCAGACTCACCAAAGTTGAAGATATTTCGAACGTAAATAAAATGGCTAGTCTGATCGGCTATATGCCTTTTAAACGTTTATCGCATTGCTCTTTCACAGGTAGAAATTACGTGTATCAACATTCTTATGTAACATTTGGTCTTTGTCTTTCAATTGTGCATAATTACTGGACCGTTCCATGTCTAAACAAACATATGACTCATGACTCATGGTTTATCTCAGTTCGTACTGGAATATCCTATTTTCATGTCACATCTATGCACTTGTACACTGTTGCTGTTCACTCACATAGTCACGTTGTCATAGGCAACGCACTAACACTCAATATGTAAATGCACAAATACACAAATAAATATTCATCTATTCGTCTGATTTAATGAATCGATTTAAGAACATGCGCGACAAATGAACAGCTATTCACATTCACCTGTGTTAAACTTGTATGTAATCAATGCAATGTGAAAGCATTGTTCTCTATCTATTGATTACGTAATGAAATCAAATTTAATTTATAAAATTATGTATAAAATCATGTATTCAATTACCAATGGAATGGAAACAGAAACATTTTCTTTGTCAATTTCTATCATTTAAAGCAAACTATTGGAATTCAAGGAGTAGACTAATTAATTAAAGTCTACTCGATAATCATTGACATTGGTTGAAGATGTTGCATCTTATTGACTGAAAAAATCAGCATTCACTGTTTGTTTTAAACGTAAATAATGAGATTCCTTGTTACTTCACAACCCACACCTTCCCATTCTAGCAACTCAAATTATATTCTCAATGTTTAATCCCTATCTTTATTACTACTACCAAAGAATTTTAATTCGTTTGCCAGTCATCTTGTTAATTTTATCTCATCGTATTATTGTAGTAATGATAACTTGAGTAAATACACAATTATGTCAGAGTCTATGCTGGTCATTAGTTAGGGATCCTTTTCCTGTAAAACCTTAGATTGATCGAAAGTTAGACATTTACATCCTTGGATATCGGCTTAGTGGTCTAGAAGTTTAGTGTCCGCGGGCGAGACCGAATGTCCTGGGTCCGATTCCTGCGATTAGCGGGAGTCGTGAATGCGCACTGCTGAAGAGTCCTATACTAGGACAAATGACCGTTTGTACTGTGAAAGGTCAGAGAGACTATATGCTATTATAAGGTTGTACTGTATGTATAATAGATAAATTAGGACAAGTTGTTTGAGTAACCGAATTGCCAACTCAGATGAGTTCAACTAACACATATTGTTATTGAGAGTAGTCCAACAAATCATATCTGTTGATCATCTCCTGTTTATCAAGCATTAAGAAAATAAATAAAACTCGAACTCTTCCATGAACTGTTTCAACCATACAAATCGACAGCAGGATAGCTATGACTAAACTGCACTATTTATTTTAATCCGATTTATGAATTTTTCAATCTATAAACGTTTGAAACTAAGCATCTCAAAATCTTACACGATGCATATTTAGTGCGTGAAAACTGTTAATTTGCATTACGGGGTTGTGAAGATTGTTAAGTTACACATTTTTGAAACCATGAATCGGTAATGTTAGACCACCACTAGAAACCTGGAAGCACTGGACGGCCGTTTCGTCCTGGTAGGGGACTTCCCCAGCAATGCGCATCCACGAATCCTGCACCCCGCAGGAATCGAACCCAGAACCTTCGGTATTGGATACCGGCTCAGTGGTCTAACGGTTAGGGCGTTCGCGCACAATACCGAAGGTCCTGGGTTTGAATCCTGCGGGGTGCAGGAGTCGTGGATGCGCACTGCTGATGAGTCCCATACCAGGACCAAACGGCTGTCCAGTGCTTCCAGGTTTCTAATTGTGATCTAACATTGATCGATTCATGGTTTCAAAAATGTGTAACTTAACAATCTTCACAACCCCGTAATGCAAATTACCTGTGCTCACTAGTGACTAGCTCCATGAGGAATCTTCTCCGAGTTCTAGTGGGCAGACGTGACCAGTGAACTTCAACCTGTTTGGGTGTAGGCAGTGTCTACCGAAGACTGTGTATGAGGTTGCGCAACTCCGTGAATTTGATCAAGTTAGACATTAACACCGTTGGATACCGGCTCAGTGGTCTAACTGTTAATTTATCATAACTAAGCAAGTGATAAATTCTCTACTTTTTAAAAAAAAATAAAAATAAAACAACAAAGAAACATTAATTTACCGCATATATTTCTGCCATAAGTGATATTTTTCATCATTAAACCAGGACAAGAGAATAAACCCAGTTGATTGGTTTCATTACCGAAACAATTAGGTTTACTGATTTGTACACTTGAATATTGATTTGATGATTGTGAGCCAAATGAAAAATTACCATTGAAATAACCAAGTTGTTGACAAGCTATACGAGTATCGGCTTTACTCCATCTATTTAAATGTTACATAAAGAAGGTTACATAAGAATATAAGGATGCTTTGTTGAAGGAATTATATGGATACAAATTGTATTCATGACAGTTTTAGTAAGAATTGCTGATGATGAGTTTTTTTTATAATAGAATAAGTCAGCTTTCCAGTGCTCTTTTTGGTTTTCAATCTCTCTCTGTAACTGAGATTAATCTGTGACGAATATATACATATATGCATTACGGGGTAGTGAAGATTGTTAAGTTACATATTTTTGAAGCGATGAATCGATCAGTGTTAAACATTAACACCGCTAGATACCGGCTCAGTGGTCTAACGGTTAGGGCGTTCGCACACAATACCGAAGGTCCTGGGTTCGAGTCCTGCGGGGTGCAGAAGTCGTGGATGCTCATTGTTGAGGAGTCCCATACCAGGACGAAACGGCCGTCCAGTGCTTCCAGGTTTCTAATGCTGGTCTAACATTGATAGATTCATGGTTTCAATATATATATATATATATATATGCATATATATATATATATATATATATATATATATATATATATATATATAATGACTAGCATTCGAACAAAGTACTAGAGTTTTGTCCTATTTGAGGAGGCTTGTCACTATGCTGTTGATATCTACACTGACATTTGAACTTACTATCAGTAACTTTGAACACTAACGCTAATGATTACAAATATCCATCAACCCATTCATCATATATGACATTTATTCATAAATGATTATATTATTCTGTTGTTGACAGTGAGGATTGACTATCGATTAGTCTTTGTAGTGAAATGTGTATTTTACTACAGCTGGCATTAGAATCCAGGGTGCAGAATTTCGTTTAGCTAACGAAGACTGATCGAAATTCAGTCAAAAATACCAAGATTAGGATATAATTCATTGGTAAAGGTTGTATGAATGTTTCATTTGTTGATATTGAGGACTGCAACTGAAATGTTTCTTGGCATACGTACATCCTCTGAGGATTGCCTTTAAATAACTAATACGTTACATTGAATCCTTGTGTAAACATCAATACAGAGATGATAGTGAGTCAAGCTGATCAGTTTCAAGTATAACAAAAACGCACGTCCTTGATATCACTACCAGCAACTATCTAACTCTCTTTATAAAAAATATAGTTTGAACAGTTTTAGAGGTAACATTTTCATTTTTCATAACTTACTCATTATTTTGACTACAAACAGATCTCCATTTATTAGCTAACCATAATTGCAGTTCACCTTGATGAATAAATTTTCCAGTTATTAATCTAATTTTATAATAAGGTTGATTAGTAAGCGAGTTAATGTGTGATATTCCTGAAGTTCTTTTTACATTGTATTTAAATGAAGAATCATGTTCATCAGTTGGATTCCATTTGGTGAATACAATTCTACGATCTATTGAAAATATAATAAAAGTTATATAAATAATATGAGAATATGTAAATTTATATTTGTATTTACTAAACAATTTATTTCTCTTAATATCCATAGACTTTTGTGATTACTGACTGATCGCCTGTGATCACGAACCTCCTAGAATAATAATAAACAGACACTTATCAACAAATCAGCACCAATGGTAGTAGATGATGGTTAGACAATATCACAAAATAAATTAAGTTAGAAATGTATACCATCATTGTATGCTGAATCAGTTAAGCGCTTAGTGACATTTCGTGAACTCGTATCGTTTGCATTAGCTGTGCAGTGTGATAAACGAATGTGAGAAGAGTTAGTCGTGGAGATAAGAGAAGTATTAGGAGGTGTAGGAAGGATTTGATTTTGACCAATTCGGTCTCGTGTGCTGTTACGGGTATGAGGGCGGTTGTCACTTCCCAGCATCCCACACCGTGGAAGGTTGTTTCTTGAGGAACCTGCAAAGGAAAGTAGATTAGTGTCAGGTTTAGAGGCCTGGGAGCGTGACCGCAGAGCCCAAAAGACAACTGCTTGAGGCCGGTCACGCACGGCATTTTTATGCAAGTTTTTTGAGTATTAGCTCCGCTATTTCAAAGCCCTTATTGGACAGCCCTTACCTACGGAGACGGAAATCCGTGAGGTGGGGTAAGGTGCGACATTTTTATGGTTGACCTTTTATAGACCTACCTTCCTTTTGAGAAGGCAGCATCGCTGCAGATGCTGGTTATCCGAGGGAAACACCTTACTGCTGTCACACCCCTCTCCAGTCAGCAGTACGACTTCGCCCTCAGATCTTGGATAGTTGCTTTTAGTCTCATCGTTCTCCAATCGACCAGCCTGGCATGGTAGAACCTTCAGGAACATAAGTTCCAGCCAATATAACTCGGCCGGGTCATCACGATAGGCAAGGCCGACCACCACATCAAGGTAGCAGCTTCGGTATAAGAAATACTGTCGTTAGGAAACGAGTTCTAGATAGAGATGGCAAATCAATAGATGAAGTAGTGAAACTTCATCAGTTAAGGTGGTTGGGAAATGTGTTACGAAAGTCCAACCACCGAATGCCGCGACGAGCTATTTTTTGTGGTGTAGGAGTAGGTTGTAAGAAAGCTAGGAGCGGCCAAACTAAAACATGGCACAAATCCATGAAGTCATTGACAAGTGGACTGAGTCATGTTGGTAGATGTAGGCTACCTGGTTGAGGTCCGCGATACGACAGTCAGCAATGATTAGAGACCTTGAACAATATGGCTCAGAATCGTTTGCGATAGCGCAGGCGCATCCACTATTTGTCTTCTCTTTAATCCTAACCTTCTGAATTCCTCACAATCTCTATCTTTCTCTTTCTAAATTTATCTCACTGAATTATACTTCTCGAATCACATCTTTGCTCCCTAATCTTCTCCATTACTGCTAATACTTCCACTATTGCTATCACTCTTGGATTTGAACTGACAGTTGCTTCTCTGTGCTGATGTGGTATGGCAACCTGAACTGATGTACTTACGTACGAAGTTCTGAGTTGAATCTGTCTGTAAGCGCTTACTGCGAGGCTAAGGTTCTGCGTTTAATCCTCAGAAAAGTCGTCAAGCTAAACAGTTTAGGATTCCAATTTTAAACTGAAATAGTTATCTAATGTTTCTTGATTTTCGTCAATTTAAACTATGAACTTCCATAATCTTTATAAATTCTTTACAGTACAAATGATACTGTAAACACTTAGCATATTGTTTCTATGTAAATTAAACAAGTTTATCTTAATACAACTATTTAGTAACTAATGTCATGTTTGTTTAAAATTGGTTTTCATTTGTTTGCTTTCGGTCATCATCTTATGTTAACATCGTCCGTATTCTACAATGAATGATAGATGTAGTATAATACAAAGGAGTTAGGTAGTAGTATTTTTTGTGATAAAAAGACAAGGATGTTCTATTTACCAATGAATAGTGTAATAGAATTGAAATCAATTGTAGCATTACAAATCAACCGGGTGTAGAAGAGGTCGTTAGTTTGTTAACTAGTAAAGATGTATATTCTATTAAATTTCGTATAGTTCTTAGGTTACATACATTGTTGTGTCATTTACATAATAGCTTCTCATTTAAATATTCTATATATGATGTCATAATCATATTGTCGAATGAAGACATAACCTTACATCTTCATTTCCGTTCTCATCATGTGTGGTATGTTCATAATATTTACATATATATATAGGCCAAAAATTTAAAGAGTAGACTATATTTACTTTCATTAATTCAAATGACATAAATAATATATATTTATTGAAATAAGATTACAGTGCAAGAGACTGCGGATTTTAGTTTGCTATTGAAAAAAATGTAACAAAATAAATAGAGAGGAATGGCAGTCAATGTGACAGATAATAATGAATCATTGCATTTATAACTAAGACTAATATGTTCTGCAAATATTGACGAAAAACATGATTTCTTTCTATTTTTGTTGGTTTGGAATGTGGGTAGTAGTAAAATACAATACATAACGTTTATTGCTTTTAAAATTAGAATTTATCATTTGAATATACCTAAATTGCAGTGTTGATGTTAACATTGAAAGTTGAAGCTAGTAAAAGGACAATTGTTTATTCAATGAACCACTGAGACATAGTTGTTATGTAGGATCCAAACTGAGGTTTGGATTGAAGAATAACTGTCTCGGTAGTTTAGATACGCGCCTTGCCAAGTTCAGACCAAAACAAGTGATTTGGTTAAATGATGGTTCTAATATTCATCATAAATATAAATATACATCATAACCTAAACAAATATTGCCACTCAGTTATTCCACCAACAATCGTTCAATTAATCAAATCAACAGCAACAAATAGATGTTATTCTATCCTTTCTGGATAGATCGAATCCCTCCAAAAGCTAATATTTGGTCGCTTTATAACACAGAGTGCTTTAATTCACAATCAAAATGCACAATTCCAGTCAGTAGCAAGCAACCCAATCAAAACAGGAACAAATCAATATGGCTGTCGCCATGACTAAGTATAGGCAGTTCAGAAAGAAACAAAGAAACTCAGTAAAGGCAAAAGAAATAGAAACTATAAAAAAATTCAAATATTATCATCCCCGAAATGGAATCGAACAGATTAACAAAATGTACAACTGAAGGAATAAATAAGGACAAATTACAAATGTATATACATGCAGGGATTTTCACAAACAAAGTCTTCAAAAATAGATCTTACAGTTATCAAACTACTTTTTGTACTAAAGATCCTTCTTCAATGAATATCCTACTATGTGCACTGGTACTCTTAAGATGTAGGTATACTGTGTTGATGAAATGAAACTTAGGTTCACAGTTTCTTACTAACTACTTCCAATTGTTTAACACTTTAGTAAACCTGTTATCATTGTAAGATGTTGTTTTGGTTTATACTCATTTTATTTACGTAATCTATTTTTAAGAGTAGCTATGGATTTTTACATCATTCATCGACATGGTGTGATTAAACTTGTAGCTAAATAAAAGATTTAATTACAAAAAAGTGATGAATGTCTTATAAGGAGCTTTGGTCAATGCATATTATTTGATTAGGGTGCTTGAGATTATCGTAACAGATGTTTGAAAGGTTAGATGTCGTATTTTTCTACTTCAGAAGATCAATTGGTTTCTGTCAAATGTTTTGTATTTCTACTGATAATGTGACTATTTTTATGGTTCTGATAATTTCATCTCATTGTGTTACGGAGATATACATATGTATAAAGTCTTACATTACTTTTTAACTGACAAGGTGACTGAGTGTAGATCAGATGTAGAGTGGAGATGAATAATCTTTCTATAAAATCAAACAATTTGTGAATTAGGTATTGCTAATTGATAACTAATTTTATAAATCGTAGATTTTCAATTCAATACTGTACAAGACCATTTAGATAATTAATCCAAAAAAAGTTTGAAGCAAGAAGAAAACAGCTAATTTCTAGTTTTCGATCTATACTGAATGTTTACCTTAATTTCGATTATAATGCAAATCACTTGAAACCGTCAGAATATTTTTTCAGTTTTCCTATGAAAATACTAATTTATTTAATTTTTAGTAGTATTTTTCAAGAAATTTTACACCATACTGTTGTATTTTTTTTCAACACTGTCCAACTGATAATTTCTGGTAATGTTATTGTTTATTTAAGCCTTTGTACAACAATCATAATGTATTTATATGTTTATTCTATCATTGTTTGTTCCTTTTTACAGATCTAACATTCATACTCATTGTAGTAAATCCTGTTTAGATTTCATTTGTATGAACTGCTAGTCTTTAAGGATCTCAAATGATCCGCAGATTGTTTCGATATTTGGCAATGAGTTACAAATAAATTTGAGCAAATTTTGATAGTGATTAGAAGTGAAACATATAACATGTATTTTATTCTTTTTGGGAAATCAGGAAGAAGTGGTGGAAGTGGATAGAACACACACTACGAAAAGCACCTAACTGCGTCACGAGACAAGCCCTCACATGGAGCCCTCAAGGCAAAAGGAAAAGAGGAAGGCCGAGGAACACATTACGCCGAGAAATAGAGAAATATGTGAGAAGAATGAACAAACATTGGACAGAACTGGAGAGGGAAGCCCAGGACAGAGTTGGTTGGAGAAAACTGGTGGGTGGCCTATGCTCGATTGGGGGTAACAGGCGTACGTAAGTTAGTAAGTAAGTAAGTAAGTAAGTAAGTAAGTAAGTAAGTAAGTAAGTAAGTAAGTAAGTAAGTAAGTAAGTAAGTAAGTAAGTAAGTAAGTAAGGGATCTGTAAGATAAATCTATGCTAATCGAAGTGTTGATATTTACACCAAAAATAAACGCTAGTGTCTTTTCCCCATCAAAAGCTCAATGTATTTTTAATTTATTTACTACAAGATAGCAGCTACCATAAATCAACCAGTAAATTTTTATCGCTTAAAATCCATTACAGTGTACGCTGGTAAGAACTTTTCACCGGTCTGTTTGTAACTTATAGTTTGTATATGTTTCTTCGAATAAGTAAATGATTGCTATGTTGACTGAAGTTTGAACAACTGATCTTCTGTCACGTCAACTTAATCCATTCTCTGAACAAATTGACTATTAAGAAATTAATTTTGATCATATACTGTTAAGACTATGTTTCATGAAATTCTTGTACTTTGTACGTCTTTTTTTACAGGAATGGATAATTCATAGAGAATAAACGCGATGAGATATTTTCGATAGTACTTATAGCCACATTTTTGTAATAAGTCCACAGTAAAGTTTTTTAATCAAATATCTGACTGAACAGTTATAGGTAAGCATGACTAACAAGTCTTAAAACCGTTTATTTAGTTACATGATTCAAACAAAAATAATCTGGTCTCAAGACAACATCGGGACTACGGAAAGTCGCAAGTATTTGTATCTATTTACGAGAGACTTAGTTCAGAGCTTCTAGATCTTGTGATAGACACTAGACTCCTAGATTATTCAGTCAGGAATAAACTATTGAAACTTTCAAATTTTGTTCATCCGTAATACTACATTACCATAGTAAAGTGACGTAAATAATATCTTATTCAAGTGTATTATGGTTTAAGTTCGCTTTCTATCAACCCAATCAGTTAAAGTTGAAAAAGTAAAGAAAAATTGAATTGCAAGTCAACATAATTCTTAATATAATACCTAACATATATTGGTTCAGATCTGTGTAGTGTTGTCTCTGAAAATCTTTGAGAAGTTTCAGATTAAGATGAAGTTACTACATAATTCTACTTCACTAGCTGATGTCATTCTACACATATTATTACGGAAATTTTGAAAGATTTAGTGTTTGTGAATTACATAATTACATAGGATCTATACTCATCAGTTGTATACCGACGAAAGCAGTACTGTCATTTTCAGTTAAATTTATGGTAAGAATTTCTTCATTGGGTACCAGTAACTAAAAGGTGAATAAGTTACTTTATTCAATTCTAATAATCTGGTTAGAAATTAAATATTTACTAGTGAATCAATAATTTCATCTAGTTATCATGAGAAAAATGAAAAATTGACAATTCGTCTTGTAAAGGATTATTGTTTAATCTTATTAAAACCTGAGTGAAATGCTAATTGCGGTTATTTGTTGACAAAAATTCTTTACAGCTTGTATAATTAATTTTAAGGGTACATCTAAGATTTACTAGTCACAAAAAATCTTTTCTGGTGTTGTGGTATTTCGTCTTGAATGTATGCCAAACTCATGATACTGATAAGGTCCAAAACTAAATTTATGCCAGCTTATGCTAGATTTGTAGAAAATTTCTTAATACTTTCTGCAACCTTCCAGTTTTTTGTTGAGATATCTCAAAATATATACGGCCTTTAATCTTTTTACGCAGCTTGTTTAGCGATTTGGAGTTCATAGTGGGGAAGAAATAACCAAACAGTAAAATGTAGATTGAAAACAATAAGTAACAGCTACACTAATGATCGAAGCAGGTTTATTGTAATTGAACTTAAGTTGACTAGTGTATACTTTCTATTTACGGCAAACAAAATGTAGTTGATGTGAAGACAGAAAACAGTAAAATTGTTGTATAAGACTGCAATAGCTCGTTAAAAATCATGCATTTTTGTTGCGAAAATGTGTCTTTCTCTTGAGAAGATTGATAAAGTGATTAGTTTAGTTATTGTACCGAGAATTCAAAACGATAATTATATTTTACTTTTTTGGATGGATTTTTGCTCATTATATTTCACTATTATCTATGCTTTTTCGATTATGAAAAGTATTTCATCTTGATTCCTTTCATAACGTTATCTGTCTGTAAACACTGTTTCGGAATCAAATATAACCAAACTAATCTGAATTCTCCAAAAATGTCACATAACTTTGTTTTAATTTACTCCTGCTATCAATAGAGAATAACCTCAACTATCCTGATATGCTACTAAGTCCATATGTTGCTTTTCTAATATACCTTTCAAACCCTGAAGTTGTTACTCAGTTGGGCTCTTGTCAGTAAATTTCACTGATTTCAGACGAATAATGCATAACTACTGGAGGTAAACAAAATCAATCCTGACAAACATCACGTCACACTAATCCACTGGCCAAGATGATAATGTTCCTTTTTTGTTACTCAAGTGAAATCAAAAGTATCCAGTGGAGCAGGTTGCTAATAAAGCAATATTGAGTTACGTATGATTTTGACTTAAATAAAATGCCATACTATTACTGAACAGTGAATTTGTCTTTCACACGTTTGTGCTATCTTCTAGACCCCTGCACTGTCTACAAATCGTCACGCACTTTGGTACATACTATGGTAATAAGGCTTTTCTAGGCCCAACTAAAACCTGCAACCGATTGCAAATGTTGGGCCAGTGAAGAAGAAAATATACAACTAGATTAAACCCAAAACTTAATGTGCACCATATATCGATATTTTCAGGCTGATTCACATAAACAACTTCTAGTTCTAATCGATTCCAAACGCAAATCTCATATCATACAGTTTGATTTTAAGGCCTCAGTTATATTATAAAATACATAAAACATCCAGACGTTTTTGATACCTACCTGAAGTTCCTTTCGCATAAATAGCACCTTTCACTTTAATTGACAGTCCAGCACCGATCAATATACGAACACCAGGATCAATGACAAGTTTAGCATCGGGATGTATGACTAAATCATTTTGTTTGATGACAAATGGCGATTTAGATATAGTCCAATGTTGTGTTCCAGTTATGCTGGAATTGATGTAAGTTAAACCAAGTATAACTCCCATTACTTGTGATATTATAAGTAATGGCGCATACCGATAAATACAGTTATCATATGGTTTCATAGTTCTAAATGCAAAATACAAAGTGGATATGATCAGTTAGAATTGACGATCATAAAATTTAAGTTTGCAGTATTTTCATTTGGTAAATAATACGAATACAAAAAAGTATTTACTCCAAAAATATTTTAATAGGGCACCATATTATATTACAATTCACTTAGTTTATTGATAAACGCTTAGTTGAGCTTACATTTAATCTACGTGATTTGTTTACTTTATTGCATACTTAAATTATCATTCCATTTAGCCCCAAAAACCTTTAATATACTAATTCCAAAAAATACTCCGGTTGAGCTACACTTTTTTGTAGCCTACATATAAACAGTGAAAGTATTTTAAGATTAACAACTTTGAATCGGCTGAGACACATTTACTTGTATGGACTAAAAGAAAATTAGCTACCATTAAGGCAATGATATAACTAGATGGTATAATCATGCAACAAGCGATAGAGAAAATTCGGCTATCAGTGTATAATGTAACAGATGGTTTGTCTGTGAATAAGTATTGAAGCATCTACTTCAAAACAGTACGGTTGGCTATGTTTTTAGTCTTTTTTAGTTTATTTACGCTAGCTCATTCGTGCCTGCTGGAGTACTTTTTCGGCGAATTTGGGAATTTCTGTGTTAGTAACAATACACTGTGTTTGGACACGTTCGAACATACATCAGTGTGATGGTACTTATCATATTAAAAATACAGGCACGAGTACTAAGGATTCTTTATATGCTATTTATCTGTTGTACGTTCAACACAACAAGACAAAGAGGATGTTTGAGAAAATAGTTGCCAATTTCAATCGAAAGGTTCGAAGCAACGCGAAATTTGCACAGAAAATAAGATATTTCTCTTAGCCAATCACTTGAGACATTTTCCTCTCTAAACGCAGCAGAAAAAACTACACAAACTTATCCCTGTGAATGTGGTCATGAGCTATTGTAGATAGCAAAACTAAGGATCACGGGCGTCTTAATGTTTAAAGAGCACAATATTTAAAATATGATGAAAATATTATTGACAGATTTGGTGTCCATAGTCCTAATTATATCTTTCTAGTCTTCCGAACCGTATTTGCAGTCAGAAAATTGGACGGCAATGAGGTTTGTTCATTTAGTCTTGTGAAATCTTAAAGTATTATAAATGAAATCACAGAGTGGATATTTTGTTTAAATAAATGCTAGATTAATAGCATATAAAAGTCAAACAATCAAAAGTACTCATACAAAATACTGATTTTATCAATAAATTTAAGCAAAAGACTCGTGATGCACGGTTGCTTATACACAGTTTGTAACGCCGCTAAATGTTAAGAAGACAAACAAATCATTTATATAATTCAGTATATTCAATAAGTATGTCAATAAGAGGATTTCAGAAATAGGTAAATAAATGGGTAATTTAGTTTGTCAGTCGGTAGTGAAGATTGTGCGAGAGGATCGAAGGGTGAACAGGTCAGAGTAAAAAAGAGTTATTAAGTGAGATGGTTTCAGTTAGTCATTTGAGGAGATGGAAAATATAAAAACTAGTTTGTATGAAGACGTGAGTAAGGCACAGCTGGTCCACGAGTAAGATGATAATCCGTATGTGATTAGATGTTTATGAAGTCTCTTTTTAAAGCCGTTCACTGAGAGAGGCTGTGGGCACTTCGACTGGGAGAACATTCCAAGTTGCAACGACTCATAATGAGAGACATTATGCAAGAACATGAGTATTCGCCCTTAGATGCGCAATTTTTCGAGTATTTCCTCAAGAGGATTGGTGGTGATGTATCGGTAAGGTTCTCACGTTGCACTGGTTGGGCGCGCTTTATATGTTGTATACCATAATCAAGTCATCTCTCATTTTCCTGTAACTCAGGGGGAATCATTCCAAATGCTAGAGTTTACCCGCGTAAGTTTTATCTTTCAACCCTATGACCCACTTCATTTCCCATTCCTGCACTCGATCCAAGAATTTTGAGTCTCTTTTAAGGAGAGGGTGTGAGATGACGTTATGAACCCCCACGTGTGGGCTTGCATATGTTTTAAACAACATTAGGAATAATTCTGGGCTGATAGAACCAAGTTGTATTCGTATAAAGTAAAGATTTGCGTTAGCCTTGGCTGTGGTCTCGATATGTTTCGAACTTTCGTAGAGGCTTTCAGTGGTTATTAAGTCGAGATAGTGCTCTGAGGAAACATTAAGGAGTGGACTTCCGTTGAGTGTGTAAGTCGTTTGCAGAAAGTCGGGTAAAATGTACATAACGTGACACTTCGGCTAGTTTAGTTTTAACCCGTTTTTCCAAAGAAGGTACAAACTGCATTGAACACTGTTGGGGATGTTAGATACCCAGAACTCACTTGATGAAGGTCCTAATTTTGGATTTTATTCATAGGCTCATCAGTCAACCTTGAGATTACATTTCGCACCAGGAAAATCCTTGGCTGTTGCTAATTGATGTGTTATTTCGGTACTCTATTCGGTGGAATCATCAGTGAGTACAAATACCAAAGTACGTTTTATTTGCATGTCCCAAGGCTATTCACATCATGCTGGATTTTTAATGAAATCAATTATGTTCTATGAAATTATGGACATGAAAGCAGTTGACAGTTGGAACCCATTGACTTTTTCTTCAAACTCCATCACTTAAGCCACTCTATTTTGTAGAAAAAAAATGTGAGATAAAAGTTATGTAGAGGCATTCCACAAGATGCACTATTGCCAACTAAAACTGATCAAATTTTGTTTGGAATATCAACGACAGGATAATCCAGACACATTTGGAATTGGATTTATACTCATATGATCATTTCATGGATCGAGAGTAAATATATATAGAAAAAAAATGTAACGCATACTTACCGATCAGTAATAGGTGTTACAATCAAAAATTGAGTAGTCAGAAATGACATACTAGAAAAGAAATAAAAGAAAATTAGAGATGACATCAGTCAGTACCTGAATAAAGACAGTTGATTACTATTAGATTATCTCTTTTAGTCCCATGAGACTGATTTTCCGCTTTTATATTATGTTTTCAACTCAAAACTTTGGTAGATCAGTTCGCGAACCTGTTGGCAATTTTTATCGGTTAGAAGTGCTTTGCTTAAATACAATGATAAAACGATGAAGAAAGGATACTTTGATTAAGTTATTACTTCCTTTTTTAACCAATCAGTTTGTGATCATTTTTAATTGTTCATGCAAAAATTATTAATGAAGTGTAAACAGTTATACGTTTCATTGAAATCATGAATCGATCAATGTTAGACAACCATTCGAAACCTGGAAGCACTGGACGGCCGTTTCGCTCTAGTATGGGACTCATCAGCAGCGCGTCCAGAGGCGATATCACGTTTTCAACTGATGATGAATTGTGTTCAATATTCATTTTTAGCAGCATATTTTGATTACTTTGTGTAACATTTGTTTTGTATTCAATGTAATATTTTGTTGAGTATAATATTGATTCATTTCAGTAAAATGTGTATTCAAGATAATATTCTTTATACTAATTTATTGTGAAATTAATTTCGTATGATACATGGGGATAGATTACATGTTCGTGAATTTGTAGTGCATCTGAATCATAATATCTAACATATTTCCGTTCATTTAATTGAATGACTACAGTAAATGAATGCATAGTTTTCACTGAGTTCATTTCTAGCCGAAGTTTGCCAAACTGCAATAGTGTGTTCACAGAACTCTTATATAAATAGCTTTAGATGACTAAAATATGAAGATCACACTCTTAAATGTAACACTTTTACACTAAATCAAGGGTAAACGACTAAGAAACGCTGGTTTTTATGCTTTTATTGAACAATGAAAAAGGATACTTATCGTCACCTGTAACTTGGCTCTTTTTAAATAATTTTTTGTGATCATCGTTAACGAAATCATTAAATGTGAGTGAAATTAATGTATAAATGAATGTGTTCATTTCGACTTAGTTTGGGGGTCAACTATACATACACATATCTCTAGTTTTTGTATTTTCAACACAAGTTATGTGCTTTGATGTTTCATTCACAAGTGCAGGTCACTTTGGCCGATCCCATGTCCGGATAAAGGAGGAGGACTGGGAATGAGGTTCACAACCCAACCCAAAAGGAAAACTAATTTTCTAAAAAAAAGCACTTGCTTGGTCTTTTCTATTTTCTGATTGTTTGTTATCGCTTGCCAATGGTTTTATGAGCCAACGACATAATTCGTTATGGCATATACAGAATTATTTTACGTCATTAGGAAGTATCTTAGTTACAACAAGATTGCAGGTAAACAAACACACAGACAGTAGGAAACGAATTCGTTTAACAATTGACTGGTCGCTGAACGGTGATCAATGTCGTGTATGTCAAATACTTCTTTAGCATTGTAATATACTTACCAGCCCAAGAGACTCAACATCGCGTGCAGTGTGTTGAGAATTAGGGTGGTTAGATGTAGTCAGAGAGAAACCCTGTTCAACCTCAGTTTCATATTATTCAGCACTCGTCAGTAAGGTGTACCTGTGATCTTGGGGCAACCAATACTCCCTGGTGGATTAGATCTCGTGTTAACCAGTTGCACAGCCAGGGAGATCACCACTAGACCGTTTTGGTCGCAACTCACATCCTGCAGAATTGAGATGTATTTAATATCGGTTGATCAGTAGATAGTAGTCAGTAACATGCATGTCAGGTTCTTCTTAGCGCTGATCAAATTCTACCAATCAAGCTTTAATGCAAGAGTGTTAGTTCCTTCAAGAATAGAGGGATACCAAAAAATAATGATTGTCAGGTGGTAGGTAACACAAAAGTTCAGTTGAGGATTTTTTTTCACTCACTAACTAACCTCCAACCATCATTTCTACTATTCATTATCTTACTATCAATTTTTATTTGTGGGAAAGATTGTTGTCAAAAAAAGTGTAGTAATCATTATTCAACAATTTGAAAAAATAATAACTTGATTAGAATAATTTAATTTCCTATCATAATTAAATTTCCAAAGGAAGTCATATAAACTATAGT